CCCTTGTACAACACCTCCGTTATCGTCCAGCGGTTAGGATATCTGGCTTTCACCCAGGAGACCCGGGTTCGATTCCCGGTAACGGAAATTTTGACTTTCAATTTCCCTTTTTTGTTTCCAATTTCAATCAATGTGGTGGAACCCTTTCCCCTGAGCTAGCTCATAATAAATCTGGCCACAGTCCTTTCATTTCCATGGCCCTCCTTTTGCAGGGTAGTTACGGATATACTAGTAAATTTAATATACAGAGTGGGCATGTAGATTACGGAGAATTGTGTCTTTATTGGGGCATTCTTCTGAACAATAAGCTCCATTGCTCTCACGTTGGAAGTTCAGAGAAATCAGTCTCAGTTGTAAGCTTTTAATAATTAGTAATGTTCATGATGAAACTCTGTTCTTACGTATCTGTCCGTCTGGCGTAACGACAGATTGGCAATTTGGGCAATTGGCTCACTGCCTATCCGTTTTCGTTTCGTCCGCCGGGGGCCATTTCTTTTCTGGTTTTGTAAACAACGTGCAATTTTTTTATTTTTTTTTTCATATTACAGGTGCCTACCGTTGGCAACAGTAACTAATCCCCTCGTTTATGGTAAGCATCTCGGTGGGTGGGAGAGTTGGCCAAAAAATTCAAGGTTACTTCATGCATATGACGAGATTCGAACTTTCAAACATATAGTTAGGAATGAAGGAATCCTTATCACTCTATCACAATTCCTTTAGTTTACGGCGGATTAAGACAATTTTTTAACTGCGGATTACGGCGTGGTCACCAGTCACTGATCAGTCAACAAGCTGATCGCACTATATATATTTTTTCTTTTTTAAAGAATCAATAATCATCATATATATATCATAATTTAAAATTTCGATGATACGTATACGATTTGTAATTCAGAAGGAAAACTTGTTAGAGATGTTGCATTTTAAAACCATTAGGCCTCCTTGTTTACACCTCATACTTAAAATCTTCCCTTGAATTATAAGATATTTATCCACATCTTTTCTTTGTAAGTTATTCTATCAATTTTTTTTATTTTTCCCTATATGTATTACACACACTTGGTATATAAAATTACAATTATGTTCTAATTAATTTATATCAAGTCAGAAAGACCATGTTCGTGGCACAAAATTCTTCTCACAAGTACATTAATCAGTGATGGATGTCTATTTCGAGTTAAGCATTTATTCTTGCAATTTTCGTTCTATATATTTAACCACTTATCTTAAATTAAAACAATTTCGTTGAATGTATCATGATTCACTACTCATCTGAATATTAAACAATTCCTATGGATAAATTGTGCACTCCGAGATACCAACTTGATGTAAGACTAGTCCTTAAATTGTGCGGTTTCATGATTTGCTTTATCGCTTTTTTTTTTTTTTTTTTTTGGGGCAACACTTGAGATTTCAGAAAGAAGAGTCTTTTCGTACTATCTAAATTCTAAATCCGTGGGGGGCGTGTGAGCAAAATGCAGACGGCAGCGGTTTTTGGCAGCCAACTTGAACATTATTCTAATTCTTTGCCCTGAGAATATTTTTATCTGCAAAAAGCCCCACTATGATTTCAGTGCATGGAACATGGAAGGAAACCTTAGCCAAATTGACTCGTTAAAGTTTGTCTTAAAAGTGCGGCAAAAAAGTGTATTGTAACATTGACAGAGACATTCTTACAAATCTATACAGTCTGTAGTAAGTGAATCGAATTCAGATGGATTAAGTGTGTTGATTGGTCTTCATTGTGATTTTTTACCGATGCAATTTGTTCAGCTCTGTAATACATCAAGCATGACAATTATTTTGAGACGAAAACAACGTTGGATTAAATTATGTACAACATTGAGTTTTTTTGTGTGTACGAAATTTTTTTATTACTTGTTACCTTTTTCCCATGTACCTGATTTATGTAAGTCATAATTGATGATGATGTTTTTTTTTTCCCAGTTTCGACGAGCTCCGTTATCCCAGCTGGTTTGTGATTCTACTATCTAACCTCTCCCCTCCCATTTTTTCAACTCTGGTCTAACCTTATACTTGCTCGAGCATACTTTCAAAATGATTGACAAAAGCTTTTCAAACTAATGTAAAGTATTTATAACGCACATTTCCTTACTTTCGAGGGCCGAAGAAGAAGAATTTGCGTGTGAATTAAATAATTTAGTCAAGTCTGTCCATCTATAAAATTCCTGGTAAAAAAAACAAAAAAAAATACTAATAATTAAAGCACCATTCCCGCAGTTTGATCAAGGGCGCTTATTCTTATACTTTTAATAATTATGTTTTTGGTGGCATGTTATCTTTTGATCAGTAACAGAATTAAAGCTCAGATGAAGAAAATGTGAAATTCATACAAACAACTACTAATATCGTAATATGTTGAAAGGATGCGCGAATATTGGTTGGTGATTTGATATACTTTATTACTATTTTTTTTAAAAAAAAAATGTAGCAATTTGCAATCATACTTCTCTTTCTCCTAAACTCCGTAAGTTCCATATAAATTAAAAATAGAAAATAGATACTCCCTCCACACGTACTGAAGAAAAGTTCATATTAAGTACAAATATGAAAATTAAACGTGAATTTTTTATTTATTTATTTTTTTGGGGACAAAGATAGTATAGGATTCTTACTTCTTACATTTATCTTCTTCCAAAATTATCTTATTTAAAGGCAACTTGATTGTTTTTTGTAGACCTATTATATATATCTAACATAATATTTCTCAAGTTAATTATTTCTTTTTTTTTTTGTTTTCCGAAAAAGAGAGTCAAGTTTGAAGTTTTAAGGTGCCGTGGTTTAATCTGGAGTCATCATCATAGACGTTAGATATTTTGGAAATATCAAAAAAATCAAGCTAGGACCAAGTTTTTGTTTGTAACAGTATGATGTTTCATACACACATCATACTTACGTGTAAAATTGACTGGTCCTTCCAAAATCAAAAATTATCCAATTGCTTTCCGCGCATCATTAGTAGTGCTCCTGCAACTTATTTGAATTATCTGCACCTGTTTGGATTGTCGTCTTAATTAATTTGAGGTTTTTATTTCAAAACACATGTTTAAGCCAACTTTTCAAAAGTCAAAACATGATTTCAACTGTTAATTACTTTTTTCACCACCTTTTGCCCACTAGTCAATTAATTATATCCTAATCACTGACATAGTCCGAGATCATCATTCATCGAATCATTGTTACTACAACTTATACATGCATTTCTCGTAATTTTTTCATAAATTATTTCAAATCACATTTTAAACATAAAACAGGAAAAACCATAAATACTACTACAAACTAGGCATACGTGGTCTTTACTTCTAAATATCATTAAAATGTTCTCATTTTAGCAGTCCAAGAACTCGAAATTTTTTTTCGTCAACATAAAGACAGAAAACTAGCACCAACCCTAACATTGAAAGAGACATTTGTGAGAATAATTATAAGTTGACTTTGCTTCAAGATAAGTAATAATTCGAGTAAATTATAATTTTGAGGTCAAAGCACACATAAAATACAGCTCTAGTTTTTTATTTTTACTTTTTCTCTTTTGCACTATTAATGTTTGTTTTGTGTAGACAATTACTTCAACTGTATCAAAATTATTATCATGTTTAGATTTTTATTTTTAGTACTAATACAAAAAAATAAAAATCTAAATTGAACAATCATTTGGGAAGATAAGAGTATAACCCTTCAGTTTGTCAAGAAGTAGTCCTAACTCAATCTGCATAGTACATATTGTGAGAATTATGAGATTTTTAAGAGATCTTTAAAATACTACATGTTAGAAGTCCTAACTCAATACGCATAAAAAATATTCAATGTAGTTGTCGTACCATGTAGAATTGTACAGTCAGACACAATAAATAGGGTAAAATAACAATTTTGGGGGGAAAGTGATAACTTTTATAAGAATTTAGCAACAAAATAAGGGTAATAGTACTTGTTGTACTAAAAGCAAAGATACAACTGTTGTATAGAATATCTTTTCCAATCTGCATAGTCATTTAAGAGATCTTTAAAATACTACATGTTAGAAGTCTTTCTCTTAAATCCTGCGATAGTTTAAAAGTGTTATTCCTACTTTCTCTCTTCACTTTTTAAATTTTATTTTATAATTTCATCCAATTAATAAGAATATACATTATCAAAAACCAATAAAAACTTTACATCAATGTAGAGCCAACCAATAACAATATGTTCATAACATCGATGTAGTACTATGATCACGTTTTTTATTTTCTTGTTACTCTATCCATTTTATTTGTATAAAATGTAAATTAAACTAAAAATTAATTTTAATACGTGAGTATTTTTTTTTTTTTATAGCAATTCGTGAGTTGTGACTCATAAATAAAATAAAAGATGGAGCATTTCGTCAACTATAAGAACAGAATAAACAGAATAATAAAGGATAAAAGTTTCAACAATGTTTTCCTTTGCTGTCCGAAAGTTAATTGCTAAAAACAGTCACAAATTATGCAAAACAAAACAAAAAAACAAAAAGGGAAAAATATATAAGAAAAAAAGCCCTTGCAAATCAATTGGAGGCCAAAGAGGCAAAGAGGGATACGCAAACAATCTTCTTTTGTTTTATAATCTTAAAAAATTAATAAAAACAGAGTTTTATTTCTTCTTCTCCGTTTCTTTCTTCTCCTTAAATGCAGTATTTTTTGTCTGTGTTTCTTGGAAACTCACTCTAGTACTTACTGTTCGTTTACATGGGATTAATCTCGTTATGACTTTTTATATATAAAAGAAGATACACTTTGAAAACAACCCTCTTTTTCCCCACATTTCTTTTCTCACTTTCCTTCATTCCCTTTTTTTGAGTCACAAACTCCTTGTATAAAATCGGTTCAACAACACTGTTACTAAAATTTCATATTTACCAAATTTCTTAGTTATTGTCTGAGAAGACAACATTTATTAACTGGGATTTTGGTTTTCGCAAAGAAAGATTGTTTTTTTGAGTACTTGTTAAGGCTGCTTAAATGGGGAAGGTGGCAGTGACAGCGACGGTGGTGTGCGCGGCGGCCGCCTGTGCGGTGGCGGCGCTGATGGTTCGGAATCGTATGAAGAGCCGGGGAAAGTGGGCCAAGGCTATAGCCATACTTAAGGAGCTGGAGGAGAAGTGTGCGACTCCCACGGCCAAGCTCCGGCAGGTTGCTGATGCTATGACCGTCGAGATGCACGCCGGCTTAGCTTCTGAAGGCGGAAGTAAACTTAAGATGCTTATCACCTACGTTGATAACCTCCCCACTGGGTATGATGACTATGAATTTTTGCAATTTTTTCTCTTTTTCCCCTCTGCCTAATTGCTGAGTTTGAATTGGTTTTGAAAACATTGGAATTTCGTTGACTTTTTTCAAGTTTAATATTTTTCAAACTAGTCTTTGTCAGTTGTGATGGTAAACACTTTTGACCCAAATGTGTTAAGTAAACTTGATTATCTTTTTGGGTAGGAAGATTTCTTGCTGTGTTTGGTTTGTATTGGCGTATACTTTTAACTCTTTCAATTACACAGTGAGGTTTGATTTGGATATTTTTGCTGTTTAATTGAGTTTGATTGCAGTTGTTTAGGAGACCTAATTTCTATTATTGTAATTTATTTAAGTCATTGGCAATGTTTGTAGAACTGGTCCTTGAAGATTTGTCAGGACATAATTCAATGAAGGATCCTTATGTAAAAATGCAATTCCGAAAGCCAGTAAATTTTTATGGTTTTTTTTTTCTTTTTGTGCTTGGGTTCATGAGAATGTGAGGTTGGATTTTACTATTCCCTCACCTGAAAGTGTTACACTGTTGCTTGCAAATTATGCTGACATATGACACTATATGAAAAGGGAAAAAGATTCTTGGCTTTGCTTAAAAAGATGCCTTATGATTAATGCATGGTACTTTCATGGCGTACTAGGTATTTCTGTATCAAAAGGCCAATGCTCCTTGTGGTGCCGCTTCCCCTCCATATATGATCTCATCTTTTGCTTTTTTGGCCTTTAAGCATCTCCTGTTTTCTTTTTCTAGTTCCTTTATTCTCTGTTTCCTACCTTATCTTTCTTGTATGTTTATTCTGCTACTTTAGCTGTGAATCATTTCAAAACAGTGTCTGAGTCATATTTCTGTTAAATAGTTGGTATATATTTACATGAAAATAATTTGATTTCTGGGCAATTTAATAATCGTTCAAATATTGTTCCAGCCTTGATGGATCCTTGTTTATGACTCTTGATTTAGCTAACCAGAGTACCAGGTAGTTCTGACACATTTTTTCTGAAATGTTAATTGGTCTTGATATTATGCTACCAGAGTACCAGGTAGATCTTGATATTACGCTTTGCCTTAGTAATTGATTGTGTTGTTCGTAAATGGAAGTTCATAATGATGCTCCTTCTGTTGGATTTTGGAATAGACTTTGGGTTTTAATACCCGCAAATTCTGCCTCAGGCATGTATTGAAAATGTAATAAAGAACCTGCAAATCGAGCCTTACTGGTCTAAAGCTCCTTGAGTGCATGTATGCATTATTGTATTCAAGAAAATGTGTGGATGACTCTTCCATTTCTGTTTTTTGCCATTTACAGTTTAGCTTATTACCTAATGCTTCATTTTTCTTTTTGAAGGGATGAGAAAGGGTTATTTTATGCCTTGGACCTCGGGGGTACAAACTTCCGAGTCCTCCGTATTCATTTGGGGGGTAAAGAAAATCGTGTTATAAAAAAAGAATTTGAAGAACTTTCAATTCCTCGACACTTGATGGTTGGTTCATCAGAGGCAAGTACTGACACGTCTTCATTTTCCAGAGATGCTATTCGGGTGCTTTATTTACTGATGCTTAGTACTCTGCTGCTTGCAGGCATTATTTGATTTTATAGCTACTGCCCTAGCAAATTTTGTGGCCAAAGAAGATGAAGATTCTCGTCCGCTGCCTGGTAGGCAACGGGAGCTGGGTTTTACTTTTTCATTCCCTGTTAGGCAATTGTCCGTAGCATCAGGAACTCTTATCAAATGGACAAAAGGCTTCTCAATAGAAGAAACGGTTAGTGCACAACTGTTTCTTGATGTCTGTGCTTGTATTATGTTCTTTGTTTGACTGTTTGATGTTAATGAAATCTTTCTTTTTTCCTTATTCATGTTGCTCTCATTTAATGTGTTCAGTCTGCATCGGTCATAGTTTTATCTGGAAAACACGAATATGTGTGCTTAAAAGCACTGTAAAACCTTAAAAGGTATGGAATTTATGTTAAAAGGTGGAAACATGAACTTAGCCACGGGCTTAATCAGATTTGAAAAGATTTCCTTATAAACTGTAAAGCTTTGCCAGAAGCATTTTGTTATTGAAGTTTCAGATTGCCTATCACCATAGGCTTGATTGTGCGCGATGTTCGTATATGCTTGATTACTATCCCGATGTTTGCCAAAATCTGAAATAGTTCTGCATTGGCTTATTGATTTTTCTTCTTTTGTGGTGTACATCATTTTCTTCCTAGATTGTAATCTCTGTTGCATATCTTTTGTCTGTCTTTGGTAGGTTGGACAAGATATTGTCGGAGAGTTGACGAAAGCAATGGAAAGGGTGGGCCTTGATATGCGTGTGGCTGCATTGGTGAGTCCTGATAAGTCTGTGTTATGAGAATTAGAATTGATACATTCGTCATTTCATTATGAAAATTTTGATGTATGAGGTCATCCTTTCCCTTTTGCTCGTTTGGTCATTGTACAGAATTCTAAGTAATTATCACCTCTGGATCTCCCTCCCACCCCCGGCCACCCCACCCAGCCTTCCGCATCTCCCTTGTTCAGTTCTGACTTTCTTATTTTTGAAGGCCTCCAAAAAAAAAAAAAAGAAACTGAAAAACTTTACTTGGCTACTGAAGGTAAATGATACAGTTGGGACCCTAGCAGGAGGTCGGTATGAAAACCCCGATGTGGTCGCTGCTGTAATTCTAGGTACAGGAACTAATGCAGCATATGTGGAGCGAGCACATGCAATTCCAAAGTGGCACGGTCTTCTGCCTAACTCTGGGGAGATGGTGGGCCTTTCTAACAAGTTTTGGTTCATCTTTTCCCTCTTCTTTTTGTTGCACCAATACATTTCTGATGATATTTAATTTGTGAAGGTAATTAATATGGAATGGGGTAGTTTTCGGTCATCACATCTTCCCTTAACTGAGTATGACCAGAGTCTTGATGCTGACAGTTTAAACCCAGGGGAACAGGTAACAATTGCTGTTTGTTGCTGTTAAGTTTGACGGATTTTTAAGGTCAATATGGATAAGTTCGTATACTCCAAACTTATAATTTTTAGCTGACTGCAGATTTTTGAGAAGACTATATCTGGTATGTATCTGGGTGAAATTGTGCGTAGAGTGCTCTGCAGAATGGCAGAAGAGGCTGAATTTTTTGGTGATGTTGTCCCTCCAAAACTCCAGAAACCGTTTACACTAAGGTATGCTATGATTGCTTGACTTTCTTGGGAACTATGTTTCTAGTACACCCCCCCGCCCCCCTTGTTATAACTTGACACGCTTTTATATATAAAGCCCATTGAATCACTGAACCTAAGAGAAGTTACTGATTGCTGTATTTTCAGGACTCCTGATATGTCTGCCATGCATCATGACACGTCTCCGGATCTCAAAGTGGTTGGCAGTAAACTAAAGGATATTTTAGAGGTATGTTAAACGCCAACGAGGAAAGTTAGGTGAATATATTGTTTTCACGTGCTTGTTCTGTTGCTTCACTAGATTCCAGAGCTCCATTCTGTGCATGTCTTTAGACCTGAAAACTTTTGCAGGCTTTCTGAGACACAATAGTAAAATCGCATTTAATTCTGGTTGCTCTTGAAGGACATTACTAAGTAGGTGAATTCATGCTATCTTTTCTTTTCCCGGTTTACAGATTCCTAATTCTTCACTGAAAGTACGGAAAGTAATTGTTGAAGTTTGTGATATTGTCGCTTCACGTGGAGCACGCCTCTCTGCTGCTGGGATTTTAGGAATTCTGAAAAAATTGGGAAGAGATACTCCAAAGGAAGGCGAGAAACAGAAGTCAGTCATAGCTATGGATGGTGGGCTGTTTGAGCACTACACAAAATTCAGGAATAGTATGAATGGCGCTCTGCAGGAATTACTAGGCGATGTCCACGAGACAGTTTCTGTGGTGCTTTCAAATGATGGTTCTGGCCTTGGTGCTGCCCTTATAGCCGCTGCTAATTCGCAGTATTTTGAGGCAGAAGAATCCTGATCCTTGTAGAAGCCATAGCATTGCCAAAGGCTGGACTGTTCACTCTTATATTTTCACACCAGCAATTAGATCATTTCTATAGCTATATGAACATGCAGAAAGGTTTTTATTGTATGGTCCTCTGGCTCAAACTGAACAGTGGACCTATGTACTCTAGCACGCTGCCATATAACTTAGGTTGAAGTCTTCACGTATATTTCCCTTCATTTCACCACCACTTTTTGGCCGAGGTACCAAAAACGCAACTGTAACATTATTTGCAGACACATTAGCAAATAAAGAGAGTCAACAAAGTTTGCGTTTTAATTTCGTCTTAGAATTGGGGGCCTGTAGGCTCAGACTAATATCTGGAAACTACAACCAACACTGGAGTTAGAAGTGGACATAGAGTTTATGCAGATTGTCTACATTTTGTGAAGTACAATAATTTTTGGTGCTTTGCCATTTCCTTAATTGCCTGCGGATGTGCCTGATGCCTAATGTTCAGCCGACTGAAGAGCCCACAAAATGATTTCTTCTCACTTTTTCTTGGTTTGAGTTGTGGTTACAGAATCATGCAGCAGTGAAGTTGCTTGAGATTTAATATGTCAAACTTGGTAAGTAAAAAGCTTGTAAATGTGATGTATCTTTCCGAGCACTCATGAGAAGGATTCCATCCTCGGAGCAATTTTATTGATCAGCAAACTACAGAAAGCAGAAAACTTCTGCATTCAGCTGGCTTATATAAGCTGGAACGAAAGAGGTAGCTTTTACCTGTGAAAATGCTAGCTAAACTAGTTTTATCTATATATACAGAGAAGAGATGGATGGTGTTTTCTTCTCTTTTAGTTGTACAATACAATTATCTACCTCTAAGCTTAATTTAAACAGCAACGCTGAGTATTTATATAGTCTCCCACCAGAGTCTATTTCTACTCTCCAGTGTACCACCCTGATTGCTTTTCCTGCTCAATGGACCAAATGTTGATCACACGATTGACTCAAGACTGGAATCCTCCCCCCCTGTTAATGAATTTTCACGCCTTGAGTTCTTGAGGAGAGGAGCAATGTCATACTCACTTCTGCCATTCTTTTCTCCAGGTGACTTTAGGTCAACACAGCGGAGAAGTACTTGCAAAACTTCCCTCATTGTAGGCCTGCTCGAGGGTACTGAATTAGTGCAGAATATACCTAGTTTAAACACGGTGATTATGTCGTCCAAGTAATATGAATCCTTAATGTCCTCATCTATGGCATCAATTATTTGTTTCTCTTCTCTACAGTGACGCCACGCCCATTCTGCTAGAGATGATGTCTCGTCTCCATGGTTGCCTTCTCTTCCAGTCACCAGTTCCAAAAGGATCACCCCGAAGCTGTAAACATCAATCTTCTCATTCACTCTCCTTGTTTGAGCATATTCTGAGTTTCATATGCAAGGACATAAAATAGTCAGAAAACATTAAGCTCAACTAGATGTTAACAGAATCAGATTCAGTGAATTCAAAACAAATAATGATCTACTAATCACCTGGAGCTATGTATCCGAACGAACCAGCCACAATAGACATTGTATTAGGCTGTCCATCCTTGACCAGTGTCCTGGCTAGGCCGAAATCTGCAATCTTTGCGTTGAACTCTGAATCTAGAAGGATGTTGCTTGACTTCAGATCTCTGTGAATTATTGGTGGTGAGCAATCATGATGCATGTAGGTCAGTCCCTGAGCGGCTGCAATAGCGATTTGCACTCTTCTAGACCAATCCAGAATAGTGGGGTGGACTGAGCTTGTATTCATGTATGGTCTGTTCTTGGCGTGAAGCCAGCGATCCAAACTCCGATTTTCCATGTATTCATACACTAGTAGCTTTGAATTCTCCGTAGAAATGCAGCACATCAGCTTTACTATGTTGGAATGTCTGATAGTTCCCAATATCTCAACTTCCGCAAAAAATTCTTTCTCAAGCTTCTCATCCAACCTGTTGCTGTTACAAATCTTTTTCACGGCTATATATTCGCCTGCGCGATGAGTAGGAACACGGTACACCATTCCTGATCCTCCACTTCCAATCATGTTGTTGTCTGTCAAATTTGACAGTATCGACGATGCAGTGAAATCCAACTTGTGAAATGAGGTTAGTTTCCACGTTGAATGCAATTTCTGATTTTTCTTTTTGTAACCCCTGATCACGAAGAAAGCATAGACTAAAGCTACCAACAAAAGCACTGCAATAATACTGCAAACAGCTGCAACAAATCTGGAAGAAAGTCTGCTCGGCCCCTTCGAAACACAGGAGCGGATGTTTACTGACGGATTCCTTGCACAAAGACCAGGATTTTCCAAGAAGCTCCTGTCATAAACAGCATTCTGCAATGCAGCAGGGATTTCGCCCGAAAGGCGATTGGACGAGAGGTTGAGAACTATCAGCAGCCGCTGACCAAATTGAGTTGGAACTTGACCTGAGAATTCATTCTGTGATAAATCCAGATCAGTAAGGACTGGTAACAGACCTAGTGCACCAGGAATTGGACCAGAAAGCTGGTTTCTACTGAAATTCAACACATTCAACCCCTTCCATGAGATTATGCTTGAAGGTAAGCTCCCAGATAATTGATTACCATCCAGGAAAAGTGAGTTAAGCTCAGCTAGAGAGGTCAACCCTTCAGGAATAACACCAGTCAAGTGGTTATTACTTGCCTTGAACGTCCTCAGACTAGTCCAGGAGGAAACTCCATCTGGAATTTTCCCATCAAACTGATTATTACTGATGTCGATAATCGACATATTCCCGGAAACACTGTTGGGTAGCTGGCCTGTGAATGAGTTATCACTTACCATCAACTGAGACATATTTGTGGCTGTCCACAAGCCATCAGGAATTCGACCCGACAGTCGATTTCCATGAACAAGAACCACTTCCAGGCTGTTGCAGCTCCCAAGGGATTGAGGTAATGTTCCTGTAAGATTGTTGTTGAAAGCAACCACCCCCAAGAGGATTCCACTTGTGCATAAACCCTCAGGTAAGTTTCCAACAAAATGGTTGTCAGAAACCTCAAAGGTCCTCAGCTTCGAGTGTTTCCCCAGTTCTGGAGGCAACTGACCTGAAAAATTATTGGTGAACAGTTTGAAATTTTGCAGTGCAGGTAACATGCCTATGCTAGCAGGAACCTCTCCAGAAAACTGATTAAAGAACAGGGCCAGCCCTGTTAACTTTGTCAGTTTTCCGAAATCATCAGGAATTTTCCCTGTCAAGCTGTTATTGGAGAGATCAATCAACCCCAAATTCAAGGCCTCAACTGACTGAGCTATTGGACCAAACAACCGGTTCTTGTAAAGGTACAGCAAACTCAAATTCTTTAGCTGAAATACACCATCAGGGATTGTACCACTCAGCTGGTTTCTTGATAAGTCCAAGGATTCCAAAGCTGTCAAATTCCCAATATCTTGTGGGATTGCTCCGATCAAATTTGTTTTATACATCCACAAAGTTTTCAGCTTCTTCAACCCAGAAAAACTGGAAGGTATAGCTTGGGGTGCAAACCCATTATCACTCATTGCCAATTCTTCCAGATTCAGCAAGTTCCCAATCTCTGCAGGGAAAGAGCCATTAAACAGGTTCGCCGTGAGATGGAGACTTTTCAGCGCCGTCAGCTTCCCAATAGCCGGAGGAATGTCGCCGGTGAAGTTATTCCCCTCAAGATTGAGGATTTCCAAATTTGGGGATAGCCTGTCAATATCATTAGGAACTGTCCCAACGAAAAAATTCTGAGACAGGTCCAAAGATTCGAGCTTGGAACAGTTATAGAGGACTGTGGGGAAGGACCCAGGAATGTAATTATAACCCAGAACAAGAACCGTGAGATTCTTGAGGTCGCATATGAAACTTGGGATTGTTCCGTTGATTCCATAATTGTAGGCGCTAATTCGGGTGACTGAATTGTCAGAACAAGTGATCTCCGGCCAACTGCAGTGATCGGATGACTGGTCCCAGTGAGAAAGGGAAGATGGGTTATCCCAGAACTGTTTGAGTTTGAGCAAAATGGCTAATTCATCTGAGCTAATAGTGTTTTGAGTCTGTGACTGTGAGTTTCCTTGGAATGGGAAGGTGGTGAAGATGAGGAAAGTCAAAATCTGAAAGCAGATTCTGGGCATTTTCGGAAGGAATGGGCAGATTGATCTGCAAATGGAGAAGGTGATGAATTTTTTTTTTGGTTGGCGTTTGAAGCAAATTTTTTCAGGACATGGGAACTCTGCAATGTAGTGTAGCCTCCATGGTGGGGATGATTTTAGGTAGAAGGAAGCTGCTTGGAAACACGAGGCAAATACCAACGGCAGTTACCTGATTTTTTTTCGAAAGAATTAAATTCCCCCACGTTAAATATATATAATCTCGTTCACATTAAAAGTTGGGTTCTGGCGGGTGGTCAATCACACTATTACTTTCTTTAAAAAGTGTTCGATTACTCGCTCCTTTCGTTCTTAAAATAAAAATTTTATTCAGGATCGAATTAATCTTTAGACCATTAAAAAAGTTACTCAGCTTTGTAAATATCAACTAGTTTTGAAGGTCTTCAACAATTAGGGGAGCCCACAATAGAAATTAGATCGTGATTGAAACACGACATCGTTCCTATATTTCTTCATTCACGTCTAAAAAATACTTCTAATTTGAAACAATAGATCTTATTACACAATGATATCCATACTAAAAATATTGTTACCTTACCATAGTAAATATTGAACATGGAAGTAGAATAAGAATCTCCAGAACAGAGTCTCTAAGTTTACACTGTTCTAACTTAATAACTACGAGTTTCGTAAAGTTAATTTTGTGGCAGATTATTTGGTTTCGTTAGCCGCTCGTGAACCTGGTAGAATATAATGGTTTGAACTTTGAAAGAACCTCTTTTATTTTTTTTAAAAAAAATAAGGAACAAAATACTTTTATTTTATCCTGAAATTATTGTAAAGTAAATTATAATAAAAATAAAAATTTAAATCGGCAATCCATGATTCTATTATTTAATTGTCTTCTTCCGGGATGAAGAAAAGTCCAGCCGGACCATATTAATTGGATGTGTGGAATATGTGCGTAGGCTAGTTGACCCGCAATAGTTATCCAAGTGGGATTTTCTTTTTCTTCCAAGAATAAATTTGGTTAACCACTAAATCGATGTGTGGAAATTGTGGATATATATATATATATATATATATATATATATATATTTCTTACTTTCTACTCTCTCCAGAAGTCAAATAATTAATGAATGCTTTGCTGAATGGATGGATTCTTTATTACTTCTACCTTGGTAGCAAGGGTATTTTCCAAGCTATTTCGGAATTGTTGACAAGAACTGAACAATGTATGAACAAAAGAATGTATGATGGTTTAATTGTCGAAAATAAAATTATAGATGCGTTCATACTAATTACTCCCTCCGTTTTTTCCAAAAATAATTGTCTAAACTGATTAAAGAAAATATCATAATTATTTAGAACGCTGTGACTTTGCGTGAATCCATGAACCAAAACTTATCATTTGTAAGAAGTATCAAATGACATAATATGTCTTTTTTAAAAGAAGAAACACCCAATTTCTTTGGGTAGATAGAGTTTGAAGTTTGAACATAATTGAAGATTGTGTGACCGAGTCTCCCACTTGCCAAAATAGCATTTGGTTCTTGGCACTAAAAAATCACAGTCAACGTTCAAACCAAAAAAAAAAAATCAAGAAAAAAAAAACAAAAAAGGAAGGGGGGGGGGGAGGAAAGAGAAAAGAAGGGGGTTTTCTCCAAGAATTCCATCCAATTCATTTACTAAGGATAATAGAAAGACGGTCTTCTAGAATGTCGCCTACGTACTACATGATGTGGTTTGCGCAACTTTTAGTTATTAGTAAAATCGAAAATAATACTCCCTAAAATGATGGGGTTTCTTTTGTTAATATTCATTTGATTAGAGACTGTCGAATTTTTTAAAACGAGAAAGGAATTTTCCATTCTTACCGCTGTCGAGTTATAAAAAAGGAAGTGGATGATCCCAAGAAGCAAATAATAATGTGACAGTTTCACAGATGACTTCTGCTGAATCTTTTAATTATTGTTATGATGGAGCTGTCATTTCAGGCTTGGAAGAATGAGTACGATGTAAGAACCGCCTGCCTTTGTCCATAAAATATTCATCTACCCAATGTAAGCAAGAGTTTACTAATTTAGCCAATAATAAAAAAGGCTAACAATCTTTCAGTCACATAAAAATAATTGATATTAGAATATTTATTTTAATAAATTAGTATTCTCTCTGTCCCAAAATTATTTTTCAAAAAATTTCACTTTTAGTACATTTTGAACTAGAAATGAAAATTTAAATTGGACAATAATTATGGGACAGAAGGAGTATTTTTTTCGGGACCTCAAAGGTATATACGCATTTCCAAGGTGATTGCTATTACTGTAGAAGTTGTTGATGCTGATTAGGACAGACCGCCATTGTTGAATACTACTAACTCGAGGAATAAAGGATACGAAGCTCACGTGTGTTGTTTTGTCAAAAAGTGAAAAAAAAAAAAAAATTGAAGGGCACAGGAAGTTCTTAGTCGACGACTTTGACCTCAACTAAACCCACCCTTCATTTTTGCTCGCCACACAAATAAAAAAAAAAGAGTATTTTTCCATATCATTGCATATTTCCTTCTCCGTTCTCTGTTGGATACCTCCAGTTACCTAACTGTTTCCCGAAACCAGGTTTCTAGATGCAAAAATAAGACGTCTAGTTCATCGATGGCGTGATTATGTTGCAAGCTAATTGCAGCCTCTCGTATCAATCCAGTTCACACTCTGGTGTTCGTTGCTTTTAAGTTTGGAAGCAGCATTACTCAGTCAGCAATTTGTTTCCTTCAAGTAGAATCTTCTAAAGGTTAACACTGATTCACATTGTCCAACAAATTGTCCCGGTACCCTTCACAGCTGACTAACACACTAACTTAAAAGAGCTAGAACTACGCAATGCAGATGAGAGATGACTAAATCTGCATAGTGAGTGCATCAGAAGGTCAAATTTAGACAGTGAAAGAGAAGATGCATAGTTCTAACTTCTATCTGTGAAGATTAAACCATCCAATAAACAGGAAATTGGCGTATGAAGGAAGAGGATTTAAGCTCAGTCCACCCACTATGAGATTACAGGTCCATCTTCAACCAAGTGTAATCACTCTCATCTATATGCTTCGTCTGCATTCAAAAGTTCAAGAAATGCTAACCACAATCCTTTAACAAACTCTAACACCACCACAAACTGAGACAGCAAATGATTCTATACAAACAAGAGATCTTCAAATTTTTTCTCGTTTGCAACCAGCATCATATATCAAGTTCTGAATCCGGCCTACATCTGTAATATAACCCTTTCTCGCATCAATATAGTTCATATTCACGCACCAGAACATATCCTTGAAGTAGTCAAGTAGATTTCCTAAGGTTAAAAGATGCACATTAGTGAATAGATTGTCGGGTACCTGCTGTCAAGATCAATAGGTGACGAGACTCTAAATGACATAGATAACTACAAAATCCATAAAACTAACTTTAAAATTTCTAAGGGTTCTAAATGCAACGCCAAAGATTCACAGGAACCAATTTTAACACTAGACAGAACACTCACAGGAGCGATATCTCACAACAAATCATTAGTCTTACCAACACGGGATCAGGTAACTCTTTCATCCATGACAAGCAAGATAGTAAAAAAGCAACCTGACATATCTTCCATTAATTCATTCTACATAGCAAAATCAGAGCAATATGCTAGACACGTCTCACTAGCCCAAGCTCCTACAAGAGAATGAAGCTCTTAGCTTCCAAAAACTGAAGCGAATCATACACGATCATCCTTTTGAGTGTCATCTATCAATAAAGCGTTAAGAAGAGCTTTACGAACTTTATTTTCAGCATTAGCAGGTAACATTTTTATACATGTTATTGGAATATAAAGAAACAATTTTGAGAGCCCTCATCCTCCAAGAATCCTCGCACAAGTATTGTTGTTAGTAAGTGCGCACGTCCGAGACTAATTCTTTTCAATCTCTTCATGATCATTTATTACTATAAAGTTCTCTTACATTAGGTTCAACTGATCGAAAAAATTTCCTCACGGAATTGTAACACAGGTTGGAATGGATTGGAAAAGGCACTTACAAGTATACAACAATAGGCAACAGAACCCTTGCCATTTCCACTACAAAGATCACATTTTAACCGCATGCGTTCATGATTTCCCCCCTGAAGCAACCACACCCGACTCGAGGGCTACATTGTTGAGCCTTTCAATTGCCAAGATAAGAGCCTGGGTACCCAAATCACCTTCTCCATAAGCCTTGAGCGAAACGTAGAGCTGCTGAGCTAATGCCAACCCTGGAAGAGCCAAATTCATATTCTGACATTCCCTCAAACATATTCCCAAATCCTTTACAAAATGATTCACATAAAAACCGGCCGCAAAATCCCTCTTCAAGATCCTACTCCCGTACAAGTCGAGCGATTTGGACCCCGCCGCACCTGTAGATATAGCATCCAAATATAAGTTCAAGTCCAAACCAGCCTTGTGGGCGTACACCAAACCTTCACAAAGCCCCACCATCGTCGAAGCGATGGTGATTTGATTAGCTAATTTCGTGAATTGCCCTTTTCCAGGAGCACCCATGTAATAAACTTTCCCCAGAAGGCCAAAGATGGGACCCAATTTCTGGACAATAGCTTCATCCCCTCCGGCGAAGATAGAAAGCGCAGCGTTACGGGCCCCACGATCGCCACCGGAGACTGGAGCGTCAACGGCGGAGCAGCCGGCGGACGTGGCAGCAGAATGAATTTCGACTGCGAGTGAAGGGTCAGACGTGGTCATATCAACGACGACGCCGCCGGGTCGGAGGCCCGATAGAGCACCGGTGGTGGGGTGGAGGATGACGTGGCGCACATCGGATGGGTAACCGACGATGGAGAAAACGACGTCGGATTGGGAGGCGACGGATTTGGGGGAGTCAGCCCAGTTAGCTCCCATGGAAAGGAGAGGCTGAGCTTTGGAGGCGGTCCGAGTGAAGACGGTGAGGCTGTAGCCGGCCTTGAGTAAATGGGAGCACATGGAGAGACCCATTACGCCGGTCCCGATCCAACCCAGCCGGGTATTAGACGGATTAGCGAGTTCGGAGGCTGAGGCCGCCATCGTGCGGCGGAGATTGGTGGAGACGGAGAGGAATAATAAGGGAGAGATGCTACGGCGGGAGTTGGGAAGGTGGAGTGAACTGAAGTGTGACCAGAATCGCATAGTTTGGATTTGGACTGTTGTCGCAGTTTATCTGGTTCAAATCGTAATTTGTTGTTATTTCCGTGCCTTTTTTCTCATAGTCTTTCTGCTACGAGACGAGAGGGAAAAAAAGGAAAAGAAAGAAGACCCAAGATTTCTAGGAACTAATAACAAATTGCATACAAACAACTACTAATCCCTCTCAACATTTTAGATCCTGACTATACGATTCAGCAATGAATAATTATGGTGAATGTCAGAGCTAGTTCAACCCATGATGAGGTCTCAAAAGAAATTTTAATTTATGATCCTCCAGTATTCGAATTTAGATAATTAAAGTACTTTAAAATTTTGATACAAATAACTTTATGAGATAATTGAAATACAAAATACTTTGAATGTTTATGTTAGTATAAAGTTCCTTTTTATTATTTTTTTTATTAATTGTTATAAAATAATTCTTGAAAATAATTGTAGCAAATAAAATCCTAAAAAAATGAAACTCTAAATAATATGAGGCCTAAAGCCCTAGTTTTAGTGGACTCCGCCTAAAGCCGGCACTAGTGAATGTAGTTATGTTTACATCGTGATATTATGGAGTGACAAAAACATTAATGCCACACTAGATGCTTGCCCCGGGCGAATGCCCGGGATGCCGCCTGTATTTTTAAATCGATTAAATAAAAAATACGAATCATTCTTAAAAGAATAAAAAAAAATAGAAGAATAAAAAATCAATTGAAAGGACAGAAAGTGAGTTATTATACATAAATCTATGTCCAGATTTGTAACATTTAATTTACAACAGTTAACTTATGCCCGGGTTTACATAAATCATAAACCAATATCTACAACAGAAGAATAAAAAAAAAATCATCCTTAAAAAATTAAATTTCTTTCATGACAGCTTATTTTGTCGCTGTTGTAGAAAAAGATGGATTGATAATTAATGTTAGATTTTAAGTAATTGATTTAAAGGCCCGGGTGTGAGAGAGGAGCGGAATGGAAGAGATTCTTTGAAATTGAGGATTGGGAAGACATTATTGTGTTTCACTTGATTTAAGGGGATTTCCTTACATTTGATTTTATTAATTAAATATTGTTGTTTTAAAAGATTAGTATATACCTATAATTAAGAAATTTTTATGTAGCTATAATTAAGGGATTTATGTATTTATCTATTCATCTTTTTTTCTGATTAGTTAGAGTGCCACTTGTCAAAAATGATTTTGTACTGAAAATGACTTTTGGTGGGAAAATTTTCATTGTAGTGCTGATACATGTCCTTTTTGTTTGCTACTTTAATTAAGTACTATAGATACTTATTCATTCCAATAGTAGACAGAAGATGTATATAAGTTTATGATCATAATCTACTTCCGTCCTCATTTTTTTTTCTTTTGAATAATTCTAATCAATTCTTTAGATACTACTATTCAGTCTTTTAAAATTACTCTTTTTTTATTACCCACAGAATCGATCTTGGGACAGCCAACCATTTTGATAGCTATCGATTCCCTAGTAAATCAAGAATCAAGTTTAATCCTTTACTTGTATCATTTGGTCTTCATTCTGTAGTTTAGCCAGGAAAATCATATTTGTAGTTGTTAAATATAGTAGTAGTGAAAAAAAGACTGAGGACAGGATGTGTTTATAGGTTATAAAGCTTCGCAGTCCAATTAATGATTTTGACAAACCTCAGGGAGGTAATTGTAATTTACCGCGTAACTCGCCAAAACCTCCTCAAATGGACTGAAGTCTGGAACAGAGAACAGCAGTTCCGCTCCCTTTCTCCATTTTCATCATCTTCTTAAACTCCATTGGGCTTTACCGACTACGGAGACTTTTTTCGAACTAGGAGTCCTGTAACTCACGGAGCTGTGAGCCAGGATTGAAAAGTGATCTGTTAGTTTGTTGGGGGCGGTAAGGAAGGCACACAATTCAGGGTTTCGAGCTCTTGGTGTTAATCCGGGTTTGACGACTCTGCTTCACAAGACAATTTAATACTTCGTTTTAAGCATTAATTTTTAGTCTTTATCAGTTGAATTCCCAATTTTCTCGTTTAGGGATAAGATTATTCTCAGTGTTTGCATAGCCTGTAAGCTTTAATATCTGATTCTTGGGTATAATCCGATAATGCTGAAATACACCTCTGCATTAGCGTCGAGAAGTTTCTCTAGGTCGGTAAATCAGAAAACCCGTGAAGGATTTCACTGTTTGAGACCCAGAAATGTCTTCGTTAGGATCCGAGATAAACCCCTTTTGAAAGAAGATAAGGTGTTTGTAAAATTGTCTTCTGGGGTTCTGCATAAGAATGCTTCTAGGGATTCTGTATCTTGCCGGCTGATTAGTTCTAGAAGTTTTTCGAGTTCAGATTCTCAGAAGTTGCCTGAAGGAATTGAAAAGCCTCTGCCATGGTTAGTACAGTCTAGAGTTAAAGCTACTAGAAGGCCCCAGGAAGTGGTGACAACAAAAACCAGCAAGTCTTCCTGGGAGGAATCAGCAACAAAATTCCTAAAAGGTGGCGCCAAAGAGAAGGGGGTTCAGGGTTCGGAAAGTAGGCAGCACACTTATGGGGGTAGAAGAGAAGTAATGGCTGAAGAACGAGAAGAAGAAGAAGAAGCAGGTGAAGCTGAGGAAATTGATAATCCAAGATGGGATAAAATCAAGAATAGATTCAGCAGGACTGAGGATGTGAAACCAGGGTCTAACAAGCCGGAATTTAAGAGGTTGAATAAGCAGGAGAGTTGGGGTCGGAAAACTTGGAAGGAGGCTACGGAATCTACTGTGCCAAAAATTGTAGGTGAAGGGATCTATGGGATTGGACCCATATTAGCTGCATTATCAGCTGAAAGAAGAGAGTTTTATGCATTGTACGTTCAGGAAGGGATTGATCTTAGTGGAAACAATAAGAGGAAGAAGGACAAGAAAGGGTTTGAGAAGATTTTGCATATGGCAGAGAGGATCGGATTGAGCATAAAGGAGGTTTCTAAGCATGATCTTAACATGGTTGCTGATAATAGGCCGCATCAGGGACTAATCTTGGATGCCTCTCCTTTGGAGATGGTCAGCATTAAGGAATTAGAACCTGTTTCTGTAGAGGATGACAGTGGCCCTCTTTGGGTGGCTTTGGATGAAGTTACTGATCCTCAAAATTTGGGTGCAATCATTCGTTCTTCTTATTATTTTGGAGCCTCAGGGGTGGTCTTATGTGCTAAGAATTCTGCCCCTCTGAGTGGAGTTGTAAGCAAAGCAAGTGCAGGATCACTTGAGTTAATGGAGATTAGATCTTGTAAGAATATGATGCAGTTTCTATCGGCCTCGGCAGAAAATGGTTGGCGTGTTCTGGGAGGCTCAGTTTCTTCTAGAGCTGTCCCTTTGCATAAGGTTGTACCTGGTGCTCCAACAATTCTTGTTTTAGGCAGTGAAGGCACTGGTTTGAGGCCACTGGTGGAGAGATCCTGCACCCAATTGATAAGAATTCCTGGAAATGTCCCAGTGGATGTTAGTTCTGGGGAAGGTGAAGACTTAGAAAGGTCCGAGGGCATTCGTGGACCGACGGGTCAAGAATTCAAGTCGTTTATGGCTGTTGAGAGTTTAAATGTTAGCGTTGCTGCAGGCGTGCTTCTTCACCACTTAACTTTGAATAGATGCAGTAACAACGAATCCAGTGAAGAAAAGCTGACTACTATAGTGGAATGAGAATTTGTAGGTTTTCTGATTGAACATGCGAATCAGTAGCTTAGATTTTGCCATGTTTCTTTTGGAATCAATAAGTAAATTTTTCATGTTGCTGCTGTCCTAAATTTCTAATCTCTTTATACAGTAGTTCACTTAATCTGAAAGCAGTCGAATTGCATGATAGTCTCACTTTTTATTTTAGCTTGTGTTGCCTTTTTCTAGTCCTCTTAAGGTTCTGAAACTTGCACCGTGTCTTGTTTGGAGACAACTTGTCCCTGGATGCATAGTAATCACAACTCAGAATAGAATCCATTGCCCCTGCCTCCTCTCTTCCGAATAATTTACTTATAAATGTGGAAGATAAGAGGATGAGAAGTATATTATCTAATATTGCTTACTCAGTGCGCTTGCACATCTTTGTCAATGCTGTATATGTTGTGTGAGAATGTTGGTTGTAATCTCTGCTAGCATTTCATAAAGGCTGTAGGATTTGGACGTGGTTCATTTATTTGATAAAATACAAATGAAATTTTTGACCTCTGTCGTTCAAATTCGAGCTGATTGCGTTGGTAGCTGGTTAGTGAGTGTTGTGCAATAGCCCTACTTGCTTTTCAAGAGTATCTTTTTGTCCTAGAGTTGTGATTTTGTAATTAAGGATCCGAAATGGTGGAAAGCTGTTTGAGTTGAGGCATTCAAGTTCTTGCAAGGACTCAAATATGCATGCTTGCTGGGCATGCATTTTGAAGACCGTATTAAAACCGATTGCAAACTTGCTTTAGGAGTTAAACCATGGTAGCAGACTAAGCTTTTGCAACAGCAAGAAGTCCATAATAAATGTAGCAGGTTCATACTAGCTAGTGTTGTATTTAATCAAACCGATGACAAGATAGGACTTATATATGGAGAAGTTGCAGATTCCCTGAGTTGAATCTAGCTACACTTTTAACCAAAAAATAAAATAAAATAAAAAAATCTAGCTACACTGACTAAAAGGCTCGTCCACTTCAGTCTTCAAGGTTACTATTGAAATCAAGGAGAGCTTTTTCTCTCATCACATGAGGTCCATGTATGTGAGTCAAATGTAGGGCAATGGGGTAAAGCTGTAGTAGAAATTACGAGCAGATCAGAAGAGATAGAATAACAATTTTTCATGATAAATCGATGAAACCAATAAATTGGCCGCATGGCATTTTTTTTTTTCCTTCGCAATTTTTTCTTCAAAGCTCCAAAATTACACAAGAGAAAGACGACATGGTCTAATCCATAGTACTCCATAGAGCAAATTCATGCGGCTCAATTGTAATTGTCCCATTAATCTCCTTCTTCTCAGCTTTGTTCATTGAGTATTTGAGTGACTCTCCGTTCCAAAATAATATAGTACTATCTTATCAATTAACTTAGGACGGAGATAATATAAGTGCCATGTTTGATCTGTGGACTCATGAATGCACTAATACTATTGCTTCCAACCTCTCATACACAAAATTACGTATATCTTTGAACTGTAGTCAGAAGTAACCTCATAAATCATCAACACAAAACACAGAACATGCAAGACCGAAAAAAAAAAAAAGAAAAGAAATCTGCAGAAGCAACTTGATTAAAAGGTTAAAACAGCATACATGAATAACTTGGTAATCCAGATCATGATCATCTACCAATTCTCTACCTTCAAAACAGTTTTAATTATACTATTAAAAAAAAAAAAGAAAAAACACACAAAAACCAACCCTAGCTAATTAAGAGAGTCTATGACTCTGTCAACGTCATCGTCCTCAAACAGAACACCGCCACCGCCATCACCATCATCGTCCGACTGATAATCATCACCACCACCAGGGAAACCGGGCAGCTCGCCGTAGGCCTTGACCAACCTGGCCTCGTCCGGAAAGTACTTGTGGCACACGTCAGCTTTGTGGTCCTGATAGTCACGAAGACCGAGGAGGACGAGGTCGCCGGGGTTGATCCAGACCTTCTTGTGCAATTTGCCCCGGATGTGACACAGCCGTTTTGTGCCGTCCACACACGCGGCTTCCAAACGGCAGTTGCCGAGCATCCGAAGGACCCAAGCGTAATCCTGTCCGTCTTCCTTGAACAGCAGCTCTCTCTTCTCGTTATCGCCGTTGTTGGTTCCTCTCCGCCTGTTCTTCCCTCCCTTCCCCTTGTTCTTCGGCATCTTTGATTATTAAGATAATAATAAAGTTTTACGCTGCTGAATTTGTTTTTGCACTCGATTCAGCTTCTTCTTTCTTTCTCCGGTCGAAATTGGTTGCAAAACGGAAACAAAACGGGAACCCTAGGGATATATATATAAATACACACACATATCTTACAATATTAGAAACAAAAACCACACTTAAAAGAAAGCACCACCATTTGCCATGTGGTATTTCCACATCATATTTTTTAAATAAATCTTTATTTTCACATCTCCTAGGCTTAAAAGGTAAATGCAGTCCAAATTCACCTCCACCTCCTATTTTTGCCAAAACAAAAAAAAAAGACGGGTTCATAAAAAACCCAAATCCTCATCCTCATCTCCACGACAATCGACTCCTTAATCAATCCCTTCTCCACAATAAAAAAAAAAAAAAAATTCCTCATCAATCATCAATTGAAAATATGTGGTGAAATATACTCATTTCCTATTAGCATGTTCAATCTTTTCATTAGTGATGATCAACTATATCCTGATCAGATAATATTTACATTTCAAAAATATTCTCTTTACCTTTCTATATAAACACGAAGGAAAAAAAAATTCTCATTGATCTTGCTTCGGCCGTTGTGGTGGTGCAATTACAGGTATTAAAATTTAAATGATTTTATTTCCACAGATCATTTGTTTGACTTTTATTATTTTTTGTTTTTCCCGTTCAAGAATAGTGTTATTACTATTATTTTTATGCGGCCATCCGTTACTACTATAGCCGTTGTCAGGTAATATGATGCGATTTCTTATATAGTTAGTTAGCCTATAAGTTTTGTATGATTTTAGTTCTGTTTGGATTGAATTGATTAATTGAGTTTTTGTTACAAAGTGTGGTTTTTTAAATTTCTTTTTAATGTTTCATTCAATTAGAGTGGTTTTTTAGTTATGGAGTCTCAGTTTTATTTTCGTATATGGTCAGTTTCGAAAAGTGTTTTTTCTTTGTTTAATTGTTTTTTATTTTGTTTCATACTCCCAGTTGACCAATTATTATTATTATTATTTTATTTTATTTGCAAATAAAGCGCGTTTTTTTTTTTGTGTTCGGACTTTCAAGAATATACTTTTTGAATTTTGGTTTTTGGACTTTTTTTAGTTTTTCATCATCTAAATAGTTCAGGTCGCTTCTTCTAACTAATTTCTGGGGAAGCCTTTTATGAATTTGAAACGGAGAGGGAAAGAATGATGTTTCTACGTTTATTTGTATTTTATACAACATGTTTACCTACAGAAAAAAAAAATTTCTCAATTTTAAATGGGCTATCTTTTACTTTTTTTTTTTATTTGCCATGGTGAGGTGAGTTCTTTTTTGGTATAACTTGAAACCTATGCAAATTTACATTATTTCCATTCTCATATTTGTGATCAACCAACTTCATCAATTAACCAGTTTCAAAATTATATTTTTGATATTTTACTACTTATAAACTTTTGGAAGAAATAGTTTCAACAATTAAGCATATACTCTTGGGAGGAAGCTTACTAAAAAGCTATTATAAATCTCCAAAACTAAATATTGATTTGGCACAACTGGAGAATATCAATAAATTATCTTACTAATATTTAAACTTAGTAGGATGCTTTTATATTTTGTCTAGCATTTAATTCAAGACATATATTTGATCAAGTTTATTTATATTTAAGAAGTAACACTTATAAAACATTTCTAAAATCTTCAAACATTTCTAAAATGTACCGGGTCAAATACAATTTCTTTTTATGCCAAATATAAACTTTTTTATAATCACACTTATAAAACATTTCTAAATTTTTCAAACATTTCTAAAATATATCGTGCCAAATACAAAATAGTTTTTTTCTAAATATAAATATTTCTAAGATATACATATCTATTGGACCAGAGTCGCGCGATGCGCGATCAGACATCACTAGTATATATATATCTAAAAAAAAAATCTTCTTTTCCTTGGGGAATACGCTACTTCCGGTTTTTCCTCGCCTTACTTATTAATCTATTTATAAAAATCCTAATCCTAATATGGATCATATTTACATTGTTAGTACTGTATATTTATTACCCATGCATATATTTTGAATACAAATCGAATTAGTTTGAAAATATTGTTATATTTCTTTCGTCTCAAAATTATCGTTTGATGATTTGAATTTTTTATTTTTAGTACAAATTGAACCAAACGTGATTATCTCAATTAAAAAATAATTTTGGGATACAGAGAGTATACATGTTGAAAACAAGACCATTTAAATAGAGATTTTATATCTTCTTCCTCTTTCCTAGCCATATTAATATTTTAATATAATTTGTGAAGTCATTTCGTGCTGCAAAATCATATAAATGTTGACATCAAAAGTATTCCTTTTTCGACAACCGCATCCATATATATGTACTCATCTTTGTTAATTAAAGATGTTGGTATTGTGCTTTTGGTTATTGTTTTTTTTTTTTATCCAAATCTTACAAAATATAATTTGATGAGTGGAATTTTCATTTTTCTGGCAACAGATTGGACTAAATTGAATTGAGAGTAGAGATCGTTAAGTTAGATACTTTTAAGGGATCACTACTTTAATTTCCAAAAAATTGAATGATCTCTTAATTTCCAAACTGGCTGGGAAGGTCTTGCTCCAAAATACGTCCAATTTGCAGCTAATCAAAGACCTCGATCTCCCAAAGTTTACCATTAGGCTAGCTAGATGTATTATTTATCAAGTTACGTACAAATTAGCAGTGAATTAGTTTCTGTTACAGGAAGTGAACAACAACAATCATATAAATTATAAAAAAGAGAGTAAATACATCGCTAGTCAATGATATTTGTTTCCGAGTAACTTCAACGGGACCTTTTGTGCCATCTGATTTCACAACCGGACGCGATAGCCAATGATGTTTCCGAGTCAAATGAACCTACATATGTGGTGTCTGGAATTACAAACTCCCAAGTAAATCAAAACGGATGTCGAATTACAAACTCATATGTAAAGGTCAGTCCCTCAAGTCAATTTTTTGTTACATATTAGAAGATATCCATCATCGACAACAGTGACTATCCCGCCTCGTTCATGGTAGGTATTTCAATGGGTGGGAGAGCTGGTCAAAGAATTAAAGATTGCTCCATGCCCATAGCGAGGTTCGAACCATCAACTTATGATTAAGGGTGGAGAAGTCCTTTACCACTTCACCACAATCCCTTCAATTCTGAACTAGTCAATGTTAAATATACATATATTCGGTATTTACTACAAGGTGTGCAAAAAAAAAAAAAATTATTCTGCATCATCAACACCGCAGGCAAGCAATGCATGAGGTGATGCCACAATGACATTCCTTACACTTCAAGGTGCCTATAACCTGGGTCGGACATTCAAACCCTTGGCTTGCACATTCACTTTAAAATGTTGTTTACTTTTCATCAAAACCTTGCACTCTTCGTCGATCGAATCAATTTTCCAAAATTCCAAATCTTACCAACCGTAAACCCTAAACCTAACCGTACGTGTACAACAAAACACACACAAGCACAAAACACAAAATAAAACCGAAAACTTGTCAACTTAAAATGTTTGTTTGTTAAACCAAATCATGTACTTCTCAAACCTAACTTGACAATTTAAAAGTACTAATTAACCAAAAAAACCAAATATGCATTAACCGCAAAGCTAGATAAGTTTAGAGGTGGTGAATTACGCCATAACATAGTCGTCATCCTCATCGTCCTCCTCCTCCTCTAAGTCATGACGGAATATAGTCTCCGGGAACTCGCCATAGCTCCTCAAAAACCTCGCCTCCTGCGACGTGTACTTGAAACACAAATCAGCAGTACTGTCAATCTGAGAATAATATTTGCAACCACGGATGAGGATGATATCTCCGGCGCCGATGCAGACTTCCTCGTCGTGCTGGCCGATACAACACAGCCGTTTGACGCCGTCGCCACACATGGCCTCAAAACGGCCGTTACCCAACACCTTGAGAACCCTACCGTATTCCTGTCCGTATTCATCCTTCAAAACCATCTCTCTTCTTTTCTCTGGCGCCACTCGACCATTATTGATCTCCGGCGTCGTCGTCTTTAACTCTTCTTCATCAGCCTTGCTCTCTGCAGGCGTCTCTTCTATTATTCCTCCTCCTTCAACCTTATCCTCCGGCGTTGTTGTTTCCTCTATTAATTCATCACTCTTATCATTATTGTTCTCCGGCGTCTTTACCTCGGCTTCAGTACACTGGTTCTCCGGCGTCTTTACCACAGCTTGATCATCAGTACCCTTGTTGTTCGCCGGCGCCGGCTTGATCCTTTTTACATCGACGAAAGGCAGAAAAGCTATTAAACCCGAAATTATAACATCGGAAATTTTCTCAAACAAACCTGCCAACCAACCAGGAACACTCAAATTCCACATCATAGCTGCTGGTTGCACCAATTTGTCTTCGACTTTAACTTTTTCCTTTCTCCCTAGAGTCACGTACGTGTGGACTAGTACTGTATATCTTTATTTATTATATACCTGTGCGCTCTTTCTTTTCTTTTAAACCACGAGGAAGTTGGAAGTTAAAACCCTAACCCTACTTAACCCAAACTCCCAAACCGCATATACAGACTACTGTAACGTAACATTACTGTTTTCCAACTTGAAATTACTCCTACCTTAATTTATTTTTATTGCACTTGGAATTAATTACAGTATAAATTTCAAAATTCGATGTGAACAATTATATATATTTTTTAAAAAAAATTTGATGTGAACTTTTTTTTTTCCCTTTCTAATATGCGTGGATCAAGTACAGATCAAAGGTGGTAGCTTATTTTATTTTTTTGTTGGTACAATAAAGGAGATCAAATACCTAATATTATAAATTATGATACACTTAACTCTTGACCAAGTTGTGGGAGCTTAATTCAATTGAGCTAATTTGTTATAATTAACCATAAATAAATACTTCTTAAGATCCACAAAGTCCAACTCCTGCTCAAAGACCCTTTGGTTTCGCATTCTATATAACAGCTGGGGTTGACTCCCAACTTAAACATCTCCCCAGATTATCTTCCAGTACTGGAGTTGAACTTGACCCCAACTCAAAATTTATTTATTTATTTATTTTAAGAAAACCATATTCATCGTAACCAACGTCACATAATTGAGTGTCCCTGAAATGTGATGGATCTTATAATTTGTGTTTTTTTGTCCAAAATCTACAAACAATATTGGGTGATTGGACTTTTGTTTTTTGTTGTTGTTGTTGTTGTTGTTGTGGGTCGGGAGTATGTAACAAATTGGACTAAATTGAATGCTCACGCAGCCACATTTTGAAATTATCCAATAAAAACGAGGCTCTATTTTAAGTTTGAATCGCATTTTTTTTTTAATCTCTCGTATCATTTTGTTAGTATGAGTTTTTAAGTATTTTTTTTATTGAGAATGTAAAAGATATATTAGAAATGTAAAAAGTTATATTGGAATGAAAAATTATTATTAATTATTTAAAGAAAAAAAGAAAATAAACCAAAAAAAGCCTTAGTATTACGGATTTTCTTGAAACATGAGTCTTAAATAATTAGAAGTATGAACTTGTTAAAAGTTAAAACCAAAGTCCATGATCGATCAGAGTTGGCGAGTTGCGAGGGAAAGAAGTATCATTGTACGTGGAACGTGACGAAAAATGTTTTTTTCTTTTTCTTTTTTTTTTTTGTTCAATAGAAGAGTTTAAAGTCATTTGTTTTTATTTTTTATTTTTTTTAAAAGAACTCAAACTACAACGTTACTTGAGTAGTAAATATTGATAATTATACTATTGTGTATTTGTGTTACAATCACAAACATTCACTAAATAGTGGAATATCTAAACTAGTTACAGCTTACGAAACTAAAATAATCAGTCACAAAATTTACATCACAAAGAATATGTTTAAGTTCTACATTCTAGTCTAGCTAGTTTATAAGCAGCAACTAATCCTCAATATACATATCATCTTAGTACGTGTACACTAGTAATGCTTTTTCTTTGATATAGCGCTACAACATTTTAATTATAATATCCACCTCTACTTCAACTTTAGCACACTTCTATGTTTTAGCTCCTCAATTGTTAATAAAGTGTACCAATTAAACATTTGCCTAGTTGTACTTGGAAAAAAAAAGTACATCAAATACAGACCTGAAATAGAAGAAACCTTACCTACCTAATGATTCGATTGGTGTTTCAAACTTATCCGGTATATTTCAAATCAAAAAGTGGGTCAAGCTTCCAGCACTATTCCAACCAGGATATTTCTTTCGTGCAAGATTTGACAAAAAAGTGTCATTGTGAAAAGAACAATTTGAAGCGACGAAAATGAAAGCTATAATGGCATCAAAACAGGTACCACATGTGATAAGCCCACTGCTTCCGCTTTCGATTTCTTTTATTTTATGGGTTTGTTTCGCATCTGGATGGCACCTTGTGTTGATAGTAATTTTCACCAATATTAATCTATATATAATGAATGGTAAACTTGGATAATGACGTAAAATAGGCTAAAGGATAAAATTAAGTCATCATAATTTTCCACATAAAATTGTGATTTATTCAATATTTCTGATATGTTACAACGTCCAATCACTTTAACATGCCATTCATATGTACATTAAACTCTTATCGAATAGAACATCTTTCAAAAAGAAATTTTTTTTTGATATGGTACTTATAATGTGTAAGACTCGAAAATTGAAATTGAGATCTATTTAATGAGTATCAAACTGATTAACTCCAGACTATTTGACCAAAAATAATTTCGTGCCATTTACAGTACGATGATGTTAATTGAAAGCGGATGACTTTCAAGTTTCCATAAATGGTGGTAACTTTCCAAATTGGCTGGAAAGCCAAGAGGACCTAAAAGGAGTTCATCCAAATTGCATCGAATCAAAAAGCACAAACCCGAATATACTGATTTCTCCAATGTAGTAATAATGTACACGAGAGCATTTTATTAACATTGTTGGCCTTTTCATCCTTTTCACCAAATGCCATTAAACAAAAGAAATAAAAAATAAAAAAAAGAAAGAAGATTCGAACAATGAAAGCAGCATCTTCCATTTACAAAAAGGAATCCTACGTCCGACAACTTCACACGTGCCACTTCGCACGCTCTCATAGGCCCTTCATAACACCAAACCCAGCAAATGATCAAATTCATCATCGATTTCCAATCATTCAATCCTCAGCTAACGGTCTCTCCCTCCTACTATTTTATTAGAGGGAAGAAAAGAAGAAAAATAAAAGAAAAAAAAAAAAACACGCACACACACAGTGCCCCAAACCCAATAAGCCGCAATAAATCTAAAATAAAGTTTTTTACTATATAAAATTCCGCGGTCACTCAAAATTCGCCTTTTTTTCTCCTCTCTGTCTCCTTCGTTTCTTTCTGTGTCTTCTCTCCGTACTTTGCCGGTTTTTTCTCTATGGCGATCTGATGATGATATAAATAGTTTACGGGTGTCTTCTATGGTAATTTGTAGGGCATTGTAATTGCCCTAACAGGTTACGAAGAAACGGATAATAAAAGGCTGGACGGATAATAGGTTTGTGGATTTCGTCTGGCTTTTTTTTTTTTTTAAAAAAAAGGATCGACGAAACTGATTCGGAGAAGATAAAGCCGCATTGTTGGGGAGGGGGGGACGACAATGTCTGTGTCGATGGATATGTTGGATAATTTATTATTCTCCGCCAGCCAAGCTTGCTGTAGTCCTTTCGCAATTTTCATTCAGATCCAGGTACGGCTGTTTTTTTTCTAACTTTTTTTTTCTGTTTTTTTTTCGTGGCGGATTGAGGAATGTGGGAGGGTATTTCCATCTGTTTGTTTCGGGACTTTGTTTTTGAAGTGTGTGGATCTGAGCAATCGGATTTGATTTCGTCCTGAGGGGGCTATGCAGGGGAGAATGGAAACATCTGGAAATTTTGAATTTTTGACGACGGCCGAGCTATGAAATTTATGAATTCGTTTGCCTGTTTCTTTGGTTTTTTGGTCCTTTTCTCTTCTGGGATGTTTACCCTCCATATTTCTGTTTGTGTTTAGTCGAAATTGCAACTAACACACGAATGGGATCTACTAAGTAGCGGCTTTTATTGAAAGACAATGAAGCAGAATGTAGCTTTTCAAAATAACGAGAAAGTGTTGAATTCAAAAGCTAATAGCCAGCATTTTTTAGCTGCTTTTAGTTTGAATTAAGCTCTACGTAAGCGGATCTTTTTATAAGCAACAAAGAAAGGCTCTTTTCCCTAAAAGTGGGGGGTAAAAGATTCAAGTTTGTAGCAGACGAGGAATTTGGAACCTCATCTCGTTGAGGAATTTCGTTTCATTTTATGTAGATATAGAATCCAATGCTCCGATGAAATTGGACCTGGTTGAGAAAAGCAAAAAGAAGGTATTTCCGTAAGAAAAGTGAAATAGAGAAATTTGATCAGTTATGTTAGAACAACTTTTGGTTATGTTAAGTCTTCCTGGATAAAACCACTAACTGTTTGATTTTCCTAAAACTGCAATGTAGTGCCTATATTAGCACTTCACCTTGGAAACCTCCTGTAAAATGGAATTGGGGGATAAGATAGGTTTTTACTTTTCGAATACCTCTGGATATGTACGAATTACTTGGTTCTTACTAGTTATGTTGCACAAATAGTTGTTTCTTTGAGTGGTGGAAGGGTATTCAAGAGCGGGTTACATAACAGAAAGTTCTATTATTTGTTTTTGGGTATGAATTTCCTACCATAACTGTACCGAGGACTTCTGGTGCAGCTTTAGCTAGTCACCCCACTAAATGTTTTTGGTTAAAAACAGAATTAGGGGCTAGTAATCTTGTAAACTGTGTGTTGATATGTTTGTAGGCATGTATGATTTAAAAATTCAGTCATTATATTCTAATCTTCTGGAAGCTGTCAGTATGACACTTCCCCAGAAAAGACATCTGTTTAAACATCATGCGGCCAGGATCCTAGTTCATTGCAAAGTTTTCATGTTTGTGTATATCCTAATCTCTCTGTTCACGCAACAGGGATATTTCATCTGCTTAGTTCTTGCTCTTGGATGGGCCGGTGCAGCTTATGTCAGGTAATATTATGATTTTGATTCTTTTAAGAAAGATCTTGTGTGCAGTATTACTTAGATCCGGTTTCTATTTGACTTTATAAAGCCATTTGAATTGTAACATTTTTCAGTGACAGTTACTTTCTTCTAACAGAAGCAGAGAAATACGGCGGATGAAGAATACTATTCGAAGTGGCAACCATTTCGGATTTCTTTGCTATGATATCAATGAACTCGAGCATTCTAAGCAAGTCAATTTGCCTAAAGTGTCTGTGGTAATGCCTTTAAAGGGCTTCGGAGAACATAATTTACACAACTGGAGGAGTCAGGTGAAACAAACATCTAACATTGACAAGTAGTTCATGTTTTTCTGGTTCCAATGTCTTGTTATCCGAAATTCTTTTCCCTTTGGTAGTTGATTAAAAATAAATTGAGCTTTTTAAGTTCAGCATTCGGTACTTTGTTGGACACATTTAGTTGATTATTATAGCTGATATTCAACTTTTGTATCGCAATTAGCTTTGATTTTGTTAATCTTTGAGGTTTGTGTTCTTTGTAACTTTCGTTAAATCGAAGCTTTTTTTCTCACCGCATTACCTTCACGAATAATTTAAAATTTTGCACATTCACCTTTGCTTCTTCTTGGTTCATTGTATAAAATGTGGTAGGTCTCTAGTACTCATTGCCTTTCCCTTGTCAAATAATGCAGATTACATCTCTTTATGGTGGTCCTCTGGAGTTCCTTTTTGTTGTTGATAGTATAGAAGACCCAGCTTATCATGCAGTGTCTCGACTTCTGGCAGAATATGAGGTATATGATTACACGCATAAGCCATTTCGGTAATTGCACAAGTAGCATGCATATGTGGAGATCTCGATTTGCTGACCTTGCATTCTTGTTATTTGAGTTCCATGTAACGATCCTTTTCCTTCTTCTATTGGGAAATGATTCCATATCAGTTCTAATGTTGTAGATATTATTTGAAAAGCAATTTTAACTTGCCGTGAATTTTGTGTATGTTCTCCATTATTTTAAACTGTTATAACCTATATGCTTACTGATCTGTTACTAAACTTCATGTCAGTTAATGTTACAGTCTGATGATGTTCCTGAGAAGTTATTTTCTCATTATTAACCTTTGCCGCGAAATTGAATTTTTGCCTGTTTAATTCCATAATAATATTTTTTGTTCATTGGTACTAAGAACCATCATATGCAAGTCCTTAATATTACATTAGAATAAAAGGAAACTCTGAATAAAGTTTGGCAGTTTTTAACATCAAAGTAAATCGGCATGTTTAAAGATATGATTTTATAGTTTTTAAAGATTTACATTTAAAAGATCAAGATAGACACCAAATTGCTGTAAGAATATTTATATTTGATGATTGTGATTTATATAGTAGAATGTGGGACTACACCTGAGCTTTGGTTGGACATTGGATTGCTTAAACCGCAATCCATACGCTGACTTTGATCTTTATATTTGGGTTAGTGCCATCTTGGTCAAAGGATTATAAAGTTTCGCCTGACATATCAAATCAGAGTTCAATTGAGTTGGATTGGGATCACCATGCCTATTTCTAATCTGTGAAACTTACCTGCAATTTTGTTTATGGTCTGTCTGTATCCTGATTTATTTGATGATTTGCCAGGATGATCTTGATGCACGGGTCATTGTTGCTGGTCCGTCAACAACCTGCAGTCAGAAAATTCACAATCAGTTGGTATGTTTGGGACCTAGAAACTATTTGAAGTCTATTTTGATTTATGGAAGTTTACGGAGCCAAAGTTTATGCATTAGAGTCTGTTAAAGTTTTACTTTTCTTCATTGATTATCTATTTATTTTATGTGGTTACATCAGGAATATTATTCTGATTAATTGTTTCTTTAAATTGAAATAACTGTGAAAATATGAGGGCTATTTTTTGTGTGTCTTGACCTTGCCTATTACAAATGAATTATTGGTTTGGTGCTCTACCAGTAAAATCTACTCCATTTGTTTTCACGTGGAAACCTTGATGCCTTTCAGGTTGGCGTGGAAAAAATGCATAAAGACAGCAAATATGTGTTATTTCTTGATGATGATGTTAGATTACATCCTGGATCCATTGGTGCCCTTACTGCAGAAATGGAAAAAAACCCTGAGGTTTAAGTTTAACTATTCTGAACTTTAATGCCTTTATTGTGCGAAATGATCTTTTTTTCATTAGTAACCTGGTGATATGTTGGGATAAAGGCTTGTTGTTGTTGTTTTGTTGTGTTAATTAGGCTAATATGTTTCTGAGTACCAACTTCTTCGCAATCTTTTCCAGATTTTTATTCAAACTGGATACCCGCTTGATCTGCCATCTGGGAGCTTGGGAAGCTATTGCATTTATGAATATCACATGGTATGGAGTGTTTTTTTTTTTTTTTTCCGCATTTATATGTTCACATGGTATGGGATGCACATGATGTTTGCTTCAGTTGTCTGTCTTTCAAAAGGAGCATTTTACTTGTGAGTTGTGAGACTTGCTCCTTGCTTGTTTTAGCTTCCATGTTTTTGTTCCTGAAGTTCCTTGCTTAGAATGAATTGTGTTGGAAAAGGAAAACGTCCGCAGTTATGGGTGTTATATACCGTGTACATGGTAATTCGTTTTGAGTATGTTGCTAATTTGATGTGTTCGATGTTTAGTAGAAACCCTTAACAAGCTGATTGAACTTTTACGTCCATTAGATTGTCCTAATACTTTAATTGTGTTATCTTTATTCATAATATTTCCTCAATTTGTAAAGTTATGAGTTACCTTTTTCTGTTTCTTGCCTGCAGCCTTGTTCCATGGGATTTGCTACTGGAGGCAAAACATTCTTTTTGTGGGGAGGTTGCATGATGGTAATTATTCATTACACTATCAGGCCTATATATTCACTTGAAAAACTTGTTCTTCAATTCAATGATTTTGGGTTTCTTTTCTTCGGTGCATCAGATGCATGCAGATGACTTTAGGACTGATAAGCATGGTGTGGTTTCAGAACTCCGGGATGGAGGCTACTCAGATGACATGACTCTTGCAGCTATAGCCGGTAAAGTACATTCCTGCATTTTATGTTTTGACTCTACTACCGGCTGAGAGAATAGAGCTTCTGTGCATTTCGTATTTTCCCCTGCCCAATATCTGTGTTTGGAAGGGTTATATTTGACCACTGTGTCATGAAAGAGAAGTATTTCTCAAAAAATTAAATAGTTTGGAGGCTGAACAGTTCAGCCATTCTTCTTTATGCATGCTACCCTTGTTGTTAATCCAGAAAATTTTAATAGGTTGCACACTGTAAGTAACGACAGACAGGACCACAAAAAGTAACTACACCTGATGAGTTGGCGATTAGCCGATGTTGTGTCTGCCAAATTTAACAGCCTGTTACTTCCAAACTACATATAGTTGTTTGTGCCTCAATGATTCTGTCAGAATTTCCTTGACTTCTTATGACTTGTCTATTTCAGGTGCTAATAAGAGGCTTATTACATCTCCACCAGTTGCTGTGTTTCCGCATCCTCTTGCTAGTGACCTAAGCTTTTCAAGGTGCATAAATACTAGCTCTACATCTTTTTGAAATCTGAACGATACAACTGTATTTATTTGTTAAATGTTTAATCTTTGAAGGTATTGGAATTATCTGAGGAAACAAACCTTTGTTTTGGAGTCATACACGACGAAGGTTAACTGGATAATGAATCGTGCATTATTTTCTTCGCACTGCTATCTCTCTTGGGGCTTTGTAGCACCATATTTCATGGCAACAATTCATGTTGCAGCAGCTTTAAGATGTTACTACAAAGGTTATGCGCCTGAAGATACAACCTTTATATCAACAGGTGAGCAAATTTACATCCTAGACGGTTGTGTTAACTCTGAAAAATGATTGGTGTATTTGGTGGAACTACTTCTGTTGAAATCTTGATATGGGAAGATATACTCCAGCCTCTTTATGCTTTGTATGATTTACATGAATAAGACCATTGTGGTGTACGTAGTTCTCTCTTTAGTACTGTTAATTATATTTCTTTCCAACCTCCTCCACAAATAGTGGACTTTGTCAAACCCAATATATTCACTTCGAAGGAGAAAATATCTTAACCCTATAGGATGGATTCTGTGGATTGTACCGGTACCTGTAGATCAACTTTGCCTTTTCTTTTCTTTCTCAAAAAGACCGAAGATAACTTAATTTCTCAAAAAGACTGTAGATAACTTAATTTCTTCGTTTACTTTATCCACGCACGTGTCGCAATGCAAGCTCAGGCTATCTTTATCTGCAGACAAAGTAAGAGGCATATTTTTCAGCGTTCATGAAACAGGAAACTAAATCTACTACAGACAGTCTTTAATGCTTCTGACCTTGACTTGGGCTGAGCCCATGGCAACTTTTTGCTTGAACTTCTACTCATATGCCTTGTAATATGTTTTTTATCTGTCCAGGATTGTTACTGGCTAGCTGTCTTACTGTTTGCACAACTCTTGAGCTCCTTTCCATGTGGAACTTGACCCGAATAGAAGTTCACTTGTGCAATCTGTTGTCTCCTGAAGCACCTCAGCTGTCTCTCGCATCTTACAACTGGTTTCTTGTGAGTTTAGCTCAATATGTTCTGTATCGCTTGCTCCTCCAATTTTCTAAATGCTTTCTGTTTAGAATGAGATCCATATAACCTCATTTCATGACACTGTTACTGAACGACTGAAGTTTGAAAGGATGTATGACTTCATCTTTATTTTGTTAGTCATAAGTAATAAACCTCTAGTTAAAAGGAAAATGGAATAAAGGTTTCCAGTGATCTGGAGTTAGTTCTCCACTTATGTTTTGACATTCATTTTCGATGGAGCAGGTGTTTATTGCTATGCTGGTGGATAATTTTCTATATCCTATTTCAGCATTTAGATCACACTTTTCTCAGTCAATCAACTGGTCTGGGATTCGATATCATTTGAAGGATGGGAAGATACACAAGGTGTGTTTTCTTTCCTTTATTTCTCTACTTTTTTTTCTTTTCACTGGGGTCGAAGTCTTTTGTATCTGCTTCAGTCTGAAAAGGGAAACACATTTTAAACTCTTTCTTAAGCCGCAACTATTATCATTAAGATCGAGTTGGATAGACTTCAAATGAAACAACTACCATTTGGTTGTACAGATTGACAGACCTAAGGGTAAAGGTCCAAAGTTTACTGATTTGGGAGGAAAACGTTTGTATGGGAAGAAAGGAGGACAGCATACGGCTTCTCTTCTTTATTCATTGTCTAGAAGTCTGGCTCATTGGCGCCAGCCGAAGAAGTATGATGTGTAGGTGAAGGCAATTTAGCAAGCAGATATTGTATTCTTTTGGTCCTGGCCTGGTACCAACTACCACAATGGGATCTTTGGGGTCTTTATTTTTCCCCATCCGCAGAAAATGGATCAGAGTTAATTTGTAGCTTCCTTATTGATTTTGCATCCCCCATATTGATTGGTTAGATCGATTGATTGATTATTCAGGGTTCTAGTCGGCCAGTTTTTTTTTTTTTTTTAATTGTAATGATCCATCGTGTAATTTATGGAAAAAAAATGTATCCATTTATATTTATGCCAATCAGTTTATTTGTAAACTGGTTTCTTGACTGCAGTGCACGTAACTTTTACATATCCTTTCTTTATTTCCTCTTTCACGGAATTTTATTTCCTGCGGACGGCCCTATACTGGGTATCGAACAGATAACAGGTGTCCGTAAGTAGCTTGATTTGAAATTTTTACTATAAAATGCTGAAGTTCATTTACAAAAAGGAACATGTTTTGCTACTCAAAACTCAGTTACGAACGAGTTCAGTAACTATTAAATCCATCGAACAGTTGACTGCTATTCTTAATTCATTGGTAAATTTAATACTACATCTAGTAGCCCCGTCTCTTTTGGGTTTCAGGGCAGGGACAACCGGCTGATGAAACAAGCAAGTTTCCACCGCAGAAAAAACTGCAAAATTATTAATACTGAAACATAGTACTGGCTTCATATAGTCTCGATAGTCTCACTAACTCTAAGGTACTGTAACTAGTAATACAAAGATCACAAGCTTAAGAATTCCAGAGTTGGAGAATACAACCGGAATCATCACATATTTCTGTAGCAAAAAAGCTGACCTGATGTAAAGTTAATATACATTTTCAATTGTACTACAAGGGCATGTCAAGAGGAAAGGTTGCCGAGGCAGTAACAAAATTGAAAAGAATGGGAATTGGAGGCAATAGAAGAAGGCATCAAGAGAAAGTTCAGAAAACGCCTCCCCCCACTGCTTTTACTTCTACATCTCACAGGAGTAATGCTAATCTTGTACTAAGCAGTACATCAAATTTACTTCTGTAATTCACCAATATAGAAGTCATCAATCATATCAAATACTCGGGTAGCATGTTGTGGCCTGCCAAGATGATATTGAGGTTGATATTAGAACACAAGCAAGCTGGGGAATGTAGAACCAGGAAATTCAACACAATGCAGCAGAAACTGACTTGGTAGTGATAAGTGGCCAAAAGTGACGGATAAGAATAGGTTTTAGCTTTCAATAAATTAACCCATTGGAACAGCTTTTTTTCATATATTCCACTTCAATTTTAAAAGAAGAGCACATCTAACTTCCTGTAGCTGATATAAAATTAATTCTATATCAAGGTTGATTTGAAAAACAAATGCACAAATTCAAAGGCCTACCCGAAGAAACCTTCAGTTGAGTCGTCTCCAGCATGCATCAAGATGGCATCACCACCAGGATGTTCTTCTACATATGAAGTAACGTCATAGACCTAAAATTGACCATAAGACAACATAAAACGGTGTTACCAAAGATTTTTAGCATTACAGATCACCTGGTTACGGACATATTCTGTTTCAATGAGTTAAGAAGATTAAACCTTATCTTTAATGATGATCCAACAGTCTGTCCGCTTGTTATGCAAGGCAATTTCAGACTTAGAGTATGTTTTCAAAGCCTAAGTAAAGTCACAAGACATGAGTTAATAGAATAGACATCAAACATAGCATATGAAGTAAAAAATAATCACCTGAAACGAAATAACCAATTAAAAAGCAAATCGGCTAAGGAATAGCAGTAGTCAAACTTATTTATCTTCATCAAAGTGTAATGACCAATTCAAATAATGTTTGTTAGCTCACGAAGAGAACGGGGCATTTCCAGCACAAAAAGAAAAAACAAAAGAATTTCAAGCTAAAAATGACGTTCACAATGAAAAATTGCAGTGAATTATATAAGTCACTGATGCCTCAAACCACATTTTACATGAGAACCCGAAAGTTTCATGTAACTTGATGCATTGTAATATCAAATCACTATAACATCACAACTCAGGACAAAGTAACAACACTCGCAGTATAATGATTTTCAAACTGATAATTTATCTGAACTCCTCAATGGAATCTTCTATGCGGTTGATCAGATTTTGAACAATGTATGCCAACAGATAAACTAGTAGATGTATGCCATCAAGCAAGCTGTATAATTCTGTGAAACAGGTTGAACTTCAAAGTAAAGTTACTATGATATTGACCCTTTAAATCTACAATCTTCACGGAACAAATGAGACATTTTACCCAAAAGATACTGAAACTAGAAACATATACTATTTCCAAAAAGGCTTTGTTGAACGAAAAATCTCCCACAGAAATCCAAGCATACCAGTACTATTGGAGCAAAAACAATCTTTCATTTCATTTTCAGGTTAGTAATGCCAAACACACAAAACGGTAGCACAGACCAAGTTACTTAGACAGGAAGTTGAGGAGCAAAACAAAACGAAATTTCCAGGAAAATGAATGAACAAATTGAAGTACTATCTTTAAGCACCTTGTCACTGGCATTTGAATGTGTCTGCTTCCCTTGATCTGCATCCCGCATTAAACCAGACCAACGAAAATTACCACCATATTTCCAGATTCCAATAATAACAAAAATCAAAGCAAAATGAACAAAATAAATTTGATACGCAACCTGATTTTCGCAGCCGAGGGATTACTATGAGCATGCCCAATAAGATGCCCAAAACCAAAGTTGCTACTGCAATAACCATTCTCCCAACTTGTGTATCGTAATCTAAACATAAACAACCAAAAAAAAGAAGAAGAAACATTCCAACTTCAGAAGCATAAAGAAATCAATTACGCCAATTCAATGATGAAGTCCAGTGAACTGCTTACTTATTAACTATACGAACATTCAGGCGTGAAAAAGGTTTAACGGAAAAGGTACAGGGCGATAATAACCTGTATAAATTCAGCAAGCGAAATCAATTTGGAATTTCTTTATGCTCCGGCGATGAATTTGAGGTGAGATTGCCGCCGGTAACTAATAAATTCGGAGTTTCAGTGGGAGAGTGAGTATCAGAGTACAGCCAAGAAAAGTCTGTGATTTCCACGTTCCAACAAATCACGTGCGTCCACGATATATAGTTGGGTAAAAAAAACTACTCTAAAAAAATGGAAATGGGAAGAGTCATTAAGTCAATATCGAAATTTTGTTTTTGTAATTTGTCAAAAATAACATCCTATCCATTATCCAACCGAAGTTATCTTTTAGTGTACTATTTACTCCCTCCGTCCCATAATTGTTGTCCAGTTTTACTAAAATGAAAGATTTTACTTTTAGTCAAACTTAACTATATTGTACCTTGAACAACCGGATATACCCTACATAAGTAATTGTTTAACCACAAAGATTTTAATGGATAATATTTTTTTATTAAAGACAAATGTGTAACTTGATCCATAAAAAGTCAAATTGGACAATAATTTTGGGACAAAATTTTTTGGGCAAAGTAGACAGTAATTATGGGATGGAGGGAGTATTTGTTATTAGGAAATAGTTATCCTCCAATAATCTCACACCATCCAATGGATAACGGAGTTTTTCTCTAATTTTCTTTCCCTCTAATGAAAAAAACTTACTCCCTCTATCCATTTGTTGTTGTACTCCCTCCATCTCAAGTTAAAAAAGAAAGAAAAAAAAATTGGGCGCCTTTTGGTTTAAAAATGCCTAGAAAAAAGAGTAGATAGATCTTTTTTTTTTTTTTGTGAAGCAAAATACAAAATCCAATTTCCTAATTAATTTAGTAAATCCAATTTACTAAAATAATTATTTTTTTCGGAAAATACATGTGAAAAATATGAAATGTAAGTCAACTAATGAACATTGTAAGGTCGGATTTTAGGAATCCGGCCTTCTTTATTTTAAAAAATAAATATAGAGGGGAGATTTGAAAATTAAGAACAGTACAGGGTCGGATTTTCGAAATCCAACCTACCTTTTTATGGTTAAAAAATAAATGTAGGCGGGAGATTTGAAAATTAAGAACAGTAGAAGGTCAAATTTACAAAATCCGACCTTATTTAAGCATACCTAACAGTAGATATCGGCATTGAATGGACGTTATTGGCGGGCAGAAGGGAGTTGATATGTAAATCGGATTTAGGAAATCCGACCTTATTTATAAACTCGGATTTTAGAAATCCGACCTTATTGTGTTATAATGGGACGACGAAAAACACTATTCACATATCGGGATTTTGGTGAAGGAGGCGATTTCTTGAAGGAGGAGGTGATTTTAGTGGCGATTTGAAGATTTTATTCACGATTCTTCCCAACGGATGTCTTAAAACCATTTCACAAGAAGGTTAGTTATTGTTTTGATGTATTTAGAATTATTGTTGTTGTTTTCTTTGTAAAAGTGTAGAACTAGGATGATTTATAAGGTTTTAGGGTTAATGTTGGGTGTAGTTGATGATTATTGTTGTATACGTGGTATTGAACGTTTAATTTAGTAAAATGCTTGAATTTGCCCTAAACTTTTGAATTTGTAGGGGGTTTAGTAAATTTAGTGTTGATTATGCCTTGTTTGTGGTAATTGTTATAATAAGTTGTTTGATAATCCCTTGTTTGTGTTTTTTTTTTAATAATTTGTTCATAATGTGTTGTAATTCATGTAATCAACAGATATAAATGGCGTTTAACAGTTCATATTTCATTAATGTCTATTGGTCGAGTAAATTTGTTGTGAAAATGGGATTGTGAATACTTTTAACAACATGCCAGACGATTCCTTTGTGATTGATCATAAGGTATTGTACAATGATTTGGTTGGATTGATTTATGAAAGAGCGGGGTGGAATAGAGAGAATGTGAATTTGAGTCTATCGATTTTGTATGATACGGTGGGAAATGATTTTAGGCGTATCGCCAAAATCAAGGACGATGCATCGTTGCAAGTGTTGTATTTCCTCCCAAATTCGACATATATTGATTTGTATGTGGATTTGGAGGTGGCGGGTACTTCTAGGTCCCATTTGGAAGTAGGGACAAGTAGTGGTAGGCCGAATGTGGAGAATATCGATTACATGGAAGATGCTGATGTGGGTGGACCGATTATGGAGGATGGCGATCACATGGAAGATAATCACGTAGAAAATGATGAGGACTACACATCAATAAGTGATCAAAGTGATGAAAACTAATCAATATTCGAAGGAAGTCGGAAGAGTGATGAAGAGGTCGAAGACAAATTCGCCACAAAGGACAGGCACATATATCGTTCACAGGGTACATGGGATCATACAAAAGTGGACAAGGATGAATTTCAACTTACCATGTGGGACGGGACAACCGCAACAATCGGGATAGGGACTTGTTTCAAGAATAAGGAAGAAACAAAAAATGGTATTGCAGCGTGGAACATAGAGCAAAGGAGAGAGTTTTATGTGAAGGAAAGTGATGGTTCAACATGGTATATTTGGTGCAAATCCATAAAAGAGTCAACCCCTAAGGGTTAGGTTCCTTGTCGTTGGAAGGTACGTGCCTCCTTGAGAGACCACGTTTTGTGGGAGATTGTGAAATGGGTGCCTGAGCACAATTGTATGAATGTCACCGAGGAAAATAATAATCGGAATGTGAGCGCAACGCTTATTGCTCATCTCATAAGGCATAAGGTTAAGTTGGACCCGGATTATGAAGTGAAGCTCGTTCAGGAAGAAGTGAAAGACCGTATACATGTCGATGTTCCTTACCACAGGGCATGGGAGGGAAGGAGAAAAGCTATCGATCTTGTTTACGGCGACTGAGTTTCCAATTTTGACACACTTCCAAGGTATTTACTTAAGTCCTATCTAATTTGTTTGTAATTTACTTTGCATTAATTTTTTTTTTATTTAGGTTTTTCGTCGCCCTAGAGAAGAACAACCCCGGCACAGTTGTAGAGTGGGAATGGCAACCGGGTTGGACCGATACAGAGAGGACGTTCAAATACGTTTTTTGGCCATTCAAGCCTGCAATTGATTGTTTTGCTAAATGTCCTCCGGTGATTAGTATCGTCGGGACGCACTTCCGTGGCGGATACAAAGGGAAATTACTTGGTGCAATGGTCATAACTGCGAATAAGCGCATCCTGCCAATTGCATATGCAATCGTGGATAAAGAGAGTGAGGAAAGTTGGTCATTCTTCTTGAAGTATTTGAGGAATCATGTTATATCCGACCGTCCTGTGCGTTATATCCGATCGGCACAAGGGTATCATCAGTGCAATACACCTAATGCCCGAATGGAATGCATACCACTGGTTTTGCCTTCGTCACGTCCGCAGTAACTTGGTGGCGCGGTTTCAAAGTAAAAAGATCAAAAGGTTGTGTTAAGAGATGGGCACGAAACTTTCAAAGTCTGAATTCAAAGAACTAAAGAAAGAGCTACGTGATTTTAGCAATGATGCATATTTGTATCTCGATGAGATTGATGCTTGTCAGTGGATTGTTGCCAAAGACAAACACTATCGTTGGGCTAACCAAACAACCAACATTTCTGAGAGTTACAACAACGTCCTCAAGGGAGTTCGTTTCTTGTCGATCCGAGCTTTGGTGGAAACCACTTTTATTAAGACTGTGGATTTGTTCCAGGAAGAATACGTGAAGTCGAGAAAATGTATTACACCGGTCCCGACTGACTTGTGGGAAGACTTCAGGAAAAAAGAAAAATCCGACCTTTGCCTATATTGAATAAATCGAATTTTGTGAATCCGATTTTCGGGGACTATATATAGATTTGGCCAAAATTTTGGGGAGTCAAAATCGAATCCCCCTTCAAAATCCCCCCCTCCAGGCGACCACTTCTACTGGCGAATCCCACCTCCCGGCTGGAATCCTCCCTCCCGGCTCTCCCCGGCGACTCCCCCCCCGGCTACGCCCCCTGCACCCCCGCACTAGCTCTCCTCGCGACTCCCCTCCCGGCGACTCCCGGCTCTCCCGCGACTCCTCCCGGCGACTCCCGGCTCTCCCCGGCGACTCCCCCCCTCCCCGGCGACTCCCTCCCTTCTCGGCTACGCCCCCCTGCACCGCAACTCCCCCTGTAGGTAAAATCTTGACATTTTTTTTTTTGCATTTTTTCTCTTTTTTCTTTTTTGGGATTGGAATTCAATTCCTTAGAAAATGTTGATCTTTGTTGTGTGTGACTGTGTGTGTGTATGTGTGACTGTGTATGTGTGTGTGTGTGACTGTGTGTGATTGTGTGTGTGTGTATGTGTGTGTGACTGTGTGTGACTGTTTTTCCGGTTATGCTGTGTTGTTGTGTTGTTGCTATGTTGTTGTTGATGAGCTTTGATAGCACTGTATTTTTGTTCCTTTTGATAGCACTATGTTGTGTTGTTGTTATGCTATATGCTGTGTTGTTGTTATGCTATGTTGTTGTGTTGTTGTGATTTTGTTCCTGTTGATGAGCTTTGTTGCTCTTTTGGTTCCTGTACCACTGCTGTTGTAAATGTAGCACTCTGTTGTTGTGTGTTGCTCTTTCCACTGTTATTGTGTTGTTGCTCTTTTGTTGCTGTGTTTTTGATAGCACTATGCTGTGTTGATGAGCTTTGTCACATTTATAGAAGTCTAACCATGTACCACTGTTGTTGTAAATGTACATTATATGCTCATTTATCGTTTTGTTATATAATGATGATGGTGTATTGATAAATGTTATAGGATTAAAAAAATGGAAGGTTCGAACTCCTCGCAACCTACACTGCAACATTTTAATCCAGCTCCAATAGATGACTCCTTGTTATACCTTTATGACCATCATAGGGTGAAAGCCATTTTCGAGAACCATGAGGCGTTCAGTAAAGCCCTTAAAGATAGGAGATTTGATAGTCATTTTTGGACGTTTATAGAGAAACCTAGGCCCTCCACAAGTTATAGAAGAGATAAAACGGGCAGGCTTTGGGGGGAGGGGGTGATCCAACTAGGTTATATACAAGCGAACAATTGTTTGATCACCGCAATGGTTGAGAGGTGGCGGTCTGAAACCCATACCTTTCATTTTCATTTTGGCGAGGCCACTATCACTCTAGAAGACGTTGAGGTGTTATTAGGTTTGAAAGTGGATGGTAAGCCTGTGGAGGGGATGACACCTGAGAATTCTATGGCACAGGGGATGGCGATATGCTTTAGATTGTTGGGAATTACACCCGTTAGTGACATGTTTGATGGGAATAAGATTTATGCAAAGTGTTTAATCAATGAGTGTAAGCTTCCGATCCCAGAAAATGCTCCAAGAGAGGCCTATACACAGAGGACCCATGCCTTACTTTTACTACTGATTGGAGGTTTCTTGTTCTTGACAATACGGGAAATAGAAACCGCTTTGGATCCTGACAATACTAGAGAATTTGGATGTCTGTGCTACCTACAGTTGGGGGTCAGCTGTGTTGGCGAAGTTGTACTTTGCTTTGTGTCAAGCTTTCGCGCCCGGGGAGAAAGACATTACTAGATGTTATATGCTGATACAGGTAAATTTTTTTGTTTGTTTGTTTATTTATATTTTTTTATTATATTTTTGTTTGTTATTCTAATTTGTGCCTTTTTTGTTTGATTTAAAATTTCAATTATGGGTTTGGGAGCGTATCCCAAGACTTCAACCGAAGTGGAAGGTTAAAGATGAGAGTTACTTGCTGCCGGACGCTCCACTAGGCAACATGTAATTATAGATTTATTTTATTAATTTTTATTTCCTATTATGTCTCAATCCAATGGTTTTTTAACTAGAATTCCTTTCCTTCATAGGTGGAAATGCCCAAAATCCAAAGCGAATATCGCCGCTCATTGTATTACTAGTATCAGGGATCAGTTATCTAGCCTAAGGGATGGGGATGTAAGTATTGATTTAAGTAACTCGATAAAATTCCTTTTTATTTTTTTCTCTATTTTTTTTACTAATTTTTTAATTTTGGCCAGTTTCTATGGACTCCATACACTCTATTCATCGACGATCTCCCTGATTTCTGTAAAGAGGGGGTTCATATCTACCTCTGTAGGATGTGGATCCTTTGTTGGGCCATCAGAGAACCATACGAGCACAATCGGGTCCTTCGTCAATTTCAATATAAGCAAACTGTGCTAGAGTACCCGTTAATCAATGACATTGATCGTTGGAATGCGATACACCGCGGATGCCTTGGGACTGGAAAGGCATATGATGATTGGGTGCAAAAACACACCGAGGTACGACCTCATTGGAATGTGAGAGATTAGCACGTGGTCCCTTATGAATTGGTTGATCCGGAACTAGGTCCTCAGTGCACATCAGACTACATGCTGTGGTTTCAAAAAAAAGACTATCAGATTTATGACTGATCCCACTCAATACGGCCCTCTGGCACAGGGTTATCACTCGTCTTCATCTCTGGAGGATTTTATGTAAGATATATGTCGATATTTTATTTTAAAATTTTTCTATTTTTTAATTCTTGTTATATCTTATACTTTATTAACATGGTTCAATTTTCTGCAGTCTTCAAATCTCAGCGACGTATATCATCTCGCTGATGCAGCCTTACGGGAAAATCCAGGCCTCGGTGGTAGTCTAGAGGATAAACTCTTGCAAATCTTCGACAAGAGTTTCAGTGCCCTGACTTTGGGCCTACATGATATGAGCACTCAGCCCGATACTCAGGTTCTTCAGAAAAGACCACAGGAGTGAAGTCAACATGTTGTACTCACACAGAAAATAACATCGAAGCCTATTGGAGGAGGAAGGAGGAAACGAGAGGGAATTTCAGATCGAACAATCATAGTTCATCCCAATCCAACTCTGATGCAAGAAGATGATGAAGGCAATGAAAGCGATGAGGATTACTACATTGGGGGCGAAGAAGAAGAAGAAAAAGAATAAGAGTCCTCTCCACCTCGTGTTTCTTCCCAAAAGAAAAAGAAAAAGGTCGAGGTTCGCAAGAGTGATAGGGTTAATAAACCGGCCGAGAAGTATACTCCCGGCGACGGGGCTAGAAGGAAGAAAAGGTCGTCCAAGTAATTCAATTGTAGGACTCTTTGATGTGTATTAGGAGTTATTTGGATGTTTTTTTATGATTTTAAACTATTTAATGTTCATTAGTTGTAATTTGGATGATTTTGGAATTTGAATGCTTTTGAATTTGTTAATGTTTGTTACGATGTGTTTAGAATGTGTTTATAGGTAAATTTATGCGTGAAATTTGGTTTTGGTGCTGTTGTGATAGGTTGGGATTGCTTCCAATCCTTTATTTTCTTTCTAAGTTTCTGTTCAAGGTCGGATTTCTGAAATTCGACCTTCCACTTGTTTTACTAAGAAATCGGATTTTGAGAATCCGAACTTACCTTACCCGAATTCTCAAAATCCGATTAAAGCTTACCCGGATTTCAGAAATCCGACCTTTTCTTAAAATCGGATTCCTAAAATCCGACCTTGGTCAAAATTTCAATTCAAAAAAAAACTAAGTGTTTTTTGTCAAAATATTATATGTTAAAATGTCAAGGTCGGATTTTAAAAATCCGGCCTTCTCCTTAATCTTGATTACTGTAATTAATTTTACGTATAAAGGGGAGGTCGGATTTTGAGAATCCGATTTACAGTGAAAATCGGATTTTAAGAATCCGATGTCGGTATTTTGCCCTTCTCCAAATTTTGACCTATATTTCTCTCTTCTCCTATTTCTGGGCCCTTTTTTTGATCAAAAACTCTATTTGTATTGGATTTTAAAATTGGTATTATTTTCTAAGAACAAAGGGAACGTTACTTTAGGACAGAAGGATACTGTCATTTTTTGTGAAAAAAGTAATTCTATTAATCTCAAAACAATTGTATAATTTAAATTATCACTTTTACTTCATCTTGTACTGAAAATAAATATTCAAATGGAACAATTATTTCGGAACAATATAATATCTATGTTTTTCAATTCTTATGATGAATTGAGTATTGATCAAGTAGGATTCTAAAATATGATCTACATAATCGACACCCTCATGACTCATCCACAAATTGGAAAATGATTGTTATCAGTGTATGTTTTTCTTTTCTTAGATTTACAATATTTGTACTGAGATACTATATGCTTATTTAAAAAGTAGAGACACCAAGTTCATGGTGATCCAAATGAAAATACTATTAGAGAATCGCTTAATAGAAATTAGTTGGTGGAGTTGAAATATTTTGCGGTTAATCACTCGAGTACTTTGTAAATGACTAGTATTGGAATTTCTAACTAGTGTATGTTTTCTTATTATGAGTCAATTATTAATAATTGAAATACGATCTAATCGAAGTTTTTTACGCACGGTATTTGTTGTTTATAAGGCAAGACTCACTAGTCACTAACCATAAACAAATGTACAGTATCAACCAATTTGTCTAATCTTAAAACATAGAATCCTAAAATGTAAAAATACGAATGGTAGAAAACAGGAAAAAATGGCGATCCTATCCAAAGCTTTCCCCCTGACGTGAATCGTACCCAATTGATTTTTGCGAAGCCTATATTACTCATTTGTTTCGATTTTTTCTCAATTTCATCCAATTGACCGATTTTCCGTTTAAGATAATGTTTTTTCGACCTTTTCGTCAACTCATCATTTTTTTATTAATAAAGTTTTTCCCTGAGCCCCTTCGTTCCAATTTAGGCTCAAATTACACTTGATTATCACTAATTATGTTGGGTCCATTTCAGATGAAAATTTTCCACCAAAAAATTTGTGGGCCCTACCTCAGTGGAATTTTTTTTCTTTTAACCGGTTATAATTATAAAAAAATAGAGAAATAAGAGTCAACACTTTTTTTTTTTGAACATTAGGGAAGTAAAAAAGAGTAAACACTTGGATAAATGAATCGACGAGGCAAGTAAAACTATTTTTCTAGAAAATCCTTTCTATTCTAGAATATCCCAAAACACAAAATCGAAAGGTCACTTTAGTTTCAGAACAAAAAAGTTGTCGTCGTTCATAAAGCATTTCGGCAGTGTCGATGCTGGATCCACGGCCACAAGAGAAGAACGATGAGCCCCCACTTGACTACGGTGAGTATTCTTCGAAAAATTCTGACTTTTAAAATGTCGCTTTGCAAAAGTTATTGTTTTTTTGTTTGTTTGTTTGCTTCTGGGAAAAGGGCAATCAGAGAAAAAATGTTCCTTTATTATGATATATGTAGGTTCGATTTCTGACTATAGATCTTCTAAAAAAATTGTTATCATTATTTGTTAATCTATTCTTTAGGGCTTACCTCGAATTTGATTATTGTGGTCCCCAAATTTCGCTATTATGCATGTGGTTTGTATTCAATTTTCTGTCCCTAGAATGTGATTAAATTGGTTTTTGTACATATTTTTTTTTTCTGGTATTGTTAAGGTTTTTTGATGGGTTTAGAAACCTAACTCTTATCTTACTGCAGATTCTGATTCGCCCATGGGAAGCGTTCTGATTCATTATGGTGGTGAAATGATCTATACACCATACCCTATTTACTCTGGGGGAGAATATAGGTTTTTTGATAATGTTGATTTGGAAAACCTAGATGTTTATGACTTGTGTATAATGGCAAATAGGATAGGGTTGGGGGAGAAAGTAAAGTTCTGTTATGTAACTGAAGAAAATGAGGTGGAATTCATATCGGATGATTAGGATTTAGCGCCAGCTCGTGGGCATGCATTGGCAGAGGATAGATGGTTGGAGTTGTATACTTTAGAAGTTGAAGTTGAAGGGACAGATGGTGAAGCTACAGGGAAAGCTGGTGCAAGGCCAATGAAGGTGACGACTTCGACAATGATGCTAATGTGAGTCAAACTGAAGACGTAAACAATGGTGGTCCTGAGGGCGATGATGGGTCGGATTTGGATAATGATGATGATATAAGTGATGATGATGAGAGTGATGATGATAACAAGGAATGGAGTGATAAGGATTCTGAATATGATTCAGAATTTGATGACCAAGATTATGAAGAGAATATAAATGAGAGTGAAGCAACATGGGGTGTTGAAGATAGTAATATTGAAGCTGCTGCAACTGTGGCACGGGGTATTGGCAAGAAGAAACTTATAGGAAGTAATAGCAGAAATCAGCAAGAGGGTTCAAGTAAGATTCCTGAAATCGGTAAGTCAATGGGAGAGTTCACACATACAGGTGTTGGGGATGTCGATGAAAGTGAAGATGAACGTATTGGTCGTAGACTAAGGGATTTGAATCTCACTATACCAGATTCTGATGATGACTTTGAACCACTCCATGAATCAGATGCAGAAGGTGAGGAACTTTTAGAACAATTTAATTCAGAGAAAGACATGTGGGACCCTCCTTTGAAGTGTGGACTTACCTTCAATAGCTTGGAAGAGTCAGCACATGTTATTAGAACATGGAATAATAAGGGGCTTTCAGTGGAAATTTCAGAAAATTGAGAAAGGAAGGGTTAGTGCTAAATGTATAGATCCTAAATGCCATTGGAAGATTAATGTTAGAAAATGTTCAGATGGGACTATTAGGGTTACCAGGTTTGCTCCAAAACACATTTGTTCTTGGGTGAAATACAATCCTTGTTTGACAAGCAGTTGGATTGCACTAAGGGTAGCAGAGCTTATTAAGGAACAACCCATTATAAAACCTCGGGATTTCAAGAAAACTGTGAAGGAACAGTACCACGTCGACATGACATAGGATCAAGCATATAAAGCTAGAAAGAAGGCAATTAAGGCTGTATTGGGGAATCAAGATGACCAGTTTAAGAAACTAAGGGGTTACTGTCATGAACTCCTGCGAAGTAATCTTGGAAGTACTGTTGTTCTTAAACCACAAGATGGCTAGACAGACCCCTCAACAGGTCAGCAAAGATTTCAGAGAATGTATGTTTGTTTTGCAGAAGTTAGAAATCGTTTTTTAGCTGGTTGCAGGAAATTTATTGGATTAGACGGGACATTCTTGAGGGGTCATATGAAAGGAGTTCTACTCACTGCAGTTGGTATTGATCCCAACAATGGAATATATCCGGTTGCTTGGGCAGTGGTAGAAGTTGAGGATAAGTCATCTTGGGGATGGTTTATGGATTTATTGAGACGTGATCTTCGAATCAAGAAAGAAGATACTGATCAATGGACCTTAATGAGTGACAAGCAAAAGGAACTAATCAGAGCTGTAGAATCAGAATTTCCTCATGGAAATTAACAAGCATGCAGCTCCTGAATCAGCTGATAATATAATGCATGACTTTCAGTACTTAAAAGCACATGTATAATGGGATAAGTTTCATTTAGTGAACATTAAGTTTATTGAAAATCTTGGAAATCACAGTAGTACTAAAAATGCGTAACAGGTGAGAAAACAGAAACTAGATCATGATGTTGCGGTGTTATAATATACTGATGAACCAATCAGACCAATGACACATATATATGGGATCTAATCCACCAAAGAGATCTGATAAGGCTACAAGAGGTGAAGTCCCTGTAATTATAATTCTAGGGAAACCCGCTAGAAGAAATGTTGTTCATTCAAATCCTACACAGAAAACGAAAAAGAGAAAAGTCAAGGTTTGTGTAGTTTTTTTTTTTTCTATTTTCTGGAAAATATACCATTTGTATTACTTGATTTCGGAACAATTTGAATAAGATAGTCTAAATATTGACAGGCTGCTAGCTCATCTCAACCTGAGAAAAAGGTTCGACGCAGAGAAAATCAAGTTCACAGACTACCTTCAAACTGGTTGATGAGAACATAGATGAAGATCCAACCACAGACAAAGTGCAAACTAAAAAGAGTTTTCGAGAAGCTTTTGGACTGTCCAATGCCCCTTTTCCAGTTCATAAACCACCAGAATGCAAGAACGATAATAATGCAATAGCATAATTCGAGAAACTCCAAGCAAATGTTCATAAGTTATCGGGTGATGTTCCACAAGTGAAAAGTTCTAAAGTTCTTTATGACTTGTACTAAGGACCTCAGCGTTTTGATGGAAAAGGTAGATGTTGTGATGGAAATTTTAGCACAAAGTCTGTTCAGAAGTAATTATTTGGTTGTATTTCTTTCTTAGTATTTAGTTCTGCAAGGTTGCGTCGAAGGCAGTGCTTTTGTTTGAACTTGGGTATTTTGTCGCACTACATGGATTGAACTACCTAATGTATTCATGTTTGCTTGAGAGCCAAGCTTATTTAATATATCAAACTGTTTTTCGCTTTGCAATGAAATGCTCTTTTACAGTTTTGTTTATAATTGTGATTTATCTGTGAAAATAACCCATGATGCGAACGCAGGTTGGTATCGACATCTAAGTGGACGTTTTTGGCCAATTGTGTCCAGTTGTTTCAGAAAATTGGCCAATTTTGTCCAACAATTTAAATTGTTGGCCAATTGTGTCCAGTTGTTTTAGAAATTTGGCCAATTTTGTCCAAACTAAAACCAATTTTTTGTCGAATTCCCAAAAATGAAAAAATAGAACAGAATAGAGTACAAAATGATTGAACAAGTTCTTTATATATCTGCAGGAAAAAAATTTGCACAACAAAATGCATTCCATTCTATTTCACCAGTCCAAAACAAAATCAGAACAGAGTACAAGTGCTTCATCTCTACATAACTAATTAATCCCTAAATCACACCACATAATTAACCAACAACCTAACTGATTAAGCCCTAACTGATTAATGATCTTGCTTTTACCTCATAATAAGATCTGAAAATACCTTAATAAACTACACAAGATACCCAACCTGAATACTAATATTGCTTAAGATACCGATTATCTCCTCAAACACACCACCACAATCACAGCAGCAAAAACAAAGGCCCAAATTCGCACTTGACGCCTTTGCAATCTCTGATTCTCAGCCTCCAAGATGTTCACCCGGTCCCTATTGGCATTTATCCTCCTAAGCAGACCTTAAATGATGATACGTGCTTTTTCCTCCATCTGGAGGTCTAGCCAAGAAAAATAGTTGCATACACCAGGATCCGGCCAATGAAGACAAGCCAACAACTTTCTGTCCAAGTTGTTTCCTCTCCAACAAGTGCGCAGAGCTGCAGGGCTTTCACAATTACACAATTGCACCATGGATGATTGTTGTTTTATTCGGTTTTAGGAAAGAGGAAAAGGACGGCGAAAAATTTATAAGGAAAAAGGAGAAGATGAGCTAGGTTATTTATAAAGGGTTAAAAGAAAAAAAAAAATTGGGCCGAGGTGGGACCCATAAATTTTTTGGTGGGAAATTTTTCTCCAAAATGGACCCAACATAATTAGTGATAATCAAGTTTAATTTGGGTCTAAATTGGAACGAAGGGGGCCAGGGAAAATTTTTATCAATAAAAAAATGAAGAGTTGACGGAAAGGTCGAAAAACCGTTATGTTAGGCAGAAAATCAATTGGATGAAATTAGCAAAAAATCGAAACAAACGGGTAATATAGGTTTCTCAAAAATAAATTAGGTATGATTGACATCATGGGAAAAGTTTTGGGGAGGATCACCATTTTTTCTGTAGAAAACATAAAAATCGAGCCTCGAGCCCATTGGTGTCGTCCACCGAAAGCAGAATTAACCTTTTAGACAAAAAAAGTAAAAAAAAAATTGACATGAAAGTAAGAATAATACCTTAACATAACTTTATTCTTGAAGATTGGAATAAAGTTCATTCATAATCCTATCCAATGTGTTCCATTTCATATTCTATACAGTGTACACTTCCTTTCCTCAATCTTTTCACATCATTTTCACATCAACAAAGAGAATAGTTATGAACTGCTTTAAGTCCAAGAGATCAAAAAGCTCCTCTCCCAACAAATCTGCATCATTTGATGCTCAATATCATGAGCAACAAATACACTCAGAAATGCAAGAGAACAGAAATGTGAGACATGAAGTTCTGTTGAGCATTCAAGGATGCAGAGCCCATCTGATGGATGCCGGAGAAGCCGTCGAATTGGCTGCCGGAGTTTTCGAAATCGTCCGAATATCCGACGAAAATGTAGCCGTGGCCACCATCGTTAAAGTTGGTGATGAACTTCAGTGGCCTTTAACCAAAGATGAACCCGTGGTGAAGCTGGATGCATTTCACTACTTGTTTTCTTTGCCAATGAATGATGGGGATCCTTTGAGCTATGGAATAACATTTTCAGGACAAAACATTGGAAATTTGGGATTTCTGGATTCGTTTCTCTGTGAGCATGCGGTGTTGACGGCATCACCGACATCGTCCGCGACGAATAAGAACATAGATTGGAAAGAATTCGCGCCGCGGGTTGATGATTATAACAATTTTCTGGCTAAGGCAATTGCTGGTGGAACAGGGCACATTGTCAAGGGCATTTTCAAATGTAGCAATTCTTACACCAATCAGGTCTGTCTTTAGTCCGATTTATCAAAATCAAGTTAATATTGTAGGGTTATATTAAATTGAATTAATCAGGTACATAAAGGAGGGGAAACAATATTGGTGAATGGTGTTCCAGAAAGTGGAATGAAAAGGAACCACAGGAATGAACCCGACAGGAAGAATGCAGTCAATAAAAGCCTGAAAAGGTACTAACAGGACAATTCATTGTCTGATCATTTCAGAACTACATTATTGTTAATTTGTTTGAGAGTTCAAGTCAAATGTGTAATTACGGAGATATGATTATGATTAGGGTGAGAAAGTTGTCGAAGATGACGGAAAAGATGAGCAAAGCAATGCTGGATGGAGTTGGGATTGCCACAGGATCAGTGATGAAGCCTGTAGTTAAATCACAAGCTGGAAAGGCATTCTTCTCCATGCTTCCTGGGGAGGTCCTTTTGGCTTCCATTGATGCCGTTAGTAAGTCTGCCTTATTTGATAGTTATGTTTTGAGACGGAATCATCTGTTACACTTTTTGTATATACCAACGGAGTGAATAGTGATGAATGATGATGATTGTCAGATAACATACTCTCTCTTTTTAACCAACACAGATAAGATCATAGATGCAGCTGAAGCAGCTGAGAAACAAGCTATGGCTGCAACATCTGGTGCAGTGACAAGGATGGTTACCAAAAGGTAAAAAAAAAAATGGCTAACTCTTTCTTACCTAGTTCTCGTTTACAAAAAAAAATTGATCCAAAAAGGTTCCTGCTTTATAAAACATTGCAAGATTTCAACTTGGTAATCTTTAGTCTTAATGGTAGTAATAATAAACACGCCCACCGTGGGGCTCGAACCCACGACCACAAGGTTAAGAGCCTTGCGCTCTACCGACTGAGCTAGACGGGCTTCAGTTGAAAGATTTCTAGTTGAAGCCATTCTGAAATGATTATTTGCTGAAATGAAACAACAGGTTTGGAGAAAATGCAGGGGAGGCAACAGAGGACGTGCTGGCAACGGCAGGGCATTGTGCTGGGTTTGCATGGAACGTATTCAAGATCCGAAAGGCCATCAATCCCGCTTCCTCCGTCTCTTCTGGAGTTCTCAAGAATGCTGCCAAAGCAACCGAATAATCAATGTTTTGTATTAGGATTGAAGTGTGTTCCCATATTACCTTTAATCTTTTTAGTACATTTGAATTGAATGGAACGTGTGTGTGTGTGTGTGTGTGTGTGATTTTTCCCTCTATTTTACTATTTGAACACACTAGTTATTCGAAGACACCACCTAAACTCAACTATATGTATCAACAAAATACCAAAAAAAAACAAGGAATATTCTCTCTCTATATGTATCAACAAAATACATTGTCAGATATTTCCTTAGTTTAGGATTAGTGGTTAAGACTAAATCACCAATTTCAGATGTTGCTAGAGTTCAATCGGATTTTTTTTTTCAAAGAAAATGACAGTGAAAAATTATTAAAGTGAGATGTTTTTGAATAACGATATATTTACTGAAAGAAAACATAATTACCGATACAGTTTTTATGGATCGAAGCACAAAAAATCATTATTCTAGCATTTTATTTTGAAAAATCAGTAAATTAATCAAACTCAAAGTGATTTCACTGCATGATCATCATTTTCCTTTTGCTTCCTTTAAAAAGGGATTAGGAACTAGAAAGGTTAGGGTTTTTTTTTTTTTCATTTTTTAAAAATAATTTTCAAGATCGAGGAAGGGCCTAGTATCAGCTTTTAGCCCAAATAGCGACTTAAATCTTCCTGGGAAGCCCAATTTTGGTTCGAGTTTTAACTAACTTACTCATCGGAGAGCCCAACAACTCGCTTCCTCCGTTCCTCGCGGTCTTCTTCATAGAAACCAGTTCTTCTACTCCGCCGGAGCAGCAATCTTGAAGCTTAATCGTCGCCATGGAAACTGAATCGAGGATGAACATATACAAAGCATCGAGGAGCATAAAGCGCAGAGACAACACCCTTTACAACGCCCTCCGCTCAATCTACGAGGACTCTATTTTCGTGGCCGAGATTTCTCAACTCTGGCCGGAACTTCCTTTGCTCGCCAATCTCCGGTGCGGGCTTTGGTACTCTCAGAAATTTCACTCCACCTGTTACTTCAAGTCCACCGACGGCCACAACAATAACTGGTCCTTCAATACCTCTCGCCTCAACCTCCATGTCGCCCTCCTGGCCGGTATTTATCCCTTTGTCCCTTCTAAACGTTGATGCTAAAATTCCTTTTTTTTTTAGTTCCCTTTTCTTTTTATAACATACTTTCAAAGGAATTGGGTCTCTGTATTATTAGTTATTGATTTTGGATTTTGGGATGATTTGGTAGCACAGAGGGGAGGTTGCATGATTGTTGATTCAACGCGAAAAGGGAAGAGATTTCCTGATAGTATGTCCAAGACTATTCCTATTTGGACCTGCGTCTTAAATCGTGCCATCTTCAATTACAGAGAAAGATCTTCTGAATGCGAGAATGGTAGTTTCCAGAATGATGTAAGTAACAGTCTCTTGTGTTATTTCAATTTAATTATGGCTGTGTCCTTTCGCATTTTTTCGCAGGTACTTAGTGGCTGCAATTTCTTAAAGTTTGTTTCTTGGTTTGTGTATTCCTGAATCATGAAGCTCCCTTTGCATTATTGGATGTTCATTATAACCTAGTTCTTTGGGCCGATTCATTCGATTGGGACGGGAATTTAGCTAGTTAGTAATGTGCTATCACTTTTCCTTTGCTTGCAAGTTGATTGAATTGGAGGTTATCTTTCACTGCTCCGACTGAACTGTGCTATATGCTTGTTTGTTATAACATGTATCAAAGGTTTCTGATGTCTGTGATACAAAACAGGTGTCTTCTAGCTGGGACTGTTCTTTGCATCTTCCTCTCTGGGTCTCTGAAGGTGAAAAGGTGTTCATTGAAGACCGTTTGGATGGTTGGGTTAGAGACTTGGAAACTTGTGGAGCTGATATTGCCTCAATATCTTCGATCCTAAAAAAGCCACTACGGCCTCTGTGGGTCTCACAGAAAACAGTTATCTGGTTGAATGAAGTCCCTGAATATGATTCTTGGGATTTCACGCCTATAATGCTAGTCTCTGCATCCTCCCCAAGTCCAACTTATCAGCAGCGAACCACTTCTGAATTTAGTTGGAATTATATTCCCGGAGCTGGAGATGATGAGGAAAGTTGGGCTAGAGGTCTATCACCTCATCTTTTCTGGAAGCACGCATATGACATTATACATTCTGGTCCTGAATTTTGTAACCAGAAGGTAGCTGATATAATCGAAAAGGATAGAGTATATCGTTGTCATAGAGGGGAAAATGTTGCTCAGGTATCTGTAAGACCTTCAACATCTTCGAAACCCATGGACAATATTTCAGACAGAGAAATAGACGATTCTCCAACTTCTAGTAACTCAGATGAATGCGCCTTATCCTGGCTGGACTCCACCAATCTAGCTGTTGGAGCAACTCATTCTGGTATGCTGATGCTTTTTCCTGTTTCACGCGCCTTGCTCAGGGTGAATGTTGCGTGGCTAAAATGTTTCACAATCAGCCTCTGGAGCATGATGTTTTTTTTGCTTTAGAATGCAAAGGAGTTTGTAGTGCTGTATCCTGGGTGATGTACCACGTTGTTTATTGACTTCAGCTGTTTGTGAATTGCAGGTATGCAGATCTCCTGTACCGACAGCTTGTTGAATTGCAGTGAAGAATCACTTCCACTCTCTCTGGAGAGTGTGAAAGCATATTTACAGTTGCCAATTGCAGTATGACACTCAATTTTACCATGTGCTCTTTTTTTTATCAAGTTAAAAATTTGCATTCTACCTCATACAGATTTTAACTCTTTCTTTTGTTTGCTTGAATAGAGCTCAAAATTTGATAGGTTTGCTTTATCGAGAAAGCTTCCTTTTGCTCTGGAATTTGCCAGGATGAACTTGAGCCAGGGGAAGAGACTCATTATTTGCTGCAAAGATGGTGCTCATCACATCTCAGCTTTGTTATTTTGGCAAACCATATGCTTTAGTTAGTTCTTTTTACTCTGTAGCATGTGTGCCTTGAATACACTTGACGGGTGTTGTCCTCTCCCCTAAGTTTTTAGTGGCAATGTGATCTTATTGCAGGGGAAGATATCAGTGTATGTGTTTGCCTGGCAATTTTGATGTCATTGTTCAATGACCAGGGTATGGATTATGCTTCTTATCTGTTCATGTAGTTGTTTGTTTGGGTTTTTCCAACTTTTCTGGTTTTGGACTTGATTGAATGTGGAATATATCCTCGAGTTGCAATAAGAGCTGGATTTGGGCTTTTTACTCACCCTATTAACACCCAACATTTTAAACAGGATGCTTTGATGATGGAAAATTTTTCAGCGCTACAACGATCACGAAGTCAGAAATGCGACGGAAGTTGGTATACATTTGCAAATTTGCTGTGAAGGCCCGCCCTTCCAGAGGGAATCTTAGGCAAGTCTTCAATTACCTTAGTGGCGGGGTTACTCCGACGACTATAGAGACTATAGAGATGTGAACCCTTTGGTGCTATGCGTCTTAACCATGTAATGAGGAATGCCGCATAGATAGCTAGTTGGTGTTAGACAGGATTCGGAACTGCATCCTTGTCGTGTTACAAAGTGGAAAGTGGAAAGCAAGTTTTGTTAGTGAAGGTGAGATGTTGTGCCCCATGATTTGGAATTAATTATATGTCGTTAGTAGAACGATATCAAAACTGAAAACCTATGATTCTTTATTCGATGAAATCGCATTGTTTTACTAACGAGACACGCAGGTCCAAAGAAACTGGCTGGGAGTTGGAGGATCTCATGTGCAGTATTTAGCAGTGAATTATTGAGTGCTACAATGTTTTGTGGAAAAAAAAAAAAAAGAAGCCAAAATACTTGATTGTTTTGGTCCTTTTGGAGTTTGATTAAACATCACCATACTTTAGCTTTATGCCCCAGTTGGGGTCGAAACGAACAAAGAGATACGAGAGGGATTACAGTGAAAAAAGCAAGGTCAAGTCAAGGTGAAAGCAAGTCCACCATTAATAACCAACTCCATCGTCATGCAATCAAAAAGAAAACCAGACATCGACCAAGCATATATTTTTATATATAGTTTGCTTTAATCTTTGATTGAAGAAGATAAAAGATCCCCCATACAAGAAAAAGTCTGTTAAGTACCCCACAGTACCATTGACGTCTTTTCCTTTGAGCTTAGTGCTTTGGCGGCAATGGTCGTTGGGGATGGAGGGAGGCCCAGTGTTTGGTTCTTTTTGTCACAAGCCATTTTAATAGTGGGATCAGAGGCTAATACACGATTGTTTGGCCAGTTGCAACTCTCAAAATCACCTCAGGCAATAATCGTTTACCCCTTCTTCATTAATCGATCAGCTATGTTACTCCTACTATAGAGGATTAGGAAAGAAAGTTGCATTTTTGCCAGCGAGGTTTGAACCCCAAGAATTATAGGATGAGAAGAGAACATAAGGTATCATTGTCACGTCAATTGTTTGACCACTTGACCTGATTTTATTACGTGATACTTCCTATGTTCTGAAATTATTGTCCAATTTAAATTTTCACTTTTAGTTCAATTTGTATTAAAAATGAAAATCTAAATTGGACGAAAGGAGTTTAAAAATACACATGAGTATGGAAATAAACACAGTCAAATAATAATAACAATAATAATAAAAAATTCTTGTTTCTTTTGGGGTTAAAGCTTAGAGTTGAAATTCAATTGGTCAGGCAGAATGCGCAAAAGGCATCGTATGCAGAAACTGTCTAAGAAAGATAGTCTTGTTGTTTTAGTTTAGTTCTAACAAATTCAACTCTGATTTTTCTTTCTTTTGGGAATATATTTACATAAAGTGGAGTGATTCAAATTCTTTGTCCCTAAATTTTTATAAACCCTCGTGGAAAGAATATACGCCTTGTCGTTAATGAGTCTATATGTTTGTTCAAATATGCCAATGGCCTGATTTCCAAGTTAGTGGAGTGAGTGACTATAATAATATAACTGTTCATGTGCAAATTGGCTCTTGTTTTTTGAAAAGAAAATGCAAATTGTAGGTGAGTTCATTCGGCACATTGGCACAAAAACAACATTCTTTCTAGAACCACATGTTCCACATTAGTGTGACTAGTGTACGTTAATGACCATAATGCAAGAAAATATTAAGAGATTTGAGACCAACTTAAGCATGAATTCTTTTCTTTTTTTTCCCCCCCTCCCGTCTTTTTATTATAGTTGGGGAACATTTTGGGAAAAGTGGCTAAATTTGTGTGGAGGAGGACACTAACAATTGATAAATTAATCTTGTAAAAACTTAATCAATTTGATCTTCATTATGGTGTATCTCCACATTCTTTCACGAATATAGTTGTTTATTATCTCCACTAACTTAAAAAAAAAACTAATGATCACTATTAATTTAATTAAGATAGCACTACACTCAAAGAAAAAGTGCTAACTAATATTAAACCTAGCCTCTAGAAAACGATCTCGATGGAACACCACTAGTTTGTTAATTAGGATGAGTGAGATCACATTCCAATTAACCTTCATATATAACTATAATTAATAATTTTAAGCTAATTAAAGCGTTGCAGGTCGGTGACAATAATTAATTAACGTTAACATAGTTAATTAATTAAGAATGTACGTATGATGATCCATCCATTTAAATACAGGTTGAGTCATTTTCTGCAGTAGTTCCACGTGAGAAAATTATTTAGGCATCCATTACTTAGATACTTATTATACCAAGGAATCAATCGTGCATGTAATTATAGTCAAAGATGAACAGATAGTACTGTACGTAGTATTTGTCTGATTCTATATTCTGCCCAACTTATGCGATGCTTTTATGCCAGATTTCATGGATTTTGAGTCAAATGAAGTGTATATTAGTTGGAAAGAATTCTAATGCATAATCCATTTAATATTTAATTGAAAAAGGTATCTTATCTTGACGTGTGGATGCATGAAACGTATGTTAATTAGCTTCTCGGGTGTGTTATAAATATATGCATGCATGTAAGAACCAGAAAAAATATGAAGAGGCATTGCGTTTCATTTGGTTAGGACAAATTGATTTCCCAAAAAATTTTAGCTTGTGTTCTTGTGTCAGCTACCTCTTATGTGCATCCTTTAAGGTCCATGCAGACCAAAATTGATGAAGGCGTCTCATTTCAACGTGATTTTGGAAAACTGTAAGTTTTGATTATTATTGTCGAATTAAATTTCAAATACCCGTGTGTGTTTATTTATTTATTTTGGTGAATCTTTGTTGGTTTAATTGTTAGAAAAGTTAAATGATTATTGAAGAAAAGTAATACAAATCTTATTATTCACGTCACATCATATATAATTTCACTATCTTCCCGAATCGTATATTTCGTGTAAAAATCTTATGGGGCTGTTGATTATTTTTCGGAAGAGAAATGAGATTCCTTAGCTATTTTTAATAAAATAATACGTACAATAAATTAATATTTGTCATTGCTAGATAGATGGTGACGGTCGGTAGGCGTCATAGAAAAATTAGTGTGCAAGTTAGATTCGAACTCTTAATCTTCTAATAAATAGGTATGCATGTATAAAATGCATGCTTGCCTGCTTATGAAGTGAGGTTGGGTTTGATGCTTTCTCAAAAAATGAGTTGTAATGTGACTTTACAGCCATAATTTGTGTATCAATATGAGATTTTCCCAACCAAACTGGGGATTCACTTTCCGAAACAAACAGGAGAGATGGGTTGGAACTTAGGAGTCAGGACCACATTCACCACGATTAACTAAGACAGACCTAGCTTAGGGTAAGATTTTCTTAATTAAACATTTAAACCTATACTTTTAGGACCAGTGGATGCCTAGGTTTAATTTTTTTTTTCTCCCCATGGTAGGATAAGTTTTGACTCTTTTTCAAAATGACCATTAAATTCAATTATAATCAGTCATAATTTAATTAATTATAAGTATTTTTCAAATCTTGTTTACATTCAGAAGTGGTCGATTTGTATTCTTCTTCTTGTTGTCAAATCCTTTTTCTGCCATAAGGACCCCTAAGTAATGGTCATAATTTTAGGGCAATTTGTGAAACTACTTGAATACTAGAGAACAAATTTTGTTTACCTACTAATTATTCCTAGTACGGTTGCCTTTAACAAGAGTATATATATATATATGTGTGTACTGTCTTTTGAGAACAAATCGATCTATAATGATGGAGATACATCATATACTTATAAATTAAATCTTTTGCCAAATATGAAGGCAACTTGCTTACCTAATCTCTGATGAAACAACCATTTTTGTAACCCCAAATAACACCCACTAATTGATCATGACCACATTAATTTCCTTGGATCCACAATCAAAGCAAAATCAACTTCAAGTCCCAACAAATAAAACCAAACACAAAAAAGGTGGCTACCTAGTTGTAATGTCACCAAAAAAAAAAAAAATCTTATAACGTTAAAAAGGACACTGCTCAAATTGGCAAACCATCCATCTATTTTGGACTCTCTGATAAAAAAAAAAAAAAATAGAAATAGAAAAGCCTCATCATGTCTTGGTGGGTGTTGGAAAGTATCATTACATGATCTTGTACTAGTAGTTTACAACCCTTCTCATAAATGAGTTGGTGCCTTAAACCCCACATTTCCCCAGCATATATACTAGTTGTTAGCTGCTTTATTTTTCTTCATGGAAAGAGCACTTTAGAGATTACTACTAGTGGCATTATAATCCTTTTTTAAAAACTCACCACATCTTGTAAGTTGTAATAAAGTAGAACCCTTCAGCTATCTCTTCTCTGATATATTTATAGATTCTCCTTCAGGTGATCATCATCATCATCAAGAATTAAGCTAGCTGATCATAACGTTCCGTTTTCTTCAAGAAATGCCGGGCAATATGAGCAAAATGGAGGAATCCAAGAGTAGCAAGAATTCATCACTAGCTCTCATATTCAGATATGCGGATTGGAAAGATGTATTGCTAATGTTTTTGGGAACTTTGGGATCCATTGGAGATGGCTTATCAACCAACTGTTTGTTGGTTTATGTTAGCCATCTTTTTAATAGCTTGGGTTATGGTAATACTCACCAGAACCATTATAATTTCATGGCTGAAGTTGAAAAGGTTAGCATCTTGTATTACTTTTCTTCCCTTGATATATGTGCTTCCGCATATGTTTGTTTACTAATGTTCTTCTATTTGTATTATGTCTTGCAGTGCAGCTTATACTTTGTCTACTTGGGATTAGCAGTCATGGTTGTGGCATTCATGGGTAAATATTCTTTACCTAATAACTTATAACCTCTCTTACTTAAGATTAACTATGCTTATTAAACATATTGTACCAACTATCTTTGCAAAGACCAAGACTTTCTTAGATTTAACACAACAGATTCCAGTGCACTCTAGTGTAACTAAGGATACCAGAATATTCATCACCGAGTAAAATAAAGAGTGAAACCTTTTTGAAACCCTATGAACTCTTTAAGAGATGCTGTTAATGCATCCTGATTAATTCAGCATTGAGAAAGGTTCTAACTTTGTTAGAATATCCATCCTTTTGTTCTTACAGAAGGTTATTGTTGGAGTAAAACAAGCGAGCGGCAGGTCTTGCGAATTCGTTACATGTATTTGGAAGCTGTTTTGAGACAAGAAGTTGGTTTCTTTGACTCACAAGAAGCAACTACTTCTGAAATTATTGATAGCATTTCCAAAGACACTTCTCTCCTTCAAGAAGTTCTTAGTGAAAAGGTACAAAACAATAATGCTTATGTATTATTTTCAGTACTGGTTGCCTAGATTTATTTTTTTTACTTTGGATAATATATGGTTTGTATATACAGATTCTCTCTGATAAATTTTTCTCGTTTTTTTTTGGGTTTTGGCTATAGGTGCCCCTTTTTCTGATGCATACTACAGTTTTTGTTTCTGGAATTTGTTTTACTTCATACTTTTCATGGAGGCTGGCTTTGGTGGCATTTCCAACAATGCTGCTCTTAATAATTCCTGGGTTACTCTACAAGAAATACCTCCTGATTTTATCCAAGAAGTCCTCCAAGGAATACAGCAAGGCAAATGGTATTGTGGGACAGGCTCTAAGTTCCATCAAAACAGTGTATGCATTCACAGCTGAAAAAGGGATTGTTGAGAAGTACTCATCAATATTGGATCATACCACAGAGCTTGGGATCAAGCAAGGGATTGCTAAAGGTCTTGCTATTGGAAGCACAGGACTTTCATTTGCAATATGGGCTTTGCTTGCTTGGTATGGCAGTCGTCTTGTAATGTACAAAGGTGAAAGTGGAGGAAGAATTTACGCTGCCGGAATTTCTTTCGTATTGGGTGGACTGTGAGTAATCTTTCTTCTCCTTAAAAATTCTTTGCTTGTTTTTTTACCTTTCTTCTAAATTCTAGTTATTGGCTTCTACAAACTTAGCTTTATTTGGTATTGCATAATGAGTATAGTAGTGTAAGAAGTAGCTAGTAGATATCATATCAAAGTACTGATAAATCAATCCATTGTGGTTAAAGTAGATTAATCTTATCTTATTTTCATTAGAAGTCTAATTTGAGTAATCATGTAACTAGTGTCCTAGACAAAATAACAGTCCATTGATATGTAGGGACAGTTGCTTTAGTTTAGGAATGAATGATTGCCATTCTCGTTGCATGGGAATAACAAGTTGACTGTAATTCAAAAAGAGGTTGACTGGCTCTTCAAACTTTACTTTGCATATAATTAAGGGGATTATTCAAGTATTGCTTTCTTTACTATTTTAGTATAACAATGAGAACAAGATTTTGAGATGGAGAAGTCTTGCATTTCTACAATTTTATGTTGTAGATATCTCTAAGATGTAGTTTGTCCAAAGTGCCCAACTACTATTACTCATTTAAATCAAAAGTGTAACTCCATATGTATCATTTTCTACTATGTGTTTGCAATTTCTCGCTAAACAATGAGGAACACAATAAAATATGAAAATTTTCCTAGCAATTTATAAATCAATTTCTTCGTGCAAGGTTGATTGAAGATGTTATCTTGTTAAAGGGTCAAATATAAAACTAGAGGCTTTATCTCCATCAAGAAAATCTATAAGCCCTTTGACCGTAAAACATTCTTTTGGTTCCTATAGGAAGCTTAGAATTTGATGTCCATAATTTTTCGTTTGAGAATTACAGTATAATATTGCATCAAAAGAGCAGCAGAAAACATTTTGGTTGTACGTGTTTTTGAATTGATACAACTTTGTAATGAACTTTGGACATTCTTCCATCATGATTTCATAACTTCATAGTTTGACATGACCGAAAAAGAATTTAGTTTTTCAGCCTCCTTGTGATGATAGATATCTTGTACTCCCTTTATCTTATAATTATTGTCCAGTTTGGATTTTTATTTTTAGTTCAAATTGTACTAAAAGTGTAATCTCAAACTGGGCAATAATTTTGGGACGGATGGAGTAACTAATAAAGAGAAAATCTTGAAGTTAAACTGTTAAAGAATAGGACCTTTGTGTATATTTATGAAAGCCATCTGTTTGGAATTGAATTACGTTTCTCATTTAGTTTACATGAAAATCACTCTCTTAATCAATGATTATGATGAATGTGTTGACTGCAGATCCCTGGGGATGGCCTTACCAGAGGTGAAGCACTTTACAGAAGCTTCTGTTGCGATCTCGAGAATTCTTCACAGGATTGATAGGATCCCAGAAATCGATGGTGATGACACAAAAGGAATTCAGCTGGATAAGATCAGAGGTGAACTCGAATTCCAGCATGTTCATTTCACTTACCCTTCTCGCCCGGACTCAATTGTGCTTAAGGACTTCAATCTGAAGATTGAAGCCGGAAAGACTGTAGCTCTTGTTGGTGCCAGTGGAAGTGGCAAATCCACTGCCATTGCATTGGTTCAAAGATTCTATGATCCTTGTGGCGGAACTGTATGCATTGATGGCGTCGACATAAGAACTTTACAGCTGAAATGGTTAAGATCACAGATGGGATTAGTGAGTCAAGAACATGCACTTTTTGGAACAACAATAAAGGAAAACATCATGTTTGCGAAACATGATGCAACAATGGAAGAAGTAATAGCAGCAGCAATGGCTGCAAATGCTCATGATTTCATCAGACAACTTCCTGATGGATATGAGGCTAGGGTGAGTTAACATTTGTTTGGTGTTTCCATCATGAAAATTTCTTGTACAAAATTAGTCATCAAATAACTGATTTTGAATTGGTTTTTGGACCTGATTATTATTAAATTTTTTTTTTCTTTTTCTGTTGTAATAGGTTGGTGAAAGAGGAGCACTTCTCTCAGGTGGACAGAAGCAGCGGATTGCCATAGCCAGAGCTATAATCCGAAATCCAGTCATTCTCTTACTTGATGAAGCCACAAGTGCACTTGATTCGGAGTCGGAAAAACTTGTGCAGAATGCCTTAGATCAAGCCTGTATGGGAAGAACAACTCTGGTAATGTCTAACTTAGCTGATTGATATGGTACAGTTATGCATCATTTTTCCACTGTCCCTTTAATTGTGTAAAAGTTTAAAATCAAATATTGCTCATGATTAAATTAAGCTCCATATTTTTATGCTGACATAGAATTGATGGCACTTGAATTTTTTAGGTAGTTGCACACAAGCTTTCCACTGTAAGAAATGCAGACATGATCGCAGTAATGAGTGGTGGTACTGTGGTTGAACTGGGATCACACAATGAGCTGGTTGAAAAGAATGGACAATATGCGAAAATGGCGAAATTCCATCGGCAACTTAGCGCTCTTGATCAAGAGCATAACTCAGAAGTAACCTTCTCATCAGTTGCAAGAAGCAGTGGTGGCAAGAGAAGTGCAGCAAGAAGTCCAGCCTTTTTTAACTCACCTTTGCCATTGGATAATGCCCCTAAACCTGCACCTCTTCCTTCCCCGTCCTTTAAGCGCTTACTTGCATTGAACTCGCCTGAATGGAAGCAAGGTCTGATGGGAAGTTTCTCAGCAGTGATCTTTGGGGCAGTTCAACCTGTCTATGCACTAACTATCGGTGGCATGATCGCAGCTTTCTTCTCACCGAGTCATGAGGAAATGCGTGCCCGTATACAGATCTACACCATGATTTTTAGTGTACTTTGCTTCGTCTCCATTGTTGTGAACCTCTGCCAGCATTACAATTTTGCTTACATGGGAGAACACCTGACGAAAAGAATCAGATTGAGAATGCTTGAAAAGATTATGACCTTTGAGCCTGCTTGGTTTGATGAAGAAGAGAATTCAAGTGGAGTCTTGTGTTCAAGATTGAGTAATGAAGCATCCCTCGTTAAATCCCTTGTTGCTGATAGACTTTCTCTCTTGCTCCAAACAACTTCAGCTGTGACTATAGCGATGGTAATGGGGCTCATTATCGCCTGGAAACTCGCGCTTGTGATGATCGCTGTCCAGCCACTCACAATCCTATGCTTTTACACAAGGAAGGTGTTACTCTCCACCATTACAGCCAAATTTGTAAAAGCTCAACACGAAAGTACTCAAATCGCTATGGAGGCCGTATATAATCACAGGATAGTGACTTCATACGGATGCATCAGGAAAGTTCTTCGGATTTTTGATGAGGCTCAGGACGCGGCAAGGAAAGAGGCTAGAAAGAAATCCTTGCTCGCAGGAGTAGGCATAGGTTCAGCTCAAGGCCTGACTTTTATGAGTTGGGCGCTTGACTTTTGGTATGGTGGAAAACTAGTTAGTGCTGGTAACATTTCTTCCGGAGATGTGTTCAAAACATTCTTCATATTGGTCAGTACCGGCAAAGTTATAGCTGAAGCCGGAAGCATGACATCTGATCTAGCCAAGGGATCAGCAGCCATTGCATCCATCTTTTCCATACTCGACCGCAAATCTCTAATTCAAGGAACTTCTAAGGTAAGTTAGTCATATACTATACACATTTCTCTTTTAGTCTTTTCTATTGCCTAAATGAAGTATGTGATTTTGTTCATTTTGTGATTAGGCCACTGAAGAAGATGTTGGAACCAAGATAAACAAAATGACCGGACATATAGAGATGAAAAAGGTGGAATTTGCATATCCAGGGCGGCCTGAGATCAGAGTACTAAACGGGTTCTCCTTGGAAGTGAAATCAGGAACGAGCATTGGGCTCGTTGGAAAAAGTGGATGTGGGAAGTCCACAGTGATTGCTTTGTTGGAACGGTTTTATGATGTGACTCGAGGCTGTGTCAAGGTGGATCAGGTAGATATAAGGCTACTTGATATTGAGTGGTACAGGAAGCAAATCGCCCTCGTAAACCAAGAGCCGGTTATATATTCGGGCAGCATTCGTGACAACATTGTTTTTGGGAAGCCTGATGCATCGGAAAATGAGGTTGTCGACGCTGCTAGAGCTGCCAATGCTCATGAATTTATCTCGTAAGTCTGCTTTTCTTCATAAAATGTGACATAATTATAGGTTGGAAATCAACCTAATAATGGTTTTTTTTTTTTTTTTTGGCTTGCTTTTTTTTGTGTGTAGATCATTGAAGAACGGGTACGATACAGAATGTGGGGAGCGAGGCGTGCAATTATCAGGCGGGCAGAAACAAAGAATCGCGATTGCTAGGGCGATAATTCGCAATCCAACCCTACTATTGCTAGACGAGGCGACAAGCGCGCTGGACGTGCAATCGGAGCAAGTTGTGCAAGAAGCGTTGGATCGGATAATGGTAGGAAGGACAACCATTGTAGTCGCTCACAGGCTCAACACAATCAAGAACTTAGACTCGGTCGCGATGGTTTCGGATGGGAAGGTGATTGAGCATGGAACCTATGGTCAGCTCAAAAACAAGCGCGGCGCCTTTTCCAACCTCCTTAATCCTCAGAAATTGTAGGTTCTTCAGAAAAGGGAGAAAAAAAAAATGTATGATCGTATATGCAGTGAAAGTAATAGATAGAGTATATAATTAACGAGGCCGAGTATGTTTTTGATAGGATCTAGTTAAGCATATTTCGAGCTGTAAAATAACATCGATCTGTTTCGCAGTTAGGGGCAATAGTTTACAGTATGGTAGCCGTTATCATTTTGTATTAGAGGTGATTGCAGAAAACCCCCCTCAAGTTTTACTATTTTGCGTAATTAGCTCTTACAAAGATCAGTTGTTACTACTACTAACACCAATTCACCTCTATGTATTTATTTCCAACTGGTAACAATCAATCTTGACTGATCACTAACATAATTGATGACTATTCTTGGGCCGGATGTTGTTTAATACACAAAAATTTGACGCCTAGATAATTAATGACTAAATTCTCAATTTGGGTCGTCGTCCGGACATTGTTTAATAGGATGGTACGAAGGAGTGAAGGTTGAAAACGCGATTATAGTACTACATAAACAAATTCAGCCTGAAACTTACATCACTGCACTTACAAGGACAAATCACACAAGTCAATGGCGTATTTCTAGCGGGGCTTATAGCTAAACCGTATCGCTCCAACTGTCTTGTTTTGTTCCCCAATGACGCTACAAGAATAAAGAAAGAAGCTAAGAAGTTGAAAGATTTTCTAACCACGAGAATGGAAAATAAGGGAAGTTGTAATTACAGAGGTTAATAAAAATAAAGATTCTGTTTCTTGAGATGAAAAAGAAAAGGGGAGACTAACACTAAAATAAAGACAAAAAAAAAAAAACTTGCAACACAGACCTCCGTTATTGACTAATTTGGCCAAATGGGTTGCCTAATTGCCCATTTGCAAACGCCAAATTAAAAAGAATCAGAGAAAAACATCCCCCACAGAGCTATTGCCATTTATATATTTGGGGACCGAAACCAGAGAAAGAAAAAAAATAAAAAATAAAAAAAAATCAGCATTCAGCTTCAAAGTGTTGTATTTATGCCCTGTTTGAAGAAGTTTTTTTCAGTACGTGCTTTTGTGTAATTGAGTTTTTGACAGCAATCGCAGTTGACAATTTGAACTGAAACCTACACCACTTGCCCAGTTGTTTGCATTTCGTCATTTCCCCCCGACCCGATTCCTACAAATACTCTGTTGCTTCCTTTCATCAATACTACTATACAATCAAGCTACTACTAATTAATTGTAGGGACAAATTGTTGTATGTCTTTGATTGATCTGGATCAAATGTTTGACCTCGATCTAGCTTTGACAACTCCGACCACAACGTTGGACGATCTGGGCACCAAGTCTCGGGGTGCAGAGTTCAATACTGCTTCAAAACAGAGTCGAATAACTGATCGGTTGCCGACGGTTGCCCGCGACAGAATGATGGCCGGCGGTGGTTGTTGTGCGGTTTGCATGGAAGGGTTCAAATCGGGCGGTGCCGGTGGGAAACAAGTTCCTTGCGGCCATGTTTTCCACGCAAATTGCATTGACAGGTGGCTCTCTGTTCAGAATTCCTGCCCACTCTGCCGATTCTCCATTAATACTGCTGGCCAAGGTGGTGGTTCTTCTGCCATTTCTTAGATGATTAGATTATTACTTTCCAAATGTTTCCAAATTCCAGATTGTATTATATGAAAATCAGGATTTGGATCAAAACTGCATTTTTTACTGGATAGACCCATTTGAGAAATGCTCTGAAAAGTGAAAAATCATTGGGTTTTCCGTGGTGAATTTGATCCTGAAGTTTTTAGTTGATGACCAACTTGGAATCGATTTGGGGCCATGTCAAAAGTGCAATTGTCAGCTTCCTTCTTCTTTCAAATCCGAATTCTATCATCTGGAATTTCGCTTTTCCAAGAATATAGCTGTCTCTGGTCAATGTAGCTGGATTGAATTTGAAACCATCTTTCCTCTTTTAATTCTATTTTTTCGGGTTTTATTTATACGGCACAAAATAATTACATTGTCCAAAAAAAAAAAAAAATGAATTTAGTTGAATTTAGTGGGCGTGGGTAAATCCATCTCTAATGGGGTTCCAGCGTTATCCGAAAAAAAAAAAAAAATAGTAGTATTCTTCGTTTCAAAATATAGATCATTTGAAAGAATATTTCAAAATATACATTATTTTAGAAATTCAAAATAAATTTAGTACTGATTTTTTAACTTTGCCTTCAATAAATTAACATAGATTCATTTTTATTTTATCTTATTTATAATTTCAATACACTTAAGATATAAATTAATTGTTAAATAATTGTCAACTTAATTTAAGCGTAAAACGCAGATAATAGTATTTGCACCTCAATTTCCTAAACTACGCACAATAATGGTGATTAATAATTCACCTTCTCGTTTTAGTCAACATTTCAAAGTTAGTCTAGTAGTAGTTGGGCAGATGGAGGGATGATAATTAAATACTAGAAAATGTTTTAGAATTAGCTAGAATCAGAGAAAGTAAACTCCCAATATTTTTATTTTTTTTAAAAAAAAACACATGGATATACGGTAAGAGGTCATTCTATAGTTTTAGAAATAGAATTATCATGCAATATGATACGAACGAAGTATTTGAAATATCAGTTCACCTACAATATTCATGCGTCACCAATGAATCATTTACGATCTTCAAGCATGAATTGTTATAGTTCAAGGAATAATAAAAATTTAAAAAATAAAAAAAATAAAAATTGGTCAATGGATATCACTATCTCTAACATCATGTATTCATATCCATAGTCCTACACGTCCTAGTTGCAATCAAAGACAGAAATCCCTTTATTCTTCAACGAGAAACACCAAATTTTACCCAGGCCAAGTGGGTAATTAAAACCACATAAACATTCTCTCCTTCTCTCAAAACTTAATTAAAAAAAAAAGTCCACTTTATTAATTTAAAAGTCTTAAAGTAATCAATTCAATGAAATGAAGGTCGGGGTTCAAAAGGGGCTAAATAATATATGTACAAACAAACCCTTAAGAAATCCAGTGGGTTACTTATATAGGTTCAACAAACTTCGCAATGATACAACATCGAAAGTTGTAACCAAAATTTCCTTATGGTTTATTCCTACAAGCATTTATCAATATCTAAATACTATAGTTTTGAGAATGTTTGACGTTGACATCTGCGCTTGCTCATATTGTTATTACGCATATGAATCTAAATATCTAATCCGTGACAAATTCTTATAGAAAATACGGGATAAAATGTAAAGCTACTACATTCCTTTAATAGAAACGACCTTTTAGAAAAGTCCACAAAAAAAAAAAAAAAGAAAATGTGGCATCGTACAATATATGCCAATCAAACTAGTCTGCGTCCAAATCCTTTTCCGGTGGAGCCCGTCGTCAACTATATGTTGCAAAATAATGGTGGCCTAGTTGATGATGACGGTGAAGCCGTGGATCAGGAGGCATTTCTGAGATCTCTATATAACTTCTCAATCAAAAACCGCCGTCAATATTGACAACATTCATCCACACAGGTTTTCTGATTACACGAGGTGCAGTAGTACTACATTATCTCAGAGTACTGATAATTTCCTAAGCCATGTTTATCAGCCAAATTATTGTTTAATCTAATTTTTGACTTTTTTGAATAGTAGTAACACTTTAGCTTAATTAACGTTTTTTTTTTCTTACCCATGCCCTGGGCAAATAAATTAACCACGTGATCGTCGTGATGTAAATAATGTAAAAATATTAGTTTTCTTTAATCCATTAACTTTGACAATTACTGGCATGCATGTTTAGGTCATTTATCCATGCACTTTCTCAATGATGAAGGGAGGGATAATAAGTACGGCTGCACTTATAAAAGTTAATAATTAGTACTATATAGTTTCACAAATGTCTGTAAACATATTCTAACTTTATTAGTTATTTCTGTAAAATTCACGCCTTTTTCTGTTTTTTTTTTTTGAAATTTTTCAGGAGCTTATATACTAGTACTACTTTAGCATAATAATCGTACTTAGGTTATCAGAAACCAGTGATTCACTTTACTATTGTTGTCCTAACAGCACTAACTAGTACTAACAAACAATTTTAAAGTTATGGCACGTTGTAATATTGAAAAGTAATTAACCTAATGAACCAACTAAGATTTTAAACTTATACGCAGCAGGTGCAGCGATTCTGCCGAATATTTGTCTACGAGTTCAGACATGCTTTAATTGGTTACATTTTTCATTCTCATACACACACCACCATATTTACACGCTCCGGTTAAACTAGGATTATAACAAGCCCATAAATCAAATTCATCTCACATTTATAACTCACTTTACATATCATGAACCAGATTCATTTGACTCACCTATTCCTTCTCTTTTTGGTCAGGAGAAGGGAAAATTACGACCATTTTGCGTAGATACTTTTTCCATTCTAAAATAATTATCTATTTTTTTTAGTTGAAAAAACAAACTAATTCTTCTGAAGATAGATGGAGAATGCTATATTTTTCTTCCATTCTGATCAAACCGAGATATGTCAAAGCTTACAAATTGATCTTATCGGTAATCTGAAAATTACAACAAATGAAAAAGCTAACCAATAAGAAAACGTGGTCCAAATGTTGATGTAAAATGAATACTATATGCATGTAACCCACGGATTAAAAAGGATTTAGTAGAATAGTTTAAACTGGCTGCGCGACGCGGCTGAGCCCATTGGGATCCTTTCCACGAACCATCAAATTCCAAAAAAAAAAAAAAAACCAGTTGACCGTTAAATTATACTCACACTGTTTCTTCACTCTTTTGACCACTGACTGTCTGAATCCAACCCAAAATATCCCTCTATAAATAGCAATCACCCAAACGATCAAATCTCTTATAATTAATTTTTGCAATCACTAAAAATACGTACTCCACTTCTGAAATAGTACCCATAAATTTGTTGTTCTTAATTAATTTAGTAGTTCCAACAATGGAAGCGATGTTTGATTTGGACATGGCTTTGTCGATGTTGACTAGGGAGGAGAATTACATCCGGACCAAGCTCTCCGAGAAGAAGGCTTTCAACCACAACCAACTCAGTGAAATGCCGGTGGTCACCGGAGCCGACGCCGGAGAATGCGCCGTCTGCATGGAGGTTTTTGAATCGGACGTCGGAGGCAAACAAGTTCCCTGCGGCCACGTCTTCCACTCCGTTTGTATTTTCAAGTGGCTCTCCGATCATAATTCCTGCCCTCTTTGCCGGTCCACCGTCTTCTCCACCGGCGACGCCCATGCCGAAAATCATCAACATTAAATATTGAATTTTTCCTTCTTTTATTTTGTCTCCATTCTTTTGTTTGTTTAGCAGGAGCTAGTTACGTACTCTTATCGTTTCCGACCGGTCACATCAGAAAATGAATTATTTTTTGTTACGAAGACTTGCGAAGCTCCACTTTAATTACTTCTTTATGGTCCATATACTGACATGCAAAAATTTAAGAATGATGAAGGAAGGAATAAAAATAAATAAAATTTGTACGTATATTTTTCTTGAGAATTTTGCAAATTCTTTCAAAAGCTTAACTGGGCACAATAGGGAATCGAGTTAATTAGATATTGTTTGAAGTTGAACTTTATTGTTAGAGTTTGTCCCGCCGCATTCGGTTAACAACTTTGATCAGTATGTAAACTCCTTGAGTTATTCTTTTTAGATCCAATTGGTTTTGAAATGAAATTCCAAGTTTACTAATATGATATCAGAGCTGGGCCTAGTTGTTTAACCTTTTTTGGTTTCGACGTTTACTTGGTTTCGACTCAAGTAATGTTTGAAGTTGGTTTCGCCCAAATCTGGTGGGCTTTGCCTGTTTCTTGCAAATATTGAATTAGTTTCGACCCAAATAATTTAGTACAAATTTGAAGATTCAATGCAGATTATTTGGTTTCGATCCAAATAATTTAGTATAAATTTGAAAACTCAATATAAACTATTTTTATGAGACGGAGTGATATTTATTTCCGTTGCAAAGTAGGCTGTGTTTAGTCAGCACTCGATCGGCAATATATATCGTGAACATCAACCATTAATTAAACTTCTTTAAAGTGAAAGAAAAGAAAACTTGACCTCCTTCAAAACATAATCCCCCGTGCGTTATTGTTAATTAGTACCCGCCATTTGTTTCCTTTTAATTCCTTTGCCATTTTTTACTTTTTAATTCCTGAGAAAATCCAACCGTTGATCATAACTTTTTCATTCATCTTTCATTCATTCCAGACTGACTTTTGTCGTCAATTTCTTTTTTTTTTTAATAATCAGAATCTTTTATTTCTAAAATTCAATTTTAGTATTTCACTTTGCAATACTATTTTAGTTAGTCGAATGAATTCTCGAAATGAACTAAGCAAGGCGAATGTTCTATTTGCGCGCTTAGACCGATGACTTGTGACACGTATGTTACTTTCACTATAAGAAAACTATAATTAGTGATGAAAATCTTACCTTTTTATTGCATTTATAAAAAAAAAACATAAGTGAAGCTATGAAGGTTTAACGCTGGTGAAATATAAAAACAACGCCAGCCAATACACACAACCTGGAGAAATTTTTACATTCCCAAAAAAAAATAAATAAATAAAAATTATCCAACTTGAATTTGGATTAATGCAATTTTAAATTCAGCAATTGGATTACAAAAACAACGGCAGCTTGCATGAGGCCCAATGCATCCAGTAACAATATTTTACAAGCGGCCCATTTAAGTTGTTTTGAATAATAAACTGTTAACTGGATCAATAATCAGGAGGAGGAAAATAAAGACAGAAGTCACCAAAAAAACACCGGCGAACAAAAATGACGAACTCTGAACAAGGAACACCGGCGACCATATCGGCGCTAAATTGCATAGACTTATCCAGCGCCGACGTTCAAACCTCCGTTTCGCTCCTCAAACAGGCACATTCGCGCTCTTTGACTGTCTATTATTACTACCTACTACTTCTTCTGTTGCACAGTTTAGCTTGCAGTGCCATAGACTTAGTTAGGAGCACACGGAAAAGCGGTTTTTTAATTTCGAATTGAAATCATCTTGGAAATATAATATAATGATTTTAGAAATAGCGCGGTGATGTTAGAACTTGGAATTAGGATTTTGGATTAGGAAATTCTTGAACTTTTGCATTCTATCGTTTGATGGTATTGTTGTGATAACTTCCTGTTGATAGATACTGATGATGAGTTCGAAGTATGATGAACTTTTGTTAATGTTAAAAGGGAGGTCAGATGAATGTTTGTTAGCAAGTTAGCTAAGCGGATATCATATGCCATATGGAGTTTGTGCTTAACACTGGCAGCTCTATGACTTTGAAGATAGGAGCTTATGCAATTAGTACTCTGCTTTTGGATTCTAAATTCCAGCAGTCAAGCTTTATTTCTGACTATGGAATCACATTCGCATTATTTTGTGCCCGCATTCTCGATTTAGGAGACATGATCATTGTTTAAATGTATCCAGTTACTTTTCAAGCCTCTTTGGACTGTATCCTTGTGCGCCAAATAATTAGACTATTTTTGAACTTCTTTTTTGAAATTGGTTGTTATGTGTTTGGCTGAAGTGCTGATTCCTTCAACTGTCTCCGTAGGCTTGCTTGGATTCAGGGTTCTTTTATGTCATTAATCATGGAATCAGCCCTGAATTTATGGACGAGGTCTTTGCTCAAAGCAAAAAGTTCTTTAGTCTATCTCTTGAAGAGAAGATGAAGCTTTTGAAGAATGAAAAGCACCGTGGCTACACGCCTATTCTAGATGAACATTTGGATCCAGTCAATCAAGTACATGGTTAGTAATTCATCTTCATTCCTCAGAGATCGATTTTCTTCAGGTCATGCTTTATTGGTGGCCCTTTTTCCTTTCTCCTTGGTTTGTTGTATCAGGTCTTTTCTTTTCTTTTCAACTCTCCCGGCATCTGCGTTCATTTCCACGACTACGTGGCCCTAAAAGGTACAGATCATTTTCCCTGAACACTATTTTGTATCTGTGTCTTGTAGGAGATTACAAAGAAGGATATTACATAGGTATTGAAGTACCCCAGGATGATCCTGATGCAGGAAAACCGTTTTACGGCCCAAATTTGTGGCCTCAGGCAGGTAACTTTCGTGAACCATTAATTTCTCAAAAAGGCGGGCCTTAAGTATTGTTATATTGGCATGCCAAGAATAAATTTTCATTAAATGTTTTTGCAAACTGGCTGAATGCTTGGAATTATTTGCATGTGTTGAAGAGATTTTGCCAGGATGGAGGGAAACTATGGAGAGATACCATCGCGAAGCCCTGTAAGTGGTGCTTCTCCATTTCATTTATCAGATAAGTTTTTTTACACTACATTTTTGGGTATAAATAATCCTCCATCTTTCGATACATATGCAATCAGTGAGGTTGGAAGAGCTGTTGCAAGAATCATGGCTTTGGCACTTGACTTAGATGAGGGATTTTTTTATCAGCACCAAATGCTTGGGAAACCTATTGCTACTTTGCGGTTGCTACATTATGAAGGTTTAACCGTGAGACTAGTTTCTCAAGTAGCAGAATTCATATGTTGATATGAGGTGTATCATTTCAGGTCGAATTTCTGATCCAGCAAAAGGAATATATGGAGCCGGCGCCCATACTGATTTTGGTTTACTTACCCTTTTGGCCACGGATGATGTCACCGGTCTTCAGGTAGGCACAGAGTAGGTGTTAGATCAATGAAGAAAAGTTCAATGTTTTCTTCAGAGGGAAAATGAACTTCTATTTTCATTGCAGATATGCAAGGATAAACATGCTGAGCCACAAATTTGGGAATATGTATCACCTTTAAAAGGGTAAGGTACTATACTTTCTAAATTTGGTTCATTTGGGGAGTGAGGAACTTAATGTTTCTAATTGCTGTTGTTAATGGGAAAATATGCATTCTCTTATGTGTATTGCGCATTCCTTTATACGTGAAAGGATATATCTTGTAAGACAGTACACAGTGAGACTAGCTGTTGGGAGAATCTCTTCTCAATGCAACCATTCTGTCTGTTGCTGTAGACTGACCATTATCTAAAGATATCCTGTCAAACATGCTCTTCAGTCTTCATGAACTTTCTTATGTTCTCATAGCTTTTTGATAATGTAAATTCAAGTGATGTCTGCTATATATTTTCACAATTGATATCTAGGCTAGCAATGGACTGATCAGATAACTGGAAATTTTTCTCCGCGACATGCCACTTTATGGTTGATAATTTGCTTTACAATATGCAGAGCATTTATTGTAAATCTTGGAGATATGCTGGAGAGATGGAGCAACTGTGCTTTTAGGTAATATAAATTTGTCCTACCGTTGGCATGGGTTTTACGTACAGTCTCATCTCATATGTTTGTGGAGCTCTTTCTGTGTAAGTACTTCATTTTCCATATTATAAATTTTTAAAGGGAAACTTTTTGCAGAAAACCAGTATGATGGCGACATAGGATCTATATGGCGCCAAGTGGGATAAATACTTGTGAATATTTATCATTTGTTTGTAGACAGTTTCTGGTAAACAGATTTTGGAACTTATTAATTATGTAGTGGCAGGGAATGCCCCTGATTTTATGAACTATGAACTTGTCTTCATTATCCGCTTCTTCTGACACCAGAGCAAGTCCCCGTCTCCTTTCGTATATGATAATATGACTGGACCTTTATATTTCTGATACTTTTTACATCTTAGAAAAACTTCTGATTGAGATAATTTCTAGCTTAGTTTAGTGAACTTTTTATGGCGGACACTCTTTATGGAGTTGTGCCATTTCATATTTGTCTTCAAAATTTTGAATGCTTGACTTATCATTTGACTTTCACTATCCTCTTATCAGGTCAACGCTTCACCGTGTCTTGGGGAATGGACAGGAGAGATATTCTGTAAGTTCTTCTGAAGCTTCTGATCTTTTTTCTTTAGGGAATGCGAGTGGTATCTTAGACAACCAACCATTTCTTTGTAAGAAAATTATCTGAAATTTGTGCGTTCATTCTCTGCTGTTGGTGGACAGATTGCATACTTTCTGGAGCCTAATCATGACTGCATGGTTGAGTGCCTGCCAACCTGCCACTCAGAGGATAATCCTCCCAGGTATTGTCCCTTCTAACTGCTATATACATTTTATGTCTGCCAAAGGGATGTCAGAAACCAATTATTTGCAATACAGTTAACTTACAAGTAAGAGGAAAACTTCTGTTTTGTTTAATATCACAAATACTGTTTCTTATCAGTACTTCGGATTCAGCATTGGCTGCCTTAGCTCATGAGTAGGTTTTTCTAAAAAAAAAATAAAAAATAAAAAAATTCATGAGTATCTTCTTTGCAGGTTCCCACCAATAAAATGCGAAACTTACATGGTTCAACGGTACACTGATACACATGTTCATCTTAGTGCATACAAATGAGATACTTCGTGGATCACAAACGCTTAGTACATGATACACGCGACAGCAAAAGAGATAATACGGCAAAGAAGAGGTCTTATAAGCTGGATACATGCTTTCATTTCTGGTTGGCAACGATCACAGAAGTCAGACCTTCTGCTTATTACAGTTTAATGGTATGAGCGTGCTGTATTGTATTGAGTTGTGCTTAAGATTTGATAAGTCCGTTGATGTTAACTGCTATGGACCGACAAAGTACATCACTGCTGGTTTATGTGTACGATTGAACAATTTTTGAACAGTTGTACCATAGCCTAGCTACATTCGACACATTCTCTTATAGCTTAACCATAAATGATGATAATTGTCTCAATTTGCGATCTCAAAGAAACTACTTGTAGCTGTAATTCTCGATCTTACAGTGGTGGATACCATTCAGGACTGACTAGCATTAGCCTGCCCAGAACTATATAGCCTTCATTTGATCCAAGTCTTCTCATCTTTTTGTCTTTCTAGTCTTTATACCGTTTGGGACACTGAAACCTCCCAAAACAGTTTTGGTCCTAAGAAGTGACACATGCCATTGATTGCCTTTTTGTTCTCAAATGTTGTCAATTATGATAACTAAGGGCATTCACAATAATAGTATAATGTGAATTAAATGTCAGAACTAAAATTTTGACGATTGATGCATGTTGTGTAATCTTGTCAGTTGTGCAAAATATATTGCACCGATGAAACTGATAAAAGTGGGCACTGGCGGGCCCATCTCATGGCTGATGCCCCATTCATTTTTTTTTGTTTTATTTCTTTTTTTTTAAATTCTTTTTTTATATCTGCTGTTTTATCGTCTTCAACATCAAAAATAAAATTTCTTTATTTTTGTGACCGTTATAAGCCCTTTTTTTTGTCTTCTTCACACCATCTCCAAAAAAAAATTTCTTCATTTTGGTTGTCAAATTTGTGGCCGTAGAAACTTTTTGAACGTTGAAAAAACTAGCCGTTTCTAAATGTTTGCACTATAATTTGATAATTTTTTTAAGAGAATAATTTAAGATTTTGCCTATAAATACCCCCAACATTGATTTTCATAACACACCACTTTCTCTATTTTTCTTCTCTTCTATACTTATAGTTCTTTCTTTACTACACATCAACTATTCAATTTTTTTCTTCTATTTTCTACTACCATGAGCCGAAAAAATAAAAAAAATCATCCTACAAACAATGCAAATCTGTCTCACAATTTCCCAAATTCTCCCCGCCCCCAAAATTTTCATCCTAATATGCAAAATTTTGGATATTCTCAAAATTTTGGATATCCTCAAAATTTGGGTACCTCAAATTTGCCTCCTTATGTCCCAAATCCATTCGTGATGTATCAACCGCCCGGTTATTTTTCTCAAATGATTGGAAATAATTTTCCAATGGGATTTACAAATACGGGTTCGTCTTTCGGAAGTCCACCTACACCGGTTTCAACAAGAGGAGACGTTCGAGACGATGACTCTCCAAATGCAACGCCAAGGGCATCAACTCCCCAAGATTATTTTTCACAATTTTCAACTCAATTTGGTTTGGATAATATTTCTTTATCGCAAGCACCAGAAAAAGAAAATATTTCAAATTAACAAGGTTGGAGCAAGGAGGAAGACATACTTCTGGCTCGTGCATGGCTCACGGTTTCTAACTAGCGTTACAGGAAACTACCAAGATATGAAGGAATTTTGGAAGAAGATTACTACCTACTACAATGCAAACCGAGGATCTTTACCTCAAAGAGAACAAGGTAAGTTAAAGTCTCATTGGTTTTGGTTTTCAAAGTATGTCAATGAATTTAACCAACACTACAATAGACTATGGAATGAACACCGTAGTGGGTGGAGTGATGATTCTGTAAGGGATGCAGCTCATGAGGTATATTACCAAATTAAGAAAAAACATTTTGTGCATGAGCATGTGTGGAAAATTGTGAAAGATGATCCAAAATGGGCAGCTGTTTCTATCGTTGAAGAGTCATCAAAGAGATCAAGAATCAACGAATCCGGATCATACACTTCATCATCAAATGCTGATCGAAATGTTGAGATCAATGAGATCGAAGAGGAGGTTCGCCCAATAGGCCAAAAAGCAGCCAAGAAAGGAAAGCGAAAGTCAAAAGAAAAGTGCAAGGCACGGGATGATGACGATGAACTTGTTGAACTTCGACAAAAAAATGATGGATTTGGAAGCCAAAAAATTAGAGCAACAAGAATTTTACAATCAGGCGTACATGAGGCATACGGTTACCAAAGAATATGAAATTTTGACGAAGGACACCTCGAATATGACATCAGAACAACGAGCAAGACATGAACTTTTAGTTGAAAAAATCTTGTCTAATTATAGATAGTCATGTTAGGTTATTATTTTGAATTAGTTATTTTCATTGCGAGTTTTTGGTTTTATTTAAACTAAAATGTAAGAGTTGTGTCACTGTATTTGAATTTTATTACATCATATTATTGTATTTTAAATATGAAGTATTATTATGTTTACCGCATCGTATAATTATTATTGTATAACTTATAATTAATTGCATGAAAAAAGTAAAAAAATATAATAAATTCGAAACAATCTGGAGAAACTCAAAAAACTCATAAAAAACTAAGTATTAAATACTTTAAATGAATAAATACATTGATGATGTAGTTACTTCATTGTTTTTTCATTTGTCCATACGTACCACAGTGTAGTCACATCTCTCTTTTTATCTTGTCCATTAAATACATTGATAGTGTAGCCACGTCATTCTTTTTTCATTTGTCCATACGTACCATAGTGTAGTCACATCTTTCTTTTTACCTTGTCCATTAAATATATTAATAATGTAGTCACGTCATTCATTTTTTATTTGTCTATACGTACCATAGTGTAGTCACATCTCTCTTTTTATCTTGTCCATTAAATACATTGATAGTGTAGTCACGTCATTCTTTTTTCATTTGTCCATACGTACCATAGTGTAGTCACATCTCTCTCATTATCTTATCCATATATTGGATAATATAGTCAAATCTTTTTTTGATCTTGTTGCAAGTACGCTCTATAAATATGGAATGAGACTAGTAATATTGTTCAAGCCTTTTCAACTCTTTGGTATGCATATATTTTGCAACAACTCTTCACACACGACCATGTCTCAAAATTCTCTTTCCAATTTTGATCCCTCTATTTTTGATGATGAAATGAATGATTATATGCGGGAACAAATCTTTGATAACACGGGTCTAGAGGATTTAAGGAGGTTGGATGAGTTGATTGAGCAACGAAGAGGTGCAAGTTCTTCGCGAAGACGAAAGCATATCGACCGAGAGCGCGAAATTGGAGAACAAAGGTTATTTAATGATTATTTTTCTGACAATCCAGTATACTCTTCAGCTACTTTCCATACAAGATTCCACATGAGAAAAGAATTATTTCTCCGCATTGTATAATCTATCCAAAATCACTCTGAATACTTTCAACAAAGGCCTAATGCATCGGGTAAAATGGAATTTTCCCCCATTCAAAAATCTACAGCAGCTCTTCGTCAATTAGCATACGCATTACCAGCCGATTGTGTTGACGAATATTTAAGGATGGGTGGAAGTACTGCACTATAGTGTTTACGATACTTTTGTCATAACGTGATTGAAATTTTTCAGTCACAATATTTGAGAAGACCTAATGATAATGACGTTCAACGTTTACTTCAAATGCACGATGAACGACATGGTTTTCCAGGTATGCTTGGTAGCATTGATTGTATGCATTGGAAATGGAAAAATTGTCCGGTTGGATGGAGAGGTCGTTTTACTTCCGGTTATCAAGGTTCTCCCACCTTAGTGCTTGAAGCAGTCGCATCTGCAGATTTATGGATATGGCATGCATTTTTTGGAATTGCAGGATCTAACAACGACATCAACGTGCTCAACCAATCTCCTCTGTTTAACGACGTGTTACACGGGTATACACCTGATATTCAATTTACTGTAAACGGTACTCAATACAGCCGAGGTTATTATTTAGCTGATGGTATATATCCGGAGTGGGCAACATTTGTGAAAAGTTTTACATCTCCGGTAGATTCTAAGAGAAAACTCTTCAAAAAGGTGCAAGAAGCAGCAAGAAAAGATGTTGAACGAGCATTTGGAGTGCTTCAGTCCCGTTGGAATATTTTACATATTCCATCTCGATTGTGGGATAGAGCACCGCTTAAAGATATAATGTATACTTGCATCATATTACACAATATGATAGTTGAGGACGAGGGAGATGAAGCAACAAACTGGACTGATGACGCGGGGACTCAATTTTTGCATCATCAAGAGTTAATCCCTAATATACAACAATATATTCAAAAGAATGCAGAAATACGCGACCGCGAAGAACACCATCAACTACGATCAGATTTGGTTGAGCACATCTACGAACGTTTTGGAAATGATTTTGATGAAATGTAGTGTTGTTAAATTATTTTTATATATTTTTAGATTTTCACTCTCTCTATAAACATCGTCTAGTAGTGAAATTTCATTATTGTTATTTTTTAAATTAATTATTGTACTTTATTAATATATTGTTCACTCAATGATTATTAAACTTTTTTATATTCTTGTGTTATTTAATTAGGTTTTTAGATTTTTAAAAAAATAATAAAATTTTATAATGTACTTTAGAAGTCATATAACCAAATAATTATGAAAAATAAATTTAATTATTATTACAAGTAAATGTAATTATTTTTTATAAAAAGTAAAGTATTAATAGTAGGATAGGTGTGGGGTAATAATAGTGAGGTAGTTGTGAGTCCAAAATTATATAGGTAGTGAGTGTAATATTGTTATAGGAAAAAGTGTGTAAAGTGAGAGTGTAATGGAATGCCGACGTAACAGTGTAATGTTGTGTTGAATGTTATGTATTGTCTCTAAGAAGAAAAACAAAAGGACCCATTTGTGTCAGGGATTGCACTAATACAATTATGCCCACCTGAAAAGACGTAGATATTATCTAAAGTCACGTTTTTCATGTCTCTCTGTTCAAATAAAGAAAGAAAACCCCGAATCTCAAACTTCCCTCGCAAAAAGCAATCAAGTTTCAAAATGATTGAAACGAAAATGAACTCCGAGGTTGGAAATTTTGCTCAGAATCTTCCATTACTGGATAGTTCGCCAGCACTGAACTTTATTGATCTCTCCAGCTCCGATGTTCAAAATACCGTTGCTCTTGTCCGACAGGTACTCTTTTTACCCCAACTCTCATAACATTTGACATACTTTGGAATTTGGAACATTCAGTGTGGTTTGTCACCCGATTCATTTTCAGTGAACACTGTGATTACTATGATTGCATACAAAGTAGATGCTTTTTCTGATCAGTAGAGTGCACAGGGACAGTACAATGAGAACAAAAGGCTGAATTACCGCTTTTTGATTTTTAGGTGCTTTATTTGCCAATGTTTTGTATTGGATATGATGTGAAAATCATGAAGAATATGTGCAGCAATTTCTGCCGATTTGTCGATTTTATTACGGCTATAGTTGTCATTAATTGCTTTAAGCTACTTACTATTCATGGTTTTAACTTGAGGACTTGTAAAGTTTCCATCACAAAGTGATAAATGCAATGCGTTCCGAAAATCAGTAAGTGAATTAGTGTACTTAAATTATTTGGTTCATGAAATGATGAAAATTTCATAATTTGACTGTTTTCTTTCTCCTTACACCGTTTCCATAAAACCTTAGAGAATGTCTGTTCCCCTGAATATTTATCTGATTTTCTATGCCAAATTGCCAATATCACAGGCCTGCATAGATTCTGGATTCTTCTATGTGATCAACCATGGAATCAGTCAAGAGTTGATGGATGAGGTATTTGATCAAAGCAAGAAGTTCTTTAATCTGCCACTTAAGGAAAAGATGAAGGTGTTGAGGAATGGAAAACACCGTGGCTACACGCCTCTTCTGGATGAAGTTTTGGATCCTGTCAACCAAGTACATGGTTAGTACTTTATATTTTATCAGTCGTGATTTTCCATTTCTCTCTTATTTACGTTCATTCACGTTTTTAATACTTGGCTGATAGTAATAAATTTCACTTTTTCATCATGTTCCTATAGGAGACTATAAAGAAGGATACTACATAGGTGTTGACATTCCTGAAGACGACCCTGAAGCAGAGAAACCATTTAACGGGCCAAATTTGTGGCCTACTGCTGGTAAGTAAACTGGGAAAATCATCTCTGGATTATCAAGTTGAAAACATTGCCCTTTTTTTTTTTGTAAATTTTGCATTTCTGACCTGTTGCAATTGTGTGGATGGTTTCCATGCAGATATTCTGCCTGGATGGAGAGAAACTATGGAGAGATACCACCAAGAAGCACTGTAAGTGATTCCATGAGCAAAAAATAGATTAAGATTTAAACTTACGGTACCTCATAATTGGTTGTATAATGTTGAAGTTATTGTGCTGCAATGTCACTTTTCATTGTGCACGTTTTGGCCCACAGGGATGGTAGATTCATTTTATGATGTTTTCCGTAGTTATCCATTGATTTGGATCCATCTTATGCAGCTACCTTCTTTTGAGTTATTTCATCGGAATTGAAGGATTCTGCTTCCAATAGTCAATAGTTAACACTTTTTTTTGCAATCAATAATCAACCTTGACAAACAAGTAATTAGTTAGGAGCATATTGGCTTATTAACAGGTTTAGATCCCTTGATAATTTACTGATATATCGTTTCAAATGCATTCAGCGAGGTTGCACGAACACTTGCAAGGATCATTGCCCTCGCACTAAACTTGGATAGCAACTTTTTTGATCCCCCAGAAATGCTAGGCAAACCTCTCGCAACTTTGCGCTTACTACGTTATGAAGGTTAGACTGTGAGACTTATATCTGAAGTTGTCCTCATTAGAGATCGGCATGAGAAGAAGATACAAATTGATTTCAGGTAAAATCTCCGATCCTTTGAATGGACTATATGGAGCAGGTCCACATTGCGATTACGGTTTAGTTAGCCTCTTAGCCTCAGACGATGCTGGTCTTCAGGTGTGATCCATAACTGAATACAACTTGTTGAGATTTCTCATTTCTCTTCAAAAATAATTAGAAAATTGCATTGCAGATATGCAAGGATAAGCATGCTACGCCTCAGATTTGGGAATATGTGACACCAGTTAAAGGGTATGAAACTAGTATTAGGGGATCTCTAAGAGAGCAATCATGATGTTTCCCATATTAATTTTCTGGTGTGTTTATTTTATCAGTCGCAAAATAGTTTAAAGCTTGCTTCTGGTGTAAAAATTTGCAGGGCATTTGTTGTGAATCTTGGGGACATGCTTGAACGATGGAGTAACTGTGCTTTTAGGTGAAAACCTTTCTTTTACATAACCACAGCGATGCTTAAATTATATTGCTGTTAGACTACTGTAATTCTGTGTATTTTTTATCATTGTGATTCATATTCTGATTGCTTTGCTTGGATCACTTGATGATTGTTCAGTTGCCTTTCCATCATAATGCTCTTGAAAGTGCAGCGTTCAAGCATGAAATGAATTCTGCAATTCATTGCCTCTTTTTGATGTTTCAAGATAAACAATCATATGGTGATGTGCAGACTGGGAAGGGATTGCGTCTCCTGCTATGCCAAATGTTTAAAATATAAAAAGTTGATTATTACCGTGCTTCTCTCGCTATGACACTATCCTTTTTCAGGTCGACTCTACATCGTGTTATAAGCTTAGGTCAAGAAAGATATTCGGTAAGTCCATATGGAGCTTTTTGATGGTCGCTAATTGAGTTCATGCTTGATCAAACTTCTGTGAAAATTGACTCAAGCAAATCAAGTTCTGCAAAAAGTCAGATTAAACTACTTGTGGAAGATACTCATCCTTTTTCTGGCTGGTTTGGCACACAGGTTGCATTCTTTGTGGAGCCTAATTACGATTGCATTGTCGAATGCCTTCCGACCTGCCACTCAAACGATAATCCTCCCAAGTATGTACCCGTGAAATCGACAATGAGATCCTCTTTAATAAACCGACAGTCACTATGTTTTTGCCTTTGCCATAATTTTCGAGTATCTTCGTGTTCAGGTACCCTCCCATCATGTGTGGTGATTACATGGTGATGAAGTACAAAGATACGCATGCTGATCTGAGATCTTACAGTGCCACGGACACATCTGCCTGAATTACTTTATTTATCTATTTATTTATTTTTGGCATTTGGGTTGTGATGAAACCAGCTGTTTACTGAATAAGTTCCCAAGTTGAATGTATATCTTGTTCTTAAAAGGTAGATGAAACGATGGAGGCGGGTTTTTAATTTTTATAAGATGTACTATAACAAATGCAAAGCGCCAGTGCGCTATCATAATTTATGCCCTCAGCTGCTGCAACTCATTGAGTTTGTCACCTGAGGTTTGCCTAGGTGGCTTAAGTCACTCATATGGTTTGCAGAACATTGCATGAGGGATAGTTTCCGAGTTTCCTTCTTACCCCAACCACCACCCCCCCCCCCCCCGAAAAAAAAAAAAAAATGAAACAAATGAAGCTATAGAATGTAGATACAATATATTATGTGTTAATTCAAGCGTTTGCAAACCATATTTTTTAAGTAACAAACTGACAGGAAGCGAACTAATTCCGCGAGAACGATAGGTAGAGGAAAGTAAGTTCCTATTGCCTCTATATCTTTGAGATTTGGTGTGCACATTGTTACTTCCAAGTGTCCCAGTAGAATTGTGGGTTAGAAAGAAGAATGGATCATCCCACTATATCATAAAGGCTCTAATCCATAGGACCATATCCATCTGATCTTCCTAATTCCTGTATGATAAAACGTTTACCATTTTACTGTATTTGTCAAACCATCCTTTTCAGGTTCACTCATACCGAGGGGGACCGGCCAAGAAAGATTCTGCATCATCGACGTCCTAGATACGTGTTAGCTAAAACTATGCTCAAACTTCACAGATTAACCTGTAATTAATTGAGACGTCAGATTTCACAAAATTACTTTGTGGAAGATGCTAGGTTTAAGGTATATATGTATGGGGAACAGTGGTGAGGAAGCTGATGGTTTTTTCCGTGGCTAGTTCGGCAGGTTGGACTTTTCGTGGAACCTAATTCCAGTTGCATGGTCGATCCCATCTGACCTGCCACTCACAAGGATATCACATGGTGATGAAATAAAACATTACCCAAGCCGATCTCGGCACACACAAGGCGACGGAAACATCTTCCTGAAATCTGTTCTGAGTTTGAAGCCTCAGGGAACCAATGGTTACAAATTAAGTTCAAGTTGATCCACGCACTTATACTTAAATGTATCTGGAAAAATCGTATAGAAACTTGTAAATTTTTAAGATGAATTATGTACAATACAAATGCAAACACCACTACGTGAAAGATATACGACAGGCCACGTATAGAGGCGTAGCCATGGAGATCATTCCAATCAAACGGTAAAAATGCAAAAGCTATTTCTAATTCACGCATAATTTGGAAACCATTGGTTGAAGCGAGATCTGATATGCTGATAGTCACTCGAATTTATTACATTATATTCGCTTCTAAGTCGAGCGACTAGTCCCAAATTTGACAATGTTGAGGCAAGTGCGCACAAACTTATTTCATTAAACAGCTAGAAAATTTGGAATCGAGTCCTTATTTTGAGAATATTCAGGGAAATGCACACAAACTGAAAAAAGTTCTCCAATTTACAAATGACAAAAAGTAATAACATAGTTACAGAACCAAATTGCTTCGGAGTAGCTTAGCACACATCAGCCAGTCATGACATCCACCTTCTGGAGAAAAAGATTTGGATCGAGGCAAATGGCTTTCAGCATATTCCTGGCAAATACCTTACCTGTAGCAGCGGTAATTTGGGGTATACATGCAGCTTTCAGCAAACTTCACCAGATCAGCAGGGCGAGGTAAACGTGTCGCCACACCTACGTTACATAGTTCATAAAATCGTCAGATGAGGTAGGAGGTTTTAAGGCTCACCGTGAATAAATAAGGTGAAAAAGTAACCATAAGACAAAAGCCTAAGAGCACAGACCTAGATCATAGGCTTTAGCAGCAACAGCAGCAGCAATATTGGCTGAAATCTTTCTGATGTTAGTAAACGGTGGATAGATCATTCCCTTTGCGTAATGTTCATCTGTAACTTGATTAGCCAAAGCTTCCGCTGTTTCAAATAGAGGCTAAGTATTAGCTCATGCGTTCTGGAGTATCAGCTTCTAACAGCATGGATGAAAATTTGCATGAAAATAAAATCGACCATGATAATAAAAAATTATACTAGGGGTGGTGCTGGTATTCAGAGAGATAAATAAGTGGATTTTGTAATATGTCAACTTCTAACAGTAAAAAACTTACATGCTGCCAAAAGCATATCATCATGCACGCGAATTGCACCAGACATAACCAAACCAAGACCAAATCCCGGGAATATGTAGCAATTGTTTGCCTGTAGAAGATGGCAAAATAATTAATCACACCGACTCATAAGTTGAGAGGAAAGTACATCATATCAAGCACTAAAAGTTTATGGTACCTGGCCAGGAACATGAACTTTTCCGTTGTACTCAACAGGGTCAAATGGACTCCCACTGGCAAAGATACAACGACCCTTTTCCACAGACACAAGCAAAACCGTTTCAGACAGAATCACTTAGTTTGATAAAAACAAATAAACAAACAAGGAACACAACATGAAAACAATTATTTCGGTGCTGGCTATCATTCAGTGAGAATTGTAACTCATCACACCTCAGTCCACTTGTAAGCCTCTTCAGCGGTGCACTCAGCTTGTGAGGTTGGGTTAGAGAGAGCCATAATGAGAGGTTTCTGAAAATAATAAACATATACAAGATGAATGTTTGTTCAAGTGCTTCCGGCCTATATTTTCTAAACCTCAGAAAGAGGGAAAAGAGAGAAAGAGCATAAAGGTGAGTTTGAGCTAAGGAAACCTCATTTATGGCAGCCATGGCCTCCACCACCTCTTGTGTAAATTGTTTTCCAACACCAGAGGTCCCAATTAAGATTGTTGGTTTGACAACCTAATTATATTGGAAAATTAAGCATACGTTAAAATCACAAGAATTGTGTCATAAGATAATGTAAGTGCCTTAAAAAATTCAGTAATCCACTCAACCTTGATAGAATCCAAAAGATTGCCAACAGGTTCGGCCTCATGAGCCCATGGCTTCTTGAAGTGTTGAAGAGATTCTTTACGTGAACGAACAATTAAACCCTGTCACATAATGGACAAAAATAATTGCAGATTCAGTCACAAAGATACTAAAGCGATAGCAAGATCTGTCCAAAGATCAGGAATTTTCAGTGGGTACCTTTGAGTCCACCAGCCAGATTTTCTTACGGGCCTCATCAACAGGAATACCTGACTGCAGTATTGATTCAAAAACAAAGCTCCAGTGAAGATAAGAACGAGAAATTTTACCAAATATCCAAAGGAAAGGGGATAATCAATTTGTACCCGTTTTGAAATTTCAAGAGCTATAAGTTCTGCTATGCCTGTTCCAGCCTGCAATTACATGAGGACACAGTAATATATAAGCTGCTTTTGTCTCTCTTGGTTGATATTTATGCCAGCATAGAACCAGGGGTAGGAAAAGTAGAAATTGCGACTCAGAAAGATGAGAGTTTTTGATAAGCTTTTATTTTTGCAAGAGAACTTCAAAATCGGTTCACTGAAGGATTACCTCGCCAGCACCAAGGAACAAAAATGTGTGATCAGCCAATGTGCCTCCATACACTTTGAGTGAAGCTACAAGACCAGCAAGCACAACAGATGCTGTCCCCTGAAAAAGGAGGAAACAAACTTCTAGAAACTGGATATCCTTGGAATGATATAAATTAACGAATCTCCACATACCTGTATGTCATCATTGAATACCAGATGGGTGGTACCATATTTAGTCAGCAGCTCAAAAGCATTGTGGTTTGCAAAATCTTCGAACTGTTGCATAATAAAGTTTGATACATGTTCAAATATCATAAAGAGCACATGTCGATAAATCGAATCATTCCCTATGGAAAGCAATCAATGGGCCTTTTGTAGGATATACTAACCTGCACAAGCACTTTTTCACCATAGTTTTGCTTTACAGCAGTCATGAACTCATGCAGAAAGTCATAATATTCCTAGAAATAGAGTAAAAACATTGTTAAAATTGCAGAATTCAATATGAAAAAGTCATACTCTCAAAGATGTGGTTCAGAGAAACTAGTGTTGATCAACCTTTCCAGTTGCCCTCCTCTGCTTGAGGCCTATGTAAAACTCATCATTCAACAGCTTCTCGTTGTTTGTCCCCACATCAATAGTAATTGGCAGACACTATACAAGAAAATAAAAAGTTAATTACAAAAGTGAAAGGGTATATCTAATAGGTTCTATAGCAATTTCAGCACTCTGTTTCACAATTTATAAAAGGAAGGGATGCTAGAAAGTCTTATTTGAATTAGAGAATTGATTCAAATAATGGTGTCATTATGATGCTTACTGCTGAAGGCCTGACTCCTCCAAGTGCTGTGTACAGAGCCAGCTTACCAACAGGAATCCCCATACCCTGTCACATTGAGATAAAAGTCAGATGAAAAAGCCTACTAATGCAATCTAACCAAATAAGATAGTAAATGGGAAAAGCAACAATCGTATCTGCATTTCAATGTGACATCTAAATACAAACAGCAGCCAAAAAAAAAAAAAAAAACAAAAAGAAAAAAAGAAAAGAAACAAATTACAGCATCTTACCTGAGCACCAAGGTCTCCGAGGCCCAAAATTCTTTCACCATCAGTCACGACAATGACCTGGATTGTTCTCTCAGGCCAGTTCTTCAACACCTCAAGAATCCTTCCCCTGAGAGCACAAGTAACTTGTAACTCAGTTTGAGTTATTGTACACGTGACATTCGAGAACAGAGCTTAAATTATAGAGATCGTACTTCTCTTTTAAACTTATGAATAAACCCTGAGGACGCTTAAAAATGCTTCCATATTTTTGGCACGCTTCCCCAACAGTCGGAGTATAGACAATAGGAAGGAGCTCCTCCACGTTATCAAGAAGCAGCCTGTAGAATAACCTTTCATTCCTCTCCTGCGAAGGACAAGTACCCAAATTATTTGAGTAAACATAGCAGAACCACAAGAGAGAATATCTTCTAAGTAAGTATCACTACTTCAACTCTCGTTACCTCCAGTTCCATCATAGCCTGGTACTTGTGCAGAGGTTGGTCATACTGGCGAATCCCTTGCATGAATTTCTTCTCCTGGAATGACACAAAAAAGTCCACAAAATTAAGCATAGGAGGTATAATATCAACCAATATCGGAGCAATTTCAATCATAGTACCTGAAGTTCCTGCGGTACGATTGCAGGTGGAAGAAGGCCAGTCAAGTAATGAGTGTCTCTCTCCTTATCAGTGAAAGCAAGTCCTTTGTTGAAACGTGGATCTCTCAGCAGATTATAACCACTGTTTCAAAGCAATCAAGCACAACTTAATTAAGAGCACAATCTTTAAGGCTCATGAAAATTGCAGGTTGACCAGTAATGTGGAAAGTATGAAAATTAGTACACAGTCAAAGCACGATCAGAAAGGGCTAAATTCTTCTCGCATTTAACTAATTTTGGTGAAAACCAGACCTAACTCAAAGAACATCAGTAGAATTATCAGATCCAGCAAAATCAAACTCAGAGAAGCGAAATTCAACTCCTCGCTAAAGTATAAAAACGGCTGAAAACTAGCATCATCCGCTCGAGAAGCACAACAAACCGTAATACTCACTAAAATTACACAATCACAGTAAAGGATCACAGCAGGTAAGCTTATTTAGGCCAAATCAAAGCCAAAATGGAGCAAAAGCTAACATAACTCCGATACTAGTCTGTTTCTTTCTTTCACGTGCAAGTACGAAAATCTCAACTTAGCGTCAACGCAACAAAACATAAGAGAAGAGAATTCAGCTTGAAGGCAGACAGTCAAAAATTTGGAAGAGCAATACCTGGCGACGGAAGTCATCCATGGGGTGATGAGCTGCTCCTCGGTAGCACGATCTTCGCCGTAGACATCCTCAACACCGCCACCGACGGTTGATCTCGGTGACATGTCAAGCACCGATTCGCCTCCTCTCAAGTCCTTCAACGTGCTCTCCATTTTTCCGCAAACACTGTTTTCTCTCTCACACAGTCACACAGTCACACAGTCAGTAAAGCTGGGAAGTGCGAAAGTTTAAGAAGAAGTGGTCACCTCTGCAATTGAGACGTGCCACTATATGTAGTACCAAGTAGTAGGGGGGACTGGGAAAATAGTAATCAATATTTTGATTTGTAGGGACAAAATTATAGAAATATCATCAAGGGGGCCAGGTGTGGATGGATCAGTCTGTTTTCATAGCTACTTTAAAAATTAAATAAAAATTAAACCGGGTATATTCTTTCTAGTATACAGATCATGGTTTTCCGGAGGTTTTTTCTTTTCTCGATCGCATACCAACGTGTCTAAAAGTCAACACCCGCTGGACCAGGGCATGTCTTCCCCTTATTATATTTTTTTATCTTCTTTATTTACCGTCTCGTCAAAAAAAATACTTGTGGTTGTTGTTCGGTATTTCCCGTCTCATTTTAATAATTTATTGTAAATTTTGTTACATTATAGAAATTATTCAACTAGAAGAAATAGATTATTGAAATTTGTATCTGATGGAAGATAACGCACTCACTTTTGATACTTTCAAATTCCAAATAACTCGAAGACAATTAGTAGTATTAGTATTACTGAATCTAGGTGGCTGGATTTGCCTATTAGTATTAGTATTTTGGATAATTCATATATAGTTGGAAGGCCTAATAACTGTTCTTTGGAATTGAAAGAATATTTTTTAGCAAAATTTTATTTTAATTGTCCTAACATGGACTTCATAATTTAACCAAACAATGTTCCTCCTTTGGAACAGGAAAGTATTGCATTCGTCACTTTCCTTTTTGGCTTTGAAGGTAAAATGAGGCTCCGTAATTGTAGAAACAGTCATCATCATTTAACAAAGTTATTAAAATATTTATACGAGACAATTCAAAAAAAAAAAAGGAAAGAAAGAAAATTCAGAGTGAGCCTCGTGAAATTATCACTAGTCTACAGTTTTATAAATTTCAACAAAGTGGAAAAAAGAATAATTAGGGGGTTCTTGATTGAAAAGTAGGACTGCTTACGTCAGCCAACCCTGTTTCTCCCTAACAACTCCAAAATTCTGCTTGGATTTAATAATCATCATTGTTGTCGTGATTGTTTGTTTATTAAGACCGAAAATATTATTAAAACAGTAGAAGATGTACGAAAAAAAGATTGTACTAATGAATTAAATACTGTCTGACACAGCGGTATGATGACCGGGAAAAATAAGGGAACTACGTGTTGGAAAGTTGAAAAGAGTGGGTAAGGAGACTGGAATAATGCTTATCTGGTTTGGATTATGTGTCAAAATCAGAAGCCATCTTGAATGCCAGGGGAAGGTGTTTTGTGCATTCACATTGCAGAATTTTTCCATAGCTTCATAAGTCAATCATCACTACTTAATCACCCTCCCAAGCTTTTTTTTTTTTTTTGGGGGGGGGGGGGTGATAATTCATTTCGAGAAGAAAAATTGTTCTAAATTCTCTAAATCTCAAAAGAAAATACTCCCTCTGTCCCATAATTATTGTCCAGTTTGGGTTTTCATTTCTGGTTCAAATTGTGCTAAAAGTGAAATTTCAAACTGGACAATAATTTTGGGACAGAGGGAGTAATAATTTAAATATTTAATATAAATTATTTTTCTGAAACAAAAATAATATTAATAATTATTATAGGTTTTATAGTATTTGAACCCCCGGTTATCATATAGACCAACTGAATGCTTGTTGGTCCAAAATTGGATTTTTCTAACTACACGAACAATCATGTGTTACTTTGTTCAATCAAGTGGGAATATGTTATTGTGGCTTGCTTTATTAACAGTTCAACTATTCAATGATATTGACCTTAATTAATTGGTACTTGGTTGTAGTAGCTAGTACATTATTAGAACAGAAAAAAAGAAGACTTTTAATCAATTAGTGGAGCCTCTTGGATATAAAAGTTACTTCCACTTCGGGTTCCTTTTCTCCTTAATTAAGATGTTTTTTTAGTAAAGTGATGCTCCATCCCATTCCTAACAAACAGAATCCTCCTCATCTTAGAAGTTTGAACTCGCATAATTTTTCATTCATTTCATTATATCAACAACTAAATAAACAATTACTCCCTCCATTTTGAAATATACGTCATTTTAGGGTTTGGTGGATTTTTTTAAATATATGTCATTTTCACAAATCAAGTCATATTTGACCACTTTTTACCAATATTACTCCTGCATTGAGAATGAAACAATATTTATAATGAATTACAATTTAGTTTGTGATGAAATATATAGAAAATAAATAAGGATATTTTTTGTATTTTAACTACATTATTTAATGTTTTGTTGGTTTCGATGAATTCTCTAGAAAGACATATAAAAAAAAATGGAGAGAGTAATTATTCATTTCATTTTTCATTCACACGCCACATCATGCTCACCAAGTAAAAAATACACAATTCATTTACGAACAATTTACTTGATTTTAGAAGTATATATATAAAGGAAAGGAAACATAAGTAGAAAAAATTGCAGGTTTCTTGAAGCATAGTGAGCTAGTGATAATTTGACGTGAACGTGATGGATTACTAGAATAAGTGGAAGTGAGAAATAAATACTTCTTGATAATCTGGTGGAGATGGAGACATCGAATTTTTATTTTTCTTTTTTTAGAGAAAAGAGATGGAGACATCATATCCATACTGGCTTCCCAACTAGCAAAGCCTAACTGATTAAACTTAACAGGAGCAACCCTCCCTTCTAAATTCATCATGCTTTCGAGTCCCTAGCTTTAATAAATTCTTAATGGGAATTTGTGAGAGAAAAGTATTCTTACCTTCATTTACATTATTTATTATTTATTTATTTTATTTTTTTTGCATCAAGTCTGCTTTTATCACTTTATTTTTTGGGGGCATTAAAGAAAAAGTATTTTCTCGTACTACTCTTCTAAATTAATACTCCATTCGTCCCGTAATTATTATGTAATTTAAATTTTATTTAAAATTAAAAATTCAAATTGGATAATTTAGGACTGAAAGAGTATAAGCGATGACATAGATTTTTTTAATACTTTTGCCTCTAAAAGTTGCAGAAGAGAAATTAAAGCAGTGTAAACCCCTTTTAAGTGACCGACACTAGTTTTACAACTCATATAATCTTTTAATCATAAAATAAAGGATTCAGTTGACTTGACAATTGGAGGAAAAGAATTATGCTCTCGTCCTGATATATGATTACATGTGTATTGTATTCTTTGTAACGAAACTTTATCAGATTAGAGAGTTTATAAAAAAAAAAAAAAAACTAGTTTTTATTAGTTTACGATATTTATTTGATTTTATTTTTTTTATACACTCCTTGATTGTGGCAAATGATTAGTACTTTTATTTTGGAATGAAATGATTTTATAATATCACTAACTGTGGGAAATTTACAAGCTCTTAGAAGAGGTTGATGATGTACATACTAAGGCTAGGTTTGGATCGTTTTTTAGTATTTTTTTATTAGAAATATAAAAAATGATATTAAAAATGTAAAAATATGCATTGAGAATGTAAAAGTATATGTTCGAATGAGACATATATTGATTAAAAATTCCGAAAAAACCAATGAAAAAACGAACCAAACAGAACAGCTTTTGGAAATGGATTTTAGTTACTATATTCTATTATCTTATAATTTATAAAATTAATTTGAGTTAGACATGGCTGTAGCAAAACTATCGAAACAAATGGAAGTTGAAAAGTAATGGGATTAATGAAAAGACAAGAAAAAGAAGTAGTAATACAAAAACAAAACTTGCGCGGCGTGGCCATCATAATCAAAACAGTATGAACAGTGAAAAACGTTAAACGAGCATTTTGTATAGGCAGACTCGAATCCCGGGGCAATATAATTTACCTCAAAATGATTGAAGTTTCAGCAGGTTGACCAACGTGATTCACGTTCAACATCTTTGACATTTACCGGACTTCATTATTGATGGAATGGAAGAACAAATGAAAACATCCACTTCATTCGTCCTTGTTTTGATGGTATGGAACATTATTGTAGTCATGTTGTAATAATTCAGACCCAGCAGGCTGCGAAAGTTATTCCTTTCAAAATTGCGTTATTGTTCATTTCCGCAATCCTAAAAAAATATTATTCCCTCCTCTCCCTCGTGTCCTTATTATAAGACATTTTGATTCATATATGATATCTTTTTAATTGAAATAAAAATTTTAAAAATATTTTTTAATAATAATTATGAGAATATGACGAATGCGAAAATATATTTTTAAGATTTTTTATCCAATTAAAAAAGTATCCTAAGTAATACCTAAGACAAAATTAAAATTCCTTATAATAAAGACCAGAGGGAGTACGGTCTTATTATTTTCACATAGAGAAAATATATTTTATATTCTCATATGAAATGTAAATAGAAATGTCAAATAATCAATAGTATCATATAGTGTTATGATTACAAAAATAGACACAATTGACCTTCTTTTTTTTTTTTTTAATTGACAAGAGGCAAGAGCTTCAACTAAAGTGAAATAATGAAACAATGAAGTAATCATTCGTCATTTAAACTTATTTGAGTGATAGCATCACTTTGCTTCACAAATATCATTAGTGTTTCACCGTAATTCGAATTTTGGAGAAAGGCAGATGCTTTTTCTTGACAAGGGCTTTTTGGAGAGACATAAAAGTTAAAATTACTGCTTAAGCCACGGGAAGAAATCCTATTAAAGGGTTTTTTTTTTGGGGGTTGCGGCAAAAATACTTGTAGTAAAATACATTGAAAGAACATAAACTGCTGCAGGACATATGTAAAGATTACAGAAGCACGCAGAATGTACATATACAACAAGGAGATACATTATAACTACATTACTTACACTTGGAATGCTTGGCACAGAGAGACATATACATATACATATATTACACAAAATGGTGGCTCTAAGTTCTATTTCCTTTCATGGCCGATGTTTGGGTTACCACCTGATTATGGGAACGCTAAAACATAATTTCCCGAAGAACAGATGGTGAAATTGCAATGAACTTTTCATTTCTGCTCAAGGCATACAGGTGCAACAGGGCGCCGCCAGCCACTTTCCATGCAAAACCACATTTCACAACATCTTTGTTTTTAATTGCGTAGTCGTAAGTCACGCGATAGATGGCCAGGGCCTCGTGATGGATTTCCTGGATATCTTTTTTACTTTCTTCAAATTCTGCTGCTTCATACAGCATCTGGAATGATTCCAGCAATTAGCCTCACTTTTCAATTATGCGGATCGGGAAACTAGGATAAACATGAAACTGAAGTCTCACCTGCCTATATCGCTTGATGACTTCGTTAGCAGCCAGCTTTTGGGATTCATCGTCCTCGTTCCTCAAGGCTGCAGACATCTCTTTTTTGTAATCAATATACCTTACTTTCCACGAGCTCACATACTTTTGCGGGACTTCAACATCAAAAGCTGGTAGTTTCCAAATGTCTGGCGGAAAAACAAGGATAGATAGATGGAGAAAAATGCATCCATATAACAAAGCTACACATATGATAACCTGTTCTAACAATAACACACCTACGAATATTAGTAATCACCTTCCACACAAGGTTTTTCAGATTCAAATGCTTGTACTTTGTCATGAATCTCGCCCAGGATAGAAGTGGAATTGTAGCTACTGGTCTTTCCCATGTAATGGGGAAACCTCTCTGCCCTTAGCTGTGGATGAATGTAGACCTGCTCCGCAAGATTACCAATAAATGGATGATATCATCAAATCAGTGGGCAGACCAAAACAGATGACGTACAGGCAAAAGATTTCATCAGAGCTTTGTAGAAGCCCTTCATAATAGGGGGACATACAGATTACTAAGTATGCAAGCATTTCAAGCATATTAACAGTAACATAGAAGTACGTAACAGAAATTAAATGGTAAACAAAAATTACAAAACAACGTCAGTGGTAGAACTAACTTTTTTCCCACTCTTTGGTGCATCTACCGCATCGTAATATAAGTCAACCAACTTAAGCATTTTTTCTGTCAAAGCAACTTTTTCTTTAGCACAATCATCCCCCAGAGTCAGCAGTCGATCCATGAATGCCAGCCAACTATCAGCAGCAGTGGACATATTGAAACTGAAAGAACAACGATAACTCATGAAATTGGGAAGAACAGATTCTAACCACAGTTTTAACTGAAGAAACGGGATGCTACTGTGGACTTCTGGACTATGACTGAGCAGAGAATAAAAGTTCCTGATCGCCAACTTTTAAACATAGAAGATTTATTGTAAGAGATGAGAGCAAGACAGAAAGAATTCTTCAAATGAGTGATGTGCAGATATACATCTGAATATCATCTGTGTTTTTCCCCAAATCAGGTGGAGGAGCAATCACGCACGTTGAGACAATTAATTTTCATGTCTCATCTACATATGATCAGACTCGCAATAAAAACCTGCATACCTGGGGTTCCTGGATTCCATAAAGAGCAAGAAAAGTTGATGCTCTAATTCGTTAGCTGTAAAATCAGTGGGTTTCCTGTTCGCTGCTGAGGGACTCGAAGCATTACGAGTCCATGGACTACTAGCACAGAAGTCCTTTAAGAGCTGAGATGAACATCATCAGAACTACAATATCATGCAAATTGAGAACAAATTGTACATCTTCAAGTTGGAAGTATATTTAAGAAATGTGGCAGGTGAGATGGAATTTCTTCCAAACCACAAGTAATTTATTGGATTTGTGCCATTCCAAACGCAAACAACAAACAGAACTCACAGCAAAAAAAAAAAAAAAAAAGGAAGGTCCTTGGCAGTTTTTTTGGTAAAATCAAAGTTGATGCCTGATGGGCATTCTGTAGAGTTATCATATATAGGTTGAAACACACTCAAAAGTCAAAATTTTAGTCATTAATCACTTGATTCTATGTTGATACCTCCAAGCAATTTAACAAGCAATCCATTCCACATGGACAAGCACGCGACTGACATATGTAAAACCATTATCCAGTAAAAAAGTGTTGGCTCCTCCAAACTTAATCAGTTAAACCATCAAAGATAAAGGAACCAACCTGAGGGTTTCTTGATATCCAATACATGTCACCATCAAAGTCCCCATTTGCAATTTCAGATGCAACCGATCTACTGCCCTTTGTGGAGAAGAATATGCCATATTTGGCATTGCCAATGAAAGCTTCCAACTCCTTTAGATATACAGCATCAAGGATATGGATGTCCCCAAAATGCAAACCCGGATTTCTATAAACTAAAACCTTCCCTGATATTTGACCATTATCCCTAATCAACAAATTTTACATGAAAGAAAAATTAGAAAAGCAGAAGTGGGAAAGAAAGAAAAATTTACAACTTCAGCGGATTCATAGCAGATGAATATGCACTCTTGAAAAGTGAACTTAGGACTCAACGAGGACTGTATTGATAGCCCTCATCTTTTGAGCACGTCTTCAATGCCTAATTGTCAATTACATATAAAATTTTAGAAGCGAAGTAAAGAGGTGAGACAATAACCACAAACATAATTAGTGCCTAGTATTGGATTGTGCATGTGCCCTCCAGATTCTCCCACAACTAGCACTTAATTCAAGAACAGTGTGAAGAATGCAATCACGAGCAACATGCCAGAAGATGCAAACACCAAACAATTAAAATTGCTTGAGGATTCGTACAAGATCACACAAACTTGATTCGTTTCCAACAAGCCAGTAGGATCAGTGGTACCCATCAAGTAAAAACTTTCATTAATGGGGATCCTTCCTTCTTTAAGTGCATTTCTTTCGGACTTAGCCATTTCATATAGACGCAATTGAAGATAAGGCTCATTGAGAGGGATCCCAGTGAAGATCATTCTTATCACGGAAGCAGCATCGTCTATGTCTTCATTATTCATAGCTACTGCAAGAGTAATAACAAAAAACTGAACTGTCAGAAAATTTTAATAATATGAGTACAAGGTTAATTTAAACCAGAAATTAATGGCATCCGAAGTGTAACCACAGAGAAGTGTGAAAGATATATGGTGGCAGGATCAAGACCAATGTTGGTGCATATGGAAACTCAGCTTCCATTGAGTAAGCTACCAAATGAATTGCTCAGAGTTATAAGAAGGCAAAATAAACTTCATGAGCAGGTAACAGCCAATTCTGAGATTACCATTAAGAGCAGCACGCTTATTTGAGAAGACAGCTCTTGTTTCTTCCAATACAGTAGTCAAGAACTCAACAAAAACATCTCGGGGGACTCCGCCATAGTTTAAAAGTGCAATTAGGAACTTAGATAAATAACTTTTCCTTGGCCTCTTGCTGCAAGGTGAAAGTTAAGAATATTAAAAAAATATATAAGAAATACATATAACAATGTGAGTTATTTGACGTCTAAGAAAGTTTAAAGTCTAGCACAGCCACAAACAGGTACTCTGGTAAAATACACAGAAATGACAGAGGATATACGACCAACTGGGAAATTCTTAAGATAAGATAGGATAGAAATGACAACATTTTAATAAATTTAAAAATCATGATACATCTGATAAATGGTGAAAAAAAATTCTGCACTGAAAAAAATGATATTTACTCAGTCTTCGCACAAGCAATTAATACCTTTTGGACCTAATGACACAGAGACTTACAACTCTGCAAAATAAGAAAAGCATATAATAGAGATACCTGGTTGCAACTATTTCCAATGAGTCAAATCTTCCATCTACAGTCAATTTTGCATCTCTTTCAACCTTTAGCATGGAAGGCCTAATCTGAATAGTTCCAGGTTGGAGCTAATTTTTGGCAAAGACAACTGTGTCAGTAAGGCAAATAGATGAAACAAAGAAAATGGTTTGTGCACAGACAGCTACAGCCATTTCTGCACGGACACAATGGCAGATGAATAAATACCTTTTTATTAACAAGAAGAGTTCCCTTCACGGCGCAACCTTTATTGAAGAGACGACACTGAATCAGCAGCGGCTAGAAAATCAAACCCATGGAAGAAATTTGCAATTCAGCAACTAAATGAACATCGATACTACAACTCTCAGGCATTAATTAACAGAATCAAGACTAATCTGAACTCTAAAGATGAGTGCACATACCGGCTCCTTGTTCAGAGCTTCTGCTGCATTGCCTTCAGATGGCACAGTTGAATTGTCAAAGAAGTTACGGAATTTCTACATAGAATAAATTGCAAAAGGAATCACTCTCGTTTTAAAGAGAAAATGAATGAATTTCATATCACAAACACAAAAGGAGTGGAGAGATTGCTTCTTTATCAGTCCATAAAAGCACCAAAACTAACAACCTCTGTTAGGATTCTCAATTTTAGTTTAGTCCAACAGTGTAAATCAAGACTAAAACAAAGTACAGTCCAAGACGAAAACAATGGAGAACGAAAGAACTCTACAAATAGTTTAAGCTGAATGAAAACATGAGTCCACATTTCATCATAACCACACAACATAAATGAGAAACAAAAGAACTATGAGGAAGATGGCTCGGGAAGCATGTTATCGTAATAAAACAAAGAGACCATATCCTAATGACCCTTCACATGCTTAAAGCATTAAGAGTTAATTTGGTTTAGTTCACAGCAAAATGAACAATTGAATGATGAACCATGATGCTGGGATGTCTTCATTATACGTAAGAGCTTCCAATGACAAAGAAAGAACACACATTACCTGAAAATCCCTGTCACTGATAAATTTTGCACGCCCAAGATCTTTGGGACACATCAGAGCCAAATCTTCAGAGATGAAACCAGTTCCATCTGTGAGTATAAGGGCTTCCCCATCACCGTCAACAATATAACCACCATCTTTATCCTGCAAAGACATAATCCAAGGCCAAGCAGATATATCAACAGGATGATATAGATTTTTTAAAATAATAGGTGAGAGAAGCTAAATATCATACACGGCATTGGACATCTTGAATTCTTTCAATGTTAACAGAAGAAAGATCTATTGGAAGCTTTATTGTCTTTGACAACATTAGCGAAAACCTGCAGGAAGGAATCGAAATTTAAAATAAAGTAACAAAAAGTTTTTTGTGACTTGACAATAAAATTTCGAACTGTACCTGGCCATAAATTTACAAATGCTAGACGCTTTGTGAGCATGCATGAAAAGGCACCTTCCTTCATTCACTTTTAATGAAGACAGAGGATATGATTCATGGTCCCCACTTTCAACAACAGAGTCAAATCTGACAAAGTAGCTCTTAACAGATGCACAAGCTGCATCATTCTTAGTCCCATCTTTTTTCTTCTTCTTCCCATCCCGGCGTTCATCTTTAAAGACTGTAAACAAAAACATAAACAATAAAAGTTTTGTCATTCATTTAAGAAATAATTTAAATAAGGCAATAAATCTTCATTTTCAAGATAATCAGTCCAAAGCTAAACCAGTAAAAAATTAAAAGATGCTTATAAGGTTAAAGGATACTTGCTAAAGAAAAAGGTGAGAAATAATACATTCAAAGGAGAAAAGGGACGAAGATATTTTCGTGAAATTGCTAAAAGAAAAAGCAACTCCTTGCATTATTAGGCATCAAACTGAAGTTTCTTGACTAAAACTTGAATCAGAAGTGGAGGTATAGAAACCTCCTTAAAAGGCGGAAAAAAGGAGAGATCAACACGGGCCATAAAAGCTCATGTATGTATGTCATCCAAAGAACCATATGACCATTAAGGACTATGTGAACAGTCTCAGCTTTTATTTCCATAAGAGGCCTTTTCCAACACTCAAACCAGATAGTCAATGACCTCAGGTCCAAGAATGCTTATTGCCTTGAAGCATTGTTTCACACCTACGAGAATGGCTTCTGGATGGATGCTTTTGTATTACCATACACAGGACTATAAGGAAATAAAAAACAATAGATTTCAAATGATGCCTTCTGCTTACAATCTCATTACTCATATCTTAGGCCCATGCTCTAATGAAAAGATGCTAATCCTAAACTATAGCCTTTGATGACAGGTAGCCAGAACTTCAAAAACATGAGTTAGAAGATAAAAGTAGCCATTTCCAAAAACAATGATTTGCTAGGTAACAATCATGAGAATACATTTAAATCATAGAAAGAGAAAGATGAAGATAATCTGCATCATAACTTTCTTGTAGTATAGCAAAACAAAAAAACAATTGAAGATTAGCTAATTGCAATGATGAAAATATAGGGTATAATAGTTTAGTCAGAAAAAGGAGGGAAGACCTCACCGAAAAAGCGATAACGCCACTGACCAACAATGATCCCTTCCCTAAAGATCCTTTCAATATAAGATTGGTCTTCTTCAACAAATTTGACAATCAACACATTTTGATCTCCTAATGATCTTTGAAGGTGAGTTCTTGTGGTGTTCAACCTGGGTCCCTGAATCATACAAACTCAGTAGATCCTTCTCAATACTCAAAAATTTGTAATCACTTTTTACTTATACAAAAAGTATTCATGGATATAGCTTTTAATAATGAGAGAGATTAAACCACTGGACAGAAAAAGCATGAGAAGAATTTGAAATGGTGGAAGAAACTAGTTACTAGTTCCTTTTCCCAATAAATCGAAGAGAATAATATTGTTAAATGTTTTTCCCTTTCACTCTCTAAGACAATAGTTCCTATTACCATTGATAAGTATTTGTTCCTCTTTCCGCCTTCTAACCATTGCCAGGTGCCAACCGCTTCATTTACACTCTATTCCACTATTATTCTATAAATATTCAGTTATTGTAGTTCACTATAACAGACCAATAACAACAATATATGGTGCATAAACTAAAACAATTTAAAGGAAGGAGTGATGTAGGCCTCTGAGAAGAACAGCAAAAATATTGAGGTAGACCAAAAAGTCACTATTGATAGTAAAAAGAAAAACATATTGTCAATATGTCATATAAAATCTAAGTCTAACACCAACCTTAAGCTCATAATTTCCACCCTTGTACACATTGCAGTAATAGAAATGCGACTTTCCGGAGTCCCAATTAGCAACCTGCAAGACAAGGGATCATGCATTTTAAGAAATCGCATTCAATAACCGTATGATGTCAAGATTGGCTCAAAACTAATTCATTTTTCTAGGTCAAATCAGCAGAACCAATTACACTATTCCTTTTAAGCATATCTATGGAGGAATTTTAAGTCCTTTACTCCTCATCTATATGAACAAGCAAAAAATCAGACAGGTCCAAATGAGGAAAAAAACAAAAAAAAGTTGCATTGTAGATCATGTAATCAGGATTTTTGAACACGGGCGAGGATTCAGCTACAGTGAATTTTCATTTACTGAACCCATTATATATTGAAGAAAAAACAAGAAAACCGCAAAAATGAAGAGATCAATGGACATGTGAACTTGAAGGGGGTGCTCTTAACCTGTACTCTATGAGACGGATCACAAAATTGTTTTCCATAAGTTTCCCAAATATTTGACTCGTAGAGTTGAATGGGGATATCTTTCATTTTCAAAATATCATCCACCTCATCATGGGATATAACATCTGCCAGCTCATTCCTGACAGCAACAGGAATTATAATTTGTAAATTCGGTCAAAAAAAAAAGAAAAAGAAAAAGGAAGATTGCTGTGGCTTCGAGAAGAGGGAATTCAATATTTTTACCGCCCAATATAGCTTCGGAGCAAGAAGAATCTCCTGAACTCGAGTTCTCGACAAAGCGTCAATGTCTGACGACTAATTTCGTGAGGCATTGTTCGACCATTAATCCTAGGCTCGCTGGAAAACAATGGCCTCTGACTGGGCTTCTTCGGGCTCCCAGTTTTGGGACTTAAAAAGACAGGGCGGCCATGATTTTTGGAATCCTCGGAACACGAGTTTCCACCATCTGCAATACAAAGTACAACAGTAACACATTCTGAACCTTTAAATAGCCAACACTTAATGAACTGAACAATTTAAAAAGAGCATAACAGCACGGTTAAGGGGAAATTAAGAGAATAAACTTGAAACAGAGTAATTTACTTTGGGGAGAAGGAGAAGAAGCATCAGAAGGCGACAATAGAGCTTTTCTCAGAGGGGAATAGCTCTGAAGAAGTGGAGACGAAGCCGGCGACGGAGTGGCCGGAATGGGACTCCGGACCGCCGGCGGCGAAGAGTTGCCCTGTCGAAATGGACTTTGGGGGTTTTTACCAAGCCACATAATGTAGCGACTGAATGTAGTTCGAATTGGGGTGTTGGAAGAGAGAATATAGCAAAGTATGTCCATCGCCATTTCCTCACCAACATCGGAGAGCAACCGCCGGGCATCCGGGTCAGGCGGGCCTTTCTCCTTCTCCGAGCAGATTCTGTTGATCAGACGCTCCACCTCATCCGGAAGAACAATTGAACCATCCATTTTTTGTCGCAAGTTTTATTCTTTTTGCTTAATCAACCAACTTCGGAATTGGAGAACTGCCCAGAGGGCAAAGTAGAGTTAAAAGATTGGGCAATAAGCTTCTACCTTTTTGCCCAGTACATATATAGAAGAAAAAAAGGTCGGCGAACTGAAGAGGGGAAATATGAAATGCTCTCAATGAGGAGGAGAAATTGATGGGTTGTGGAGTTGGGGGAGTGAAGAATGAAGAAGCATATATGATCGGAATTAACGGAAAGAATCTGGCACCATCAAAATCAAAATCAAATGGGTTTTTTGACTAAAATAGCAAAAATAATGACGGGGAATTTTCCCGCTCTAAATCCCAAGGCATAAATAATGAATACAATACTGTAGTCCTTTTGGCCAAATATACTGTGTCAGTGCGTGTGCGTCGTGTTACTACTACTTTTGTAGCTTGGGTTTTGGCCTTTTTGGTTGAAAACCTTTGTCTCAGTTTGGAAGGTTTTTTTATGGTTTTTTTTAAAAAATAATTAAGTAATAATTATTGTAGTTAGTATATCTTTTTACATTTTCGATGCACTTTTTTACATTCATAATATAAAAAAATATTTGAAAACACGCATTGAAAAAACGATCCAAACATAGCCTTCTTGTTTGTTTTCTTTTTTTAGTTGGTTTTTTCAGAAATAAATAATAATCATTATTCTATTTCAGTATACTTTTTTATATTTTCAATACACATTTTTATATTTTTAATAAAAAATACATAAAAACACACACTAAAAAACGAAACAAATATACCCTAAGACTTTTGTTTGTTTTGTTTTTTTAATGTTTTTATGTATTAAAAAAATATAAAAAATATATAAAAAAATATATTGAGATGGGATAATTATATTATTTAATTCTGAAAAAAACCAACTAAAAAGAAATCCTTTGTTATCTCAACTTATTGTCGACAATGATTCAACAAAACAAATATGTTGTCAGAAACTCTAAGATTAATGTCCACTTTCTCTGATTGAAATGACTGGACACTGCATAAGAAATGCTCCCACGCCACCATCACCGGAAATGCGACAAAATTTTCAAACTTCATCTATGCCACCAAATGTCAAGATAAAGAAGCTGAAACAAAGAAAATTTGAAACAGAACTTTGAAAAGAGCAGTGAGCTATATAATGAAGTATCTAGTGGCTATATTTCACTTCAAGACAAGACAAGACAAGACAAGACAGATGTAGATATTTGACTTTTGCCAAAATCTAGACCAATAATTGCATAACGAATTACTAACACCGTAACCCACTTTTACATATTTCCAACTTCCCAAGTTTCAACTCTATTGGGACAAAAATGAGGGACATACACAAAAGTCCCCCATATCTGTCAAAAGTTCAAAATAGGAACCCTGGATTGTACTTCAATAACCTTTTGCATTATCTGTATCATTTTCTTACCCCCCCAAACATAACATCGACATGCCACTTTGAAAATCATAACCTTATATTTCTTATATTTTAAAATATTGTTCTACTTAAATTTTCAAATTAAATATAATAATTTATACTAAAAGTTGAATCTCAAATTAGACAATCATTTTGAAAAAAAAACTACTAAACATCTTTTGGAATATTATTGAAATTGGGATATGATTGAAATTGGTGTCCGATTCAATTGATGTGATATGATTGAAATTCGATTTGAAAGTATTTTTTTTTAATTTCTATGATATTTTAAAAAAAATTGTATCACCAGAAGAATTGGAAAAGAAAAGTGACGTAAAATGTCAATTTTATTCCTAATAGAAAATCACTTGGAAGCCAAAAAAAAAAAAAACAACGTAAAGTCAATTCGTATGTATCATTAATTTTTATGTTCTTCTAAGATATTGGGCATCGATTAATAAAAAGATACTCCAGATCTGAACCCCCACAATAATAAACACTTTGAACAAGATTGAAGGAAGAAGAAGAAGAGCAGAAGTGAGATTTGAAATATCTATGTTTGTTTCGGTTTTTTTTTTGTGTTTTTTGTATTAGATATTTAAAAAGATGTAGTGAAATATAAAAGATATGTTAGGATAGGAAAATTAATAGTAAAATAATCTAAAAGAACCAACTAAAAAAGAAAAACAAACAGAGATTGAGGGGTATTTTAGGAATTGAGCAAGCAACCGCGACGAACAATGGCGACGGCGAACAGGAGCGGCGATGGCAAGAAGAGAAGACCGTAAATGCAATCAGTGGATTGACAAGAAGTGTGCGGGGATGATAGTTTCCTCAAGCAAAGTCGTACGGTATAAACTTTTTCCTATTTGTTTGTTCTAATGTATAGAGATGATTAGGGTGACTAATCATAGATGTGAAAATGGAGGCGTTAAAAAGAGCTCGAGGGAAAGTTGATGAGAAGAGATTAGAAACATATAGCGCACCCTAACTTTTCTTCTGAGTATCCTAAAATTACAATTTTGCCCTTGAAAGAAAATAAATTAAATTAAGAAAAAGTAAACTTATTTTTATTTTTATTTTTATTTTTTTAAAAAAGGAGGCGAAACAAACCAAGTGTCATACAAATCTTACTAATCAATTCATTATACGACAATCTTTCCTCAACAAACAAACCATCATCCGGCATATTCGAAAAAGTGTTGATGCTACCATTCTCTATCACATACTTACTTGTATGAAACAAATTAAGCATGTATAATACATTACATGCCATTGATAACTGTTAAAAAAAAATCAATATCTAATTATTTTTTAATAACAAAATCAACAAATACACCATACATACTCCATTCATAATTCAAAAAAATTATAAAATCCTAAAATACTTATAAATCGACTTCTATATCCAATGAACAACTATGATTTATCATCTCTAACCTCAAAATCAACACATAAAACATCCAAACAACCAACAAACAAAAACCCTAATCTATAATACATCATTCTAACAATTAAAATAATACAAAACTAAACTAAATAACATGATTTTACAATCCAACCTCTTTTAAATAATGATTCCTACTTATCTAGCGGTAAGGTTGCATCAAATGCTCCAATTCGCCAACCAAGAGCTGCAGAAACAGAAAATCCAATTCAGTTCTCGAATGAGAACTGTCTGATTTTTTTTTTCTTTTATAGCACGCTAAACTCAGATTTCCGAAATCCGAATTCATAGGTAAATCCGAATCACCGTTGCCTCGGATTTTCGAAATCTGAGTTTGGTCAATTCCGATTTTTTTTATTCCATTTTTGGTCCTCCAATTTATAGCAAATACCTACTTCCACCAACCAAAAATAAATGAATTTGGATTTCTAAAATCCGAATATGTGTATCCGGATTACGGAATTCCGGTTTTTGGATTAAAAAATTTCATGCCTCAATTTTTTCCTTTTTTTTATTTTACGGAATTCGGATTTTGTAAATCCGAATGAAACTGTTTATTTAAGGAGTGTAGGACCTGGACTCCTTATTTGAGTTGAAAAATTTCGCGCCTCAATTTATTATTTTTTTAGGAATTCGTATTTCAGGAATCCGAACATTACTGTTCATTTTCTGATTTTTAAAAATATTATTCCAGAAAATATATATAATTATTATTTTAATATTATACGTGGATTTGGATTTTTGAAATCCGAAAGTTTAATTTTAATTAATCTTCGAATTTCAGAAATCCATAAGATATACATATGTCCACAAATATTCTTAAAAATTTAAATTTGTTTACCTTTATTTTTAATCAATTTTTTTGGGAAAAAACCCCTTCCCCTATACACTAAAGAATGAAGCAAGAAGAAGACACTCTTAGGAAAGGAGACAAATATGGTATGCCCAATCAATCAACATTAAAGTCTACTACTCTATAATCTAGTACTACTATATGTTTTCTTTTCTAGTACTTGTGAATTCAATGATGAACAGATAAATACAGTTCAAAAAGAGTATCATGGATTGATATGCATGATTTTCCTCCAAAAGTCTATATAAATGAACGGATGGATTTTGGTATGCTTTTTTTCTTCTGCTGATTGTGCTTTTTACTTTGAAAATTGCAAGACTTCCCATCCAGTTTTTGTCTTCATCACAGAGACACAGCCTTTGCAGACTGTGAATTCTCCTGGCAATACAAGTAGAAGTAGAATCTAATCTAATTTCTATAAACTAATTGGCTGCTTTAGTGTAGTTGTGATACTGTCAAAGCAGCATACCAATGTTGTATAATAACTATTATATAATCCGATGAAATAAAAAATTGCGTTCTTTTGAAATATGTATACAGCATTGGCAAGTGTTTATTTTGAAAAATAACTCAAAAGCACACATTATAAACGTACTACCTCCATCCCAAAAAAATAGTCCAAAATGAATTTTCAAATTTATACTTAAAATAATACAAAATTCAAAACTCAATATGGAACATTTTTGTGGGACGGGGGAGTGAAATTTATGTTCCTCAAATAGTGTTAGCCTGTTCCCTTTTTTCCATATTGAAAAGTCCCATATTTTTGTTTTTATTTTGGTAGTATATCTTAAGCAGCCAAATGACGCTGTTGGAAACGGAGATATCCACATTAATAGCGGGCCTAATAAGTTTTCGTCCGACTCAAATATCATGATGATGGTTCTGGGCCTCTGGGGTGGTGACCGTCAATTTGAAAATATTTGAGAAGAAAAAAAACTGACCCCATCAATTGAACACAGCAATGTGTATGAGGTGAAGCATCCAAATACCAAACTTGTTTTCAAATCTAGATAAGTTTTGGCAAGTCAACTGGGTTTTGCTTGATCTAAATGGATTTGGATACATAACCACAAATTTGAACTAAAGAACTTATTAATCTTGAATGGGATAGTGGATTGAGAGGGAATGAACGCGAAATTCAAGGAAAATGTAGAAATACATCAAGGATACTGATTGTTTCAATGCAATTTTTATTTTACTGAACCTCAAAACAAGTTATCAACCTTTAGAAACAACTTGTCTTAACTAATTCTTTTAGTTTTTCTTTTTGTTTAAAATGGTAAATTATTTATTTTCATGTTTACTTTTACTCGAATTTTTCTTCTTCATTTCTGAATTTTTTTTAAAATTTTTTTTATAATCTAGAAGTTAAAATACAAAAGGAAAATAAATTTTTAAAATTTAGAATTATACTACTAGCACATACAAGTTAGGAAGTATAAGGAGAAGAATTGTAAAAAAAAAAATAAAAAAATAAAAAATGACAAAAATACCCCTGAACTCTAAAACATGTGAAAAATAGATTTCCGTCACTATTTAACGGCCAAAATTAACAGAATAATCTGAAATGGATTAAACTTGAGTAAGGTAACCTATGTTACAAATAAATTTAATTGATGACCTAGAGTGGAAATATATTAAAGGTTGATGACTTGTTTTGAGGTTCACAAATAAATTTTATTGATGACCTAGAATGGAAATATATTAAAGGTTGATGACTTATTTTGAGGTTCCTTTTTTTTTTAACCGAAACAAATGATTCCACTTGTTGGGAGCGGTAGGGAGAACAATTTCATTTGAAAGAAGGATGAAAATGGAAATTCGTGACTCCCATATCCATAGATGTACAAGCGAATGTAATGGCACCTTTTTTAATCTTGATTTGGAATGGATCTCATGTACAATGATTTTCAAAACCCATAACTTGGTTGAACCAGGCATTTGGCCTCAAAACCACCGTCCCCCAACCATCTCTGCCATACTTCTAAATATGTTGACAGGCCCTCACATACCATCATCAACACTTATGACAACATTCCGGCCCCTCCGACATCTCAAACCGAAACCGACATCACCACCAACATATTTAGAATCATCGCTTCCTAAACCACGGAATATGTCCATGTGAACTCGCATATTAACTGTAAACTGACTGAAAAAAATATCTTCAACTTCAATAACACCACCATAGATATCACTGAGCTCTACATACAAATCCACCAAATCCCCTGAATGGTTCATTTACTCAATCATGCTTCCCAGCCCATTTTCTTGTGTTCATATGGTAGCTCAGTTTACGCCAAAACCTGTATAGAAGCATCGGGCTGCTGCTCTTCTTCTTGTTCCTTACTCGAAAAGCAAGCCTGGACAAGGAATATGTTAATTGGAGAATCTAGTGAAACGCTACCATTCCTTGTCCACATCAACTACCATTCCTCGTCTACATCACGAGCATAAACAAAGAGATGTTCCGACAATAATCTCTTTCACCTTCTGATGGCTAGAATCTTCACATTAAATCCCGAACAGAAGTGTCAAGACATCAGTTGCAACAATAAAATCTGGCAACTAAAGAATAATAAAGATAGGTCAAGCATGATTAAGAGAACCAAATCCAATGCCTACATACACACAACCTTAATTTAAAGTAGGAACCATAACTTCACATCCGAGGTCTAAATAACAGAACCTTATTATAAAGTCAGGAGCATAGCTTTAAATCCGATTACTACTTAGCTATCGCTTCTATTACAATACTTGAGATCAAGTCTATGTGCTTCTACTCATCTAGCTCAAGGGATTCCGTATCAATGAAAACTCGGGGACCGGGACGGCCCACGCCGCCCTCCGGAAGATATTTGCTTATAGAATGGTCACAAAAGAGTGGACGCGCCATCCCATCACGCTCCAGACCGAACACTGGAAACAACAAAACAACAACCAAAGACACCCACCATTAGAAAATCCATGAACCTACTTGCCCTCATGAATAGGTTAAAACATAAAGTAAGCAACAGGGAAGAACAGCTAACATACTACTAATTAAATCTCCACAGTCCTCCTCATTGGCTGCCATCCGGCTTAATCTTCTTGCGGCCAACTTTGCCGCTTCACCAATAGACCAACGAGACCAAACAGAATATTCCCTACAAAAGAAAAAAAAAATCAAGATACTTAACAAATCACGGTAAACCTGAACAAGGAAGAGAATACAGAAAATTGAATGATGAAGAGAAAACAGAAACCCATACTCGTAGTGGGATGATTCCTTGAGAGAGAGGTCAAGATCAGACTTAGCATCAGGAAAAGATTGTTTCACAACAATCAGTCTTCTCAAGTTCAGAGAAGAATATAGCCGTCTAAATCCACAGCCAGTGATGAAGATATTCCCTTTAATCAGCCCGCCCATGCCATCCACGCGATACAAAGCATGATCTTTCTACAAGGAAAGATGGAAGCGTAGGAGTAAGAGGGCTGAGCCAAAATAACAGCAAACAAGCCTACCCTAATTACGGAGAAACAGAGGACAAAATAGAAAAACAATAGAAATGTTAGGATACCCTTCTGAAGTCCCACCCAGCGACCAAATCCCACCTCAGGTCGAGAAGACAGTTTTTGGGTCATCAACCGTACCACACCATCCAAAGCCAAACCTTTAGGCTCAAGCACTGAGCACAAGCATACAGAACGAATATAATCAACCAATCCACAAAAGGACTAAGCACAAGTATTTCTGATACTTTAAGGGAACCGAGATGACAAAAGATTCCGCAAAAAAATTTAAAACCTCAGCTTTCAGCTCATGCGCAACTGTGCGCAGTGCTCAACCTTTCCCCCAGAAATAGTGGCAACCACGCCAGGAACAGGAAAAATTAGGAAGTCATCAACACCTGATAAGTAATTTTGACAGAGAGAGTTAAAATGCAAAATACCGAAGTAAAAGAGCTCATAATTATATACCGAAAACCCCTCACTTTTCTAATAATTTGTTTCACAAATCCATTTTCCAACAATGAAAATATTCGAACGGTTGAAATCCAAAGCAAATTTCTGTTCATAACAAACTCCATGGATTAAGCAAAAGAGAAAAAACTGAATCAGAGCAGATTAAAACAACACACCTTCGCTTAAATGATTAATACCAACCAAAACCCCATCTCGGACCCGAATAGCTAAAACAGTGAGCCCGTTTTCTTCCGGCAAATTTTTATGTCGGCGGCGGGGAGGGCCAGGGAGAGGTTTCATGGACTCGGGATTCAAGACTTTCCCACCTTGAAGGACGTGGGGATAATTATCCCAAACAAAGCAATTCACAACGCCGGCGGCGACGGGAACTGGATTAGGTTCTCCCTCTATGTTACGCCTCAGAATAGGAGGACGGCCAGGGACACGACGAGAGCCAGTAATAGATTTCGCTAGAGCCTCTAGATCATCTATAGGCGTCAATTCATCGTCGGGTCGACTGGATCCGGCGTCCATGATACAGCCCTTTTTAGCGGATTTTTCGAAGAACGATGGTTTCAGAAAACAGGAACTAGGAGAACAAGTTCCCGCGCAGAAAACAGAAACTAGGAGAGATAAGAGTATATTTATAGGGGTGATTCGGGAAACGAGAGCTATACATACACACACACCTGAGTAGAACTAGGAGAACAAGGTCTTGTTTGGCCAACTCCATATTTTGCATTTGTCTCATTTTATCTCTTAAAACACATTTTAAACACAAATTTCAATATTATCCAAATTATTTTTACACAATTTTTGTCCACCACTATCGGACCACCTCCACCACCGGCACCATCGCCGGTCCGCCACCCACAGCTGCCGATCCGCCACCGGCCAGCCGGATTTCAGTCAACTCGCTGGAACTTGGCCGAAATCCAACCGGCCGGCGACGGTGAGTGACAATCTGACAGCAGCGTCGGTGGTGAAGGTGGTTCGGTGGTGGTGGTATAAAAATATTATTATTTTATTTAAAATATTACCTAAACAAGTCCTCGTAGTTCAGTGACCATTTTACACTTTTTGCTAGTGTAATGATCATTTGTAGTTCAAAATATTTTTGTCAAAACCAAAATCTAAACAACTTTTTGCTCAAAATACCATTTAAACAACATTTTTCATTTCCTATTTAGTTTTCCACTTGAAACAATTTCCACTTTTAAGTGGCAAAATGAAATATAAACTAACGTCCAAACAAGCACTTAACATCTTCAATAGTAGAAAATTCCACAAAGGATGCTAGGGAGATACAGAATCCAAACCTTAACTGCCCCGAAGCCGAAGGAATTCCCTGACAAGTAGAATATTATTATTGATGCTTCAACATAATTGATCCGTAATGATGATTCATGATGCCCAACAAATCTGTAGAATGGCTACATTGATGTCACATATGACATCATAATATTAGAGTAAATCAAAATAGCCTGAGCAACATATTGACTTTCTGCACATTGATCACCTCAATCTTAATCGCCACACACATTTACAAGGTATAACTATAATCTGAAAAATAGTAATAAGAAGAAAAAATTAGCAATGTTTTTTTTTTTTTTTCCGGTCAACTCAGTAGTACTAAAACTACACTAATGATAAACAAATACAAAGCGTTCACAAGATAATTGATGCATCCTTGTAATATTTGGTCCTAAATATCTAAGGGGGAACAAAACATCTGATGCAATGTACAATGTCCCGCTTCTGTAGAGAGCTATAAAATCCTTGGATGTTGTAGTAGTTCAGTCAAAGTAATGAACCCTCATGTTGTTCTGGGTTCCGGCTCACCCATTTGATAGACAAAAACTTGACTTGCAAGATTAGTTGTGTATAAGCTGTAAGGAGACTTTATGTCGAAAAGCTGAAGCTGAACATCCAGTCTGTTTATCTTCTGAGTTCCATAATTGATCGGCAATTTTGATCGATGATCACAACAAAACTACCAGTTCTACCAGAAGAACATAGTATTGATGAGAAAGATACAAGCACGCTGTTGCAGAGAAGCTCCATGAAGGTTTCAGTTTTGCCAAATTCAAGAAGCAACTCATATTTGTAGATAACATACAAGCTCATGGAAGTGTTTGGTTCATAAGCCCCATTGACTCGGCTAGTTCTCTTGATGAATATGTATCAGCTTGTTCCTGTCATTTGCACAATAGGAAACCTCAAATTGCATGCAGCTGTAAACCAAAAATTAAACCCAGAAACTGGAGAATTTCATCTACAGAAGCACAAATGATAACCACAAAGTATGAACTTTCAGGCATAAATAAAATATTCAATAGCCTGTTAAGCTGTAAGAAGTGTTCACATTCCTGGCAGATACATGAAAAACATTTTTACAAAAAAGAAATTCTTCTACATTCACTAAACCCAAAATACTCCTACTCATGCATATATCCTCTTCCACATCTTTATTTCCTAAATTGCACAGCTGCACTACTTTTTATATGGAAAGCAGCAGAGAACAAAATGACTTGATTGTAAAAATTTCATAAAGATCATAGGAGAATATAAGCTTCCACTATAATTTCATAGGTAACTGCTCAATTATTGTCACTGATCACATTTCAGTAGATTGTTGAACATCGTACCTGGAGACGGTGTAAAAGATACATCAAAAAGAGATGCACAAATACCTGCCACGGAATAGCACCTTCTTAATCACTAAATTTTGGGTGAAAAATTAGAGAACCATAACAACGTTGAAAGAGGATAGAAAGGAAACAGCAGAGCGGAGGTGTTGAGAGACAGAATCCTGGCTAAAAGTTGAAAAATGCTAACCAGATAGAAAAGCAGGAAAACTCGGGCAAATGGATAACGCCAAAGAAATTTTGTAGCCCTTACGGCTCCGGAATCTATCAGTTTTGCTGCCTTTTGAAGCTGGATTCAACAATAAGAAGTACCATAAGATAACAAGAAGGACTAGAATGAAGTTTGGAAGAAAACAAAGAGAAAGTTTACTTGGATGCTAGCTCCAGCCATGTGGCGGTGATGCAAAGGAAGTGTCCTGCAAATTTCAGTTAATTAGATCCAAGCCAAAGAATGTGTGGGGAAGAACAGATTATCAGCACTCTACTAAGTGAACAAATGGTTGGTTGTCAAGATCACCACCAGCTATCAAGCTAGAACCATATTTAGCTGTACATTCTCTTTTGAAAACAATATGACAACATAATAGCAAGACAAATGGATCCTTATCCACAAACAAATAATATTCAGCATCGTGTATTCTTGAGTTTTATTTTGTACGAATTTCAATCAGAAACATACTCGAGTGCCTTCATTTCAGTGTCTTCCTCCCAAGAGGATGATGCTCGACGAGGAACTCTGTTCCTTTCTGCTTCTACCTGAAGTCAAATAAATTTGAAATTACCAAACAAAGACATTGTATCGAGGACATGGAAAATACAAAAAGGAAAAGATTCAGCTTTGCAGAATGCCAGCAAGTCACAGACTCCACCAGCGAATCTAAACTCTCCTCTGCAATTACGGACCGTGGGAGAAAATGTAAAATGATTCAATAAGCACGAAAAGAAACACAGTGCCAACTTGAACCTGTGCATCCTGACGACGTTTTAACTCTTTTTCCAACTGAAACTCTGCTGCAGCTTTTTCACTGGCCATGGTTTCCAGCTGCGTTTGCTTGTAGTACTGACACGAACCATCAATAAATACGCATTATTTCCTTTCCTCGTTGAATTAAACTTACAAGAGATGCATGAACGCTGTAAAAAAGAGACACACAGATGCGTCCAATTACCAATAGATCTGTCAATTCACGATACCGTTTTTCCAGCTCTATGTGTTCCTGTTCAGATGCAACCAAAGATATTATCAGGATTCGTAAGTTTATGCATCATTTTCAAAAGTTGGAGTAAAGTAGTTAAGCCAGTGCATCTGCATCATAACTCTAGTCACCTTTGCAAAAAAGATTCTTATAACATGAATTATTATAAAATGGTTAAAAGGTTCAGAACATGTCCATGGCTCCAAGCCTCTAGAGGCAAAGGGGCCACATCATTACATAGTGATATGGAAGTCTGTTATTTTGTAAACATCTAAAAGTAAAAACACTCTCAAGAAAGCAGCAGCATACTACCACTTCTAGCATTTGCTTAAGGAGTCAGCTTTTAAGATTTTGTCCTCTAATTCGCATATAATTAAACCAATAACTTGAGGCAAGAGAAGCACTAAAGAGGTCAATCACCTGACGAGAATAATGCTCAGCATCCCTCTTCATTGCAGCCATTTCAACTCTCATCTTCTGTAACTCAGCCTATAAAACATGGTAAAAGAAGCCCCATTTCTTTTTATTTGATAAAAAAGCTAAGAGTATGATGACGGACAGGGAAATCAAATCAATGGAAAACACTGCATAGAAAACAGTTTGTTACTAGAATGAGATCACTAGGTCAATGGTCCTGTTTGTTTATATGCATTTTCTCTTGAAATATTTCCTATATAGTTACATTTTCAGAAATAACCAGTCCCAAAGAGGGAGAGGAGATATAAGATAATGTCTTTTTTAATGAAGTCTGTGCCAGATTGATTCAACCATGTAAACCAAATCCAGATATCTGATTGGATTCGATAACCTGTGATCCTCAAGTGTCCAGGATCATTTTCAGTGTCAAGGAAATTAACAAAAACAAATAAATAAATATTTTAATTTGTCGCAGGACATAAGAAACCAGGATATATCTTGCCTCTGTTGAAGAAAGTCTGCTCTCGGCATCCCGCTGTCCTTGGCGAGCACGCTCCACCTCTTCTTGCCATGCTTGAATCTTCACAGAAAGATTTGAATTACTTACAAGTTTAAAATAACAAAAATGCTATGCTATTGAAAGATTTGAGTTCAAAAGCCAATTCCACAGTTTCATGTGGTTGAAAGAATAAGAATAAGTGGCAACTTTGGAAACTAGATTCGTACACAAACAAATAAAAGTAATGCATCTGCTTCATAAAGTGATAAAACTTCAAGCTAAACTCAAAGGGATTAAGAATGTAACTTCTGATGATCTCCGACCTGTATAACTTGATTTGTCTCTTCCGGTGGCTTCTTTTGACCACGGCGCGCACGTGCTTCCATATCTTGTAGTTCTTGACTAAGGGATGCACATTCAACCTGATTAACAATGATAAATGCCTCTCAATTGAAATGGCAAACAAAGTAAACCAATGAAAGGGGAGTAATATTACCTCAAGCAAAGCCACCTTCTGCTCGAGATCCGCTGCTTTTGTGGCCCTTTCATCAGCCGTTCTCTGAAGACAAGAAAGTACTATTTAAGAGAGTTTGTCATGTAAAATGCAATAATCATTCGAATCACTACAACATTTCTGTTTGGGTGAACTCTGGCATCAAGAAAACTGCAGCACACTAACTATGTTTTCAATCGCCGACCGTAAGCCAGAGAAACAAACACGTCCATCTCAAACCAATATTCTTACCCGAGAAACATCAAGTCCGAATATACTCGTGGCAAGATAGAAATATTAATTACAATATATTAGTAAGAAATGATACAAGTCTGCAGAGAAAAAAACACCTGAATTCTGGCCAGCGCAGTTGACGCCTCAATAGCCCTTTGCTCTAGTTCTACTTCCCTTTCCATAGCAGCCTAATTATCAAGATCAATAATTGAAATCAAATTTTAAAAACATCGAACTTACTATCAAACTTACATTGAAACTCACAAGTTCGAAGCATTAGTACCAACTAGGGCAAAGAAACAGATGCATGCAGAAGAGGAAAGGATAGAGGGAAGGGGGCTTGGTGGGGAGAGAGTGTAACAAGCATTAGTGAAGATATGATATAATGCATAGATGAAACAAACCATCTTTGTAGCATTATGTGCAGCACGCTCATCTTCGGCTCTCCTTTCTGCAGCAGACAGTTCTTCTCGTAAAGCCTGAAACCAAGTTTTAATGCCAACATTAAGATATAGAGACAGAAGCAAAATAACCATCAGAAAAATATGCAAATATGAAAAAGTACTCAGTTAGCTTACCTGCATCATCCTTGTTTCTGTTAGCTCCCTACTTCTCATTATAGTCTCCATATTTGCCTGAGAAATCATAATGAGCAGGAATGTGAATCAAGGGTTTCAGCCAAGGCAAAACCACCAAATGATACACCACAGACCAGAAAATTGATATTACTATGTTAACTATGATACTTACGTAAACTATACACCAAAAGTTTTACAAATATATACAATTTTCAAAAAAGTCTAGCACTCAGAGAGGATGCAATTCATTCATGTTTGCGGAATATTCACAACATATTAGATTGACTCTACCCAACATTCATCAATAGGCATGGTTGGAGGGGTAAACAAGAAAAATAAAAGAGAAAAAAAGTAAAGCAAAGTTATTTGGCAGTGAACAAAATAATCCACTAGACATGCTCCAGCAAACTAGGCATGAACCATACACATTGCGACCTATAATTTAAGACAGCAGGAGTAGGTTTATGCATAGCAGCATAGCAGGTGAACAAACCTGCAGCGATGCCAAATTTCCTTCAGATACAGCAGCTTGCCTCTTTGTTGCATCCAAAGAACTGACAAGAGCCTCGAGTTCAGCATTCTTTGCTGCCAGTGCATCAGCCATGTTTGACTCCACCCTGTTCACCTCACTTTTAGAGGTAGAGAGATCTTTCTGAAGTTGCTTAATGTGCTGCTCATATGATTTACTCAGTTCCCTCTGGTTCATTAGAAAGTTATCAGGCAAAACAGCTTAAATTTGATAAGTACTCCAATATTTTTTATTTTTTTGTTTATTTTTTATAACAAAGGCAATGTGTCTAACCTCTGCTGTAAGAAGCTCTTCCAACTGCGCATTTTCGGATTTGTATTCTTGAAGACGAGATGAAAGGCCAGCACAGACCTGATTGTGATGTAAAGCCAGAAGGAATGACCATAAATTTGAATTGACCGGACAAATAATCAAGAAATATTGCACCAAGTGCTATCAATTTCCTGATTCCACTAATTGACAAATGCCTCATCAAGTATAAGTACTTAGCAAGTGTTTTAAATGACAGCTGCCCATTCATACAAGAAATATGAGGACATTACAATATAGTTCTCATCTAATGAAAACAGCATCCTACAACTTACCCGGGCCAACCTAGCTTCTTTAGTCTGACCAGTAGAAACTGCATTTTTCAGTAGTCCTTGGGCCTGCAGAACTAAAAGAGATTGTCAGAAAAAAAAATGTTGAAGGTAAAGAAGTGGAGAGTATGAGAGCATTAAAAGCATGAAATGAACCAACAAATTAAAACGCACACATACTTTACCTCTTCAAGTTGCTCTTGCACTTTTGCGGCAGATATAACAGCAACGGGTTGTGAAATATTTGGTTGATCAGAAATGGATTCAACTTTCACATCATCATTAACCTGGCCATCAGCTTCAGCCATAGCATCAGCATTTGAAATTTCAGATCCTTCATGCTTAATATTTACAGGGGATATTGTGTCTTCAAGAACAGTATTTTGGTTGGAGACAATTGAAGGGTCACCAGCAGCAAGCTCAATGTCTCTGCTAGGAAGTGATGAAGTCCCCTCTTGAGTATCTGAGACATTCTTTTCAGGTGATGTCACAGCCTCTGTTCGACTATTATTTGCTGTATCTGTATCAGCTTCATCCTTCGACTCCCCATTAACAATAGATCTAGATGAAGCAATCTCTCCAGTGGAGCCAATAGAATCAGCAACCTCATTTGCTTCATTAACAGTTGTCCCAGAAAGTTCTTGTGGAGCAATCCCACTATTGTCAGTAACCGAAACATCCAAAGTTTTTGCAGAGATGGCTTCTACATGTGGTCGTTCAGGGATAGCTTGCTTAGTTTCAGCATCAACTGGTACCGAAGTTTCCGCAGAAGTGACGCGCTTTCGATTCTGAAACGTAATTTATCTTAAGAAATAGCAAATATAACTATATTTCAATTGAATGTATAATTTACTTATGAGAAGATGTTTAACAAAAGTGAGTCAATAGATATACCTTTGATTTTGGTCTCGTCCTCTTTGCAGGAGCTCCTTGTCCATTAGGAGCGGCAGACACTTCTCCATTAGGAGCTTTACATTCGAGAGAAGAGATAAATGAGAACCAAACAACAGTAAGAAGGATTTCGCTTTGAAAGAGTTCACTAATAAAAACTCCTTCATTCAAGAAAGAATCATTGTCAAAATTTTAAGCTTTATAACACTGATTGGAAAAGGATATAGAATTTGGGGAATTCCTGGTGAAGAGTGACACATTCAAAGGCTCTCAAGAAGGTGCGATTTGACGGATCATATAGATAAAATTATACCTGAAGTTAGAAGATTAACTTGTTCATCTGGCTTATCACTGGCAACAAGCTTTGCCCTTCGATCAACCACTTCAAACAAATCTGAAACACGGTACAAGTGGCATGATATCAATCCTTATGGACAAAACGATGTATAACTAAAATGCAAATAGCAACTTCAAAATCTAGGCAGCCTTTTCAGGTACACCGTGATTAATTCATCACTGAATGTTGAAAGAGTATTTAGCCTTTTGGACTAAACCTAATTACATAGGACCAACAAGAGGTACTACTTGCTTGAACTAGGGAATTTCTTGCGATTAAATCCAGAAACAGAGTTACATCAATCAATAAGGAAAAAGATGAATGAATATTTGAACTGCCAACAAAGAAATTCTACTTTTCGCAAATGCTACATGTACAAAGAATGAATCCAATCATATCTATCAATGCCAATAACAAAATCAGAAGCCCTAAAGAGTGAATTACCACCATTGCAGTAAAAAGTACAGCGGACTTTCCTCTTTCCACACTTAATCAACTGTATCCGATGAAATCCAGAATATAAATTTAGACGTAAAGTTGAGATCAGACCATGCAGGTTGAAATGCGGCACACTTTTTACCATGTAGTAACAGAAATACATTAAGCACATTAAACACAATTTAAAATGAAATTGAATATCAGTTGTACCTTCAGCGGCCTTGAGCCACGACGCCATTGAAGAAGAACTGAAATGCCCTAGAGCTTGATCATCAAGAGCTACAAAACTTTAATGCTTCGAATGCCCGCAAAGCAATTGAGAAATCAACAGTATTCGCTTTTCTTTGAGATTTGATGACAGGAATCAAAAGGCACTATTTGAATTTATTTTATCAGTGTATTTATCAAAAAAAAATTAAAAAAAAATTGTCAAGAATCGGATCGGAATTGTCTGTTGACGTTGTTTGTTAGTTGGGAGGGCTGAGTGAATCGCAAGTTTGGACGATGAGTTGAGCAATGTTCACGTGCGGTGTGGAGCACAACACTAAGATGCTCCGGCATCTGTTTGGTCGGTCCAGATCCAGTCCGTGAACGGGCTTCGACCGAATGTGCTTAAATCAATAATTGGGCTTTTCTGTATTGTTATTTTCTACTTGGTCTTGGATTTAAGTTGTAGGCTTTAAATTTTGGATCTTCTCTGTCCATTTGATAATTGTGTAGTGGGATTGTGGAATTCCAAACCTTTTTCTCCCATAAACAATGTACTGCTTGTAAATTCCCATATGAACAGCCATTTGTGTTGAACAATGCATTATTCATTGTTATTGACAGCAAACACATGTAAATATGGAAAAAAGAAAAGAAAATTTTCAACTATTTATATTCTAGTTGTATGCTTATTTTTTGTGAAAAAAGATAATCATTTATAAAGAAAAATAATATGTCAAATCACAAAAAATTAAGCTACAGTAATCTATCTGTGGTTGAAATATTACAATTTGCTTTACATACTATATTTAGCCAGTAACCACAACAGAAGATACGCACAATCTCAACACTACGTGTCATTCTAAAGTCAGAATAAATTGACTAAATTGTAACAACATTTCTAATTACAAAATAGAAAATTTCACGGTTCAATAAATAAATACGAAAACAACTTTGATAGTTTGATACACAGCTACAAATGAACTCTTGAGTGCGCTCAAAAAGTAATTGAAACTCCAAATCTAACTCAAATAGTTGTAATCCATATGGCTAGAAGTGTCAGACTTGTAAATCATTCATTTGCAAACCTTTTAAGTTCAAGTTCATTTTTAATTTTATTTTCTTCAACGAACTATAAATCTTTCTTATAAGCATATCTGTTGAAGAGAACACGTCAAAAACACATAAAAACAAAAATCAAAACTCTTTCGAAAGGAATAAACTGAAACATCCAAAAAAAGAAAAAATAATACCTCAAGAATGAAAGAGCAGAACTTTCACAAAGAGAAGAGTAAAAACTCTCTCTACTAAGGAAGATCTAAAACTAGGAAAAGAAATTTGTTAGGAAGATACCCTCTATGAAGTTTTTAAAAGGGTTGTCAAAAGTTTAAGTCCACCACACTCAACTCAAAAGTATTCAAAAGTGCAGTTAAATGTGTTGTTCTATCAAGCAAAACAAAAATCAAATAGCTTCTTGCTATTATTAATTATGAGCTTAAAATTAGGGAAAATTTATATCAAGGGCATGGACAAAATCATATTAATAAAAGGGATATAAGTCTTTAATAATTTATATTAGGAGCGATAAATTATATTCTAAAGTTCACAAAATTAAAATAGTTTTTCTATGACATCATTACCCTTTTAATGTCAAAGCAAAATTATTTTAATTTTGTAAATTTTAGGATGTAATTTACCGCCTCTAATATAAATTATTGAAGAGTTACACCCCTTTTATTAATATAATTTTTCCTAAAAATTAATAAGAAAATAATATAATTAACATTTCCATTTAGTCCATATATCTGTTGAGTCAACTGTCAATTCATTTGTCGAGATTGTGATTCATTTGATAACTTAAACGTTTTGAGACATCCGTCGCGTAAGTATAATTTAGAACTTTTCAACACAAGAATAACAATTTTGTTCTCTTTTCTTCTTTTTGGTAGCTGTATACGCAATAGAAGTGTGTATATGCTGTAAATAGGTGAACGTTTTTTGCAGTTTTGGGAAATTAATATAATTCACGTTTTACCTTAAAAAAAAATAACAACAAAATAAAAATAATTTTATGTAATTTTTTGGATACATTCGTTCTTTTTTTTTTCAGTATCACTAGAGTAGGAATAAATACAAGCAATTGAGAAAAGAAAAATTTCGATGGCGTGTTTCAAATTTTAATAATTGGATCGAAGGAAACATATACAAATGCACTTATCAATTCAATCGGAAGCATACCTTTCATCATTCACGTATGGTCCTATCTTAGTTCAAGTTCAAACAAAAGAAAATGTGCATATCAAACATCCAAATTATTATTATTAATCAATTGCTTTATTTTCATAATTAAGTCGAATACTACGTGGTTAACTCTTGAAAGTCGAACGACATACCTGGAAGTCTTTCCTTGGATTATAGAACTCTAAAATTCATCATATCAATGTTGAACAACATTACTGTCCCATCGCACATGGCTTGCTCTTCCCTCTATTTTTTTATTTTTTTTTTGACCTTCAAATGTTCATAATTATTTTTGTAAGGAAAAAGGGGAAATCCAAAAGAAATACGTACCAAATTACCAAGTTATATCATGCCAACACAACAAAATTATAAAAAAGAAAAACAAAATGAAAACATCATTGATCTGCTTTTAGTTGATTGAAGATGAGAATTATTATTGCTTATTAGTAGCGTGCTTCAGATAAGTCTCAAATGGATACACGATGACGAAGCTTTAGTTTGCCGGTCAATTTCGTGATAGAAAAAAATTGGGGATAGAGAAGGAGAGTATCCTTTAATGCTTTGAGAGAGACTAAGCTTTAATCATGTTTCACCATAGCCACCACAATTGTATGATAACCACTCCTTATTTCTCCGACGTCTAGATCTGGTCCAATTTCATTAATAAAATGAAATGTATACATTCTTCCGTCATCCCAAAATGATTATCATGTGTTGAACTGAAATGATAGTATAAAGAATAAGACATTTTATGACACAGAGAGTAATTTTTATCGTTACAGTTCATTTTTTGCCTATCTCAACCTCTACAACGGTCAATCCATAAAATGAAAAGGATAGTCTGTGTGTGTGTGTATCTTACACTGAACAAACAAGAATGTTGTTGAAATCATTAATGGTATTCTGTATTAAATTTTATGCACATCTCGAAAATGAACGTACATGCATAGAATTAATTGTAATAATACTTATTAGAGAATGGGAGATTGTAAAAGATATGAGGTAGTACCAGTACAACCATAGGAAAATTCAAAAAATATAAAACCAAACTTGAAAACAAATGTATTCAATATTTCAGTTGCTGCATTTTGATTTTGTAAGGTCGGAATTCTTTTTCTTCGTAAGCTATGTACGAATAATTTTTAATAAATTATATATTTGACTCACGCCAACAATAAGTGATCAAGAATCACCATAACCATAAAAGAGAGAGTTTGTAAAACCATGGCCATTTGTAAGTAGATGTGTGCTGCGAAAAATATTAATTAATCAGTTTCCACCAAAGAAAAAAAAAAAAACGAAAAACGTGTGTGCTTATGTAAAGATGAATCCGGAAGATAGCCATCGGTACCCTCTATGATTGATCATGTAGCTACAAATGCATACAAAATAAAATAACAGTAATAATAATAATAATAATTCATTTTCAATTAACCATTCCAACAAACAAGGCCGATGGAAGGTCAAATACCCCTATTGATTGGACTAATCACACTTTTTATTTTGTGCTTATATGGAAATTGTCAAATAAACCTTATTAGCAAGTTTTAATGATTGCTTTGCCATATTGTCTTCTTGTTCGATTGGTCCGACAACATGAATCTTTCTCCTAAAACATGGTCTTTTTTTAGTTCCACCTGTATTATTTAAAAGATTGATGCATAATTCTACTAATTTTAGAATGGAGTACTAGAGTAGTTTCTTATTGTGATTTTTGCAGAGAAAATTTTATGATGCACATTGATGCAACTATATCGAAGAACATTTCTAAAAGTTGACTTTGATTCTGAAATGAATATTTTCTTAATTCTGAAATGATATTAGATAGTGTCTACAAATAAACTCCTTCCAATTTATTTATAATATACTCCCTCTGTCCCATAATTATTGTCCGGTTTGAATTTTTATTTCTAGGTCAAATTGTACTAAAAATAAAATCCCAAACTGGACAAGAATTTTAGGACAGAGGGAGTACAAATTTAAAATTAATTTTAATATTAATCTTAGCCCTCGGGAATATTTGTGATGAATATGCATGGTAGATGTACTATAAAAGTACCTTGCTCAATTCAGGAGACGCGTATATATAATTGCAACTAAATGATTAAAAATATCATGAGAGCAAGTGTCAATTTTTATGTAGAATATAATTACGAGAAATTAATCGGCTGGGCCAAAGTTTTGAAAACTGAAAATGACCTAATTGGTGAAACCTTCACAGGTTAAGCACTAATAGAATAATTATGGAGTGAAAATGTTGACTTTGATTAAATTAAATTTAATGATCATAATGTTATATAGGGTGCCAGGAGGACACGCAGAAATTTCATTTTCCATCTTATTATAACAACCAAAGTTTAATTATTTGTTGAATATATCGGACCTACCTCCTGTGCAGCCGCCTTTGCCTTCCCAATTTATCAATTTTCTCCAATATTTATTAATTTGGTGTGGCAGATGGCACCCATGTAAGAAATAAAGAAATTCCTGAGCTCCACCCACAGTTGTTCTCACTTCTCAGCCTATATAACTTGTCATTGTAATTTGCTATTTTCGATATTTCTCACCAACAAAAGACTCCTATTGTCCCCAAAAAAAAATATACATCAAATTTTAATGTTTGTACTGTTTTCAACATAAATTTCAAAATTTAATGTGAACTTTTTTTTTTTTGAGACGGAACGAGCATATATTTTGTAATTTGCTTGAGCTGAAACTAATCCTTATTTGATCTGGGGGTGTACGTACATCGATCGACTTGAACTTAAAACATATAGGGGAAAAGTACAATTATAGCATTTAACCCCCTTCTCTAATCACAACTGATCAGTAAAAACCATTATCCTTCAACTTTTTTCTATTTTTTTTTTTTTTGTGTTTTAGCAAAATTAAATGGCTAGCTACCTAAGAACTTATGTTGGAAAATCAGTTGTTGTTGTAACTTGGAAGTGGTAGAAATGCTCTCTGAAAGGCTGCAACCATTCATCTCTGTGGAGAGGGTCCAACTAATTAATTTTAAATTCATGGCATTACCTAAAAATTAAAATTAGCTACCCCCTTATTCCCATGCGCCACTGCAACTATTTATTCTTTGAATTGTCTAAGCTGGATCTGCAGGACAACCTGTACGTAACAAAAAAAACACACAGCTACTCATGACAACTGACTGATGATCCACCACAAAAAAAAAAAAGAAAAAAAAAAGAAGAAGAAGCAAAAATATATTGGAAAATGGAATTAAAGGCAGACTTATGCATTTTTATTTTTTATTTTTGGTTTGAGAATATCATTACCGAAGGCAGACTTATGCATCGAATGTCCAATATTCATCACTCGAATTCATATTCATGTTGAATATATCTCCTTTTAGCAATACAATTTCTTCTACAAATATTTCGATTAACATTTGTATGTGAATATAATGACTTAATTTGTTTATAGTTAAACCCACATAATACCGAATAGACAAACAATTAAACAATGTTTAGACATGGGCATGACAAAGATTCTGTACCTAACTGGCAACTTACGTAGTATCTTAGTTGCCCATAATGTACTTTGAAATTGAAGAAAAGGGGTATATATTCCTCTTTTCTTTTCTTTTCTTTTCTTTTCTTTTTTTTTTTTTTGAAAGGGGTATATATAATCAATTTTAAATTTATATTATGTACAGTCATGTACGTACAATAGTAGTTTCAGTAAATAACCAAATCAGAGTCTCCTTTCACAAGTCTAACCCATATCTTCATATTCAAGTTGACGGGTTCCATTATTGTTTATGAACGTGGCCGATTACTTGGAGATTCAGAAAATTTAATTTGGTTTACATACAATTATAGTAAGTTTAAGAATCTTTTTCTGGTGAGAAGATAGAAGCTTCCCACCTATAAAATTCAGGTGCAATTCATTTTCCCCTCATGGTGAAGTCATTTGTACAAATGGGGAATTTCACGATTTTACCTTTTCTTTTACCTCTTTTTTGAAACGTCACGCTCGTGGGTTCCACCTTTTTTTCTTCACCAACTTATGTAAGTTGCCTAATTATATACACCCAGAATCATTTGGAGTTAAAAACTTTGTTGCCGGGGGGGCAAAGTTAAAAAGGTTATATCCAATGTCAAAAAAAGTAAGAACAAATGACATTAGAGCTTATATAGCTATAGATTTAATACAATGATATTTTAACTTAATTAATTACCTTTTTTTTTTCAAAATCCACCGTCAGCAATAGTGAGACCCATTTATTGAAAAGATATAACACGTTAAAAGTTTTAGAACTGGTCTCTATTCAAAAAAGATTCGAACACCCGACTTTAATTTAAGAAATAGGTGACTTTTTGCCACTATTCTAATTACTACCATTTGGTTAATTAACTATTATATAGTAGTATCTTGTACTACTAAAAACTAAAAAGCTTGTTGCTTGAGCAGATGGATTGACTTTTACTCCAACTTAATTAGCTTAGAAACACGAGCAAATGATAATGGTAAGATCCAACATTTGGCATCATAGGCGGTAAAATTTGTACTAGTACTATGATGATAGGTGACCCTTCAACTACTTCAATCAAACAATGGAAAGTTTTGAACCACTCATATGGTATGATGATCCATAATAGAAATGGTTGTGTGTGTAAAAGCAAGTTGGAGAGACCGTGCCATGACAAAAGTCTCGGAAACCCATCACTTAAATTCCAAACCTCTCTCGCAACCCACCAAACATGGGAAGCTGCCTTTGGGAACAAATTTGAAAAAACCCTAAAAACTAGTATTTGGAAATAATAAGAACCATATAACATCAAATTCCGGCCAGACAAAGGCATCTATACAAGACCGATGAAGACTCTTTCCCTTTAAATTCCTTACCAATCTCCTTGGACTTATGTAACAATAAACAATTCACTACTTCCACCATAACCGATTATATTAATTAACTAATTCAATAAAGTGAACTATTCTTCACATATCAGAAAAGAAATAAAAACTCTCTTTACATCATTTAAGTACGCAAATTATTATATATAATGTGGGACGGAAGGAGTAATTAATTGACTTTGAAAAGACGAGAGAATTTCATGATTCAGCTTATTCTTTTTTGCACAGTGAAGGAAGTATAGATACAAAGAAAGGAAAAGCCAAAGCAAATTAACCTCAAAAGAGGGAAAATTAAAGGGAAGGAAATTATAAACAAAATCAAAAGGAAACCCCCTAATATTCTACAAATGTCAAAATTATTTGATCCGAATTCTAAATTTAGCGCACACATTCTTCATCCAACAGTACCTACCAAGTCGAGCATGAAAAACGTTTCTTGTTCGGGAAATCCGATGTTACACATTTTTTTTTACTGCTCCGACGGCATGTGCATGTCACGTGATAGTGGTCCATGTGTGCATTTTTTACTTTTTACCTCTAGCATTTCCTGCATGTCGGCCGGCCCTGACGCAACGATTTACAGTAAATTAATTGATCACCGGACCGATAAACATATTTCTCATGATGATGATTAATTATGACGCAATTTTTCCCATCATCGGCCCCAGAAATGATTCGGTGAAGGCGATTCCACGGCAGCTATCCTGCGCTGCTGTTTCAATTCCTTATAGAATTTGTTGATGAAATCCTCAGCATCTTTATCCACCTGAGGATTCTCCTCAAACTCTTTAACCGGGTACGGCGAGTCGGTAACCCGGAGCTGCCTCACCATCGGGCTCTGCCCGAACCCGGGTAAGGCCACCATGGGAGACGACCCGTCAAACTTCTCGTAACTGTTGAGAATATCAAACACTTTCTGGACCACGTGGACGTCTTTGGGCTTGAAGTAGTGATGGTTTTTGGGGTAGTAATGGTGGGCTTTCCGCTTGGAGAATATGTTGTGGGACGGATACGCCGGGCTGTTGCTGCAGCTGAACTCGTACTCCCGGCGAGCGGTGACGATGGAGGGGCGGACGTCGACGGAGCTCCGGCAGGTGATGAGGGAGTTCTTGTTGGCGGCGTAGTCTTGTTGGAGGTGGAGGAGGAGGTTGTTGATTGCTTTTCCGGCAAGTTTCCCTTTCTTCATCATCAAGTGAAGATCGTGCATGAACTTGCTCTTTTTCATCATGTAGAACACTATTCTTACAATGTTCCATAGTTTCTTCCCTATTACTTGTGGTGAGCTTGGTTCGATTTCCATAGTGATTTTTTTTTTTTTTTTTATTGGAATTCAAAAGGAGAGAGAAAAGAAGAGGAAGTAGGAGAGAGAGAGAAGTTGCTGGTTTTGTTTTTGTGATTGGTTTGCAACTTGGGAAGAGCTGAGAAATGGGGAGATGGGTATTTATAGGTCCGTATATTAATTAACAAAATGGAAAATTGGAAAAAATGGTCAATATTAAAATAATGTTTGGTGACACTACACTCTTGGTTCATGTCAAGTGGTTAGTAATTTACGGGAAATTGATCTGAACCACAATTGATTAGATATCCACATTGCTCCACTTTGGTTCATAACTTATATTGCATATTGTTGTGGCTAGCTAAGGGCTATAGGAAACACTGAATTTGATGTTTCTAATTCACCATCCGAATCAAAATGATTATTTTATCTGTTGTATTAATAAACGTGACAATTATTTTAGAATAAAATAGATACTTTATTTTGTTTTCAACACTGAAAACATAATATAAAGTACTCTCCGCATTTTGAAATGGGTATCTTTGAATAAAAATGAAAAAGAAAAGAGAAATCAAAACAAGCGTAATTTTCTATTTTAAATGAAATTTTGTCAAATTTTCTAGAACTATCCACAAAAGAAAATAGTATTACTAACAACTGTTAGCTCTGATAGGAAAACTAATTAATTTAGTTATAAAAATACCGTAATAAAATATTTTTTCTATTTTAAACTAAGGAAGTAACATTTTTTTTTATAACAATAAATAAGCACTACATTAGTTTTTGGTCGATAAGTTTGTTTAGTAAATCGGTATGGTACTTGGCAAGAATGACACATGCATGATGCATATTGGTGTAATTGGTCGGGGTTTCTTGTGTATTACAATTTACAAGTTGTGCTCATATATAAACGACGAGGTACAAAATTTATTTGTCATAGGTATTTTTTTTCGTTTTCGTATTTTGGATCATATTATTTGGAATTTACTAGAAGATCTTTATAATGTACGTACGGACTTTTTCCGGACTTAAAAAACAAAATGATTAGAGAGATATTTGGAGAAACTCAGACAAAATTAGAACAAAAAAATTGTGTTGTCATAGTTGTGAGACCCATAATTTTTATTTTCTTTTTCTTAAAGTATTGTTTTGTTTTAACTCTACATTTGGCGCATTATATCAAGGAGGAATAATATTTGGTCACAGAGTATTTCATGTTCATCTAAGCCGAAGAATGCTTTTTTTTCTTTCTTTTCCATAGAAAATACAAACAGTGAAACTCCTGCTTAAGCACAACTTTTTAAATTTCAGCATAAAACAAAAAATTCTCTAAAAGAAAAAAAAAAGAAAGCCAGAAAAGACCATAATACATAGTATTCCCCCGTCCCAAAATTATTGTCAAGTTTGTATTCTCATTTTTAGTTCAATCTGTACTAAAAGTAAAAACTCAAACTGGACAATAATTTTGGGATAGAGGGAGTATTTATTTAGGTTAATTTGAGAGTATCCGATAAGCAACCATCAAAATGATTTACCTTACATCATACATAATTACCGAGCACTTTCCCGCTAATTGGGGATTCGGTACAAAGTGACAAAAGTGTACAATAATAATTATGTTAATCAAGAATCAAGATGGCTGCGTAAAAACAAAGATAGATAGGAGCACAAAGATTAAACTATAACAAAGTAACAAATGCTGGTTAGTTGGCTAGCTTTCCCAAGTTTATATAATACATACCAGCCTCAATCACTCGATCGAGTGGGCTAAATAAGTTTTTTTTTTTTTTTTTCTTGTCACAGGGTCATTGTCCAATTTTTGAACCGTATAATTTATTTAGTAGAATATAAATATCACATTAATAATTAAGATCATCTGAATCATTTTTGTATGCAAACTACTGTGCAAGAACGTTATAAGTCAAAATTCGAAAACAACTGCAAAAGAGTACGTGTATTAATTGGTGATCAGTTTAGTGTAAATTTCTTGCTTATTCAACTTGAATACAAACATAGAACATGAAATACGATCACGTACGACTTACGTAGTCGTCACTCGTCAGTCATCATCAGAGATGAAATCTCCACCTCCACGAAGCTCACCCCGAAAATACACATATGAAAACAAAGTCCCCCTTAGCTTTCCCGAAAATGAATATCCTATGTGTTTAGCTTTTATTCCAAACAAGAGAGATCAAACTATCTCGACTAGCTAAGAATGTCTAAAGACGAACGGATCTTAAAAATATTTTTGTTCTGGTTGTATTCTCCTTCCCTCATTTTTATACCTCTTTGATCCCAAAATAAATGCTTGTTTATAATCAAATTGGACCCGATAAAAATTAATTAAAATTTTAGACAATTTAACTTAAAACAATTTAATAATGAGGGAGTTGGTCCAAAGTATATTATGTCTTTATTTTCAGTTGGCTAACATTTTTAGGGGGGGAGAATAATACTTTCTACCAAATTTATAACAAACTCATTTACATTTTTCAACACACCTTAAATCAAATGGGCAAAAAAATTAGAGAGAAGAAGTCATAAATTCTTGGACGAGAGAGAAAGAAATTCAATTTATTATTTAAAACTACTTACTCCGTACATGTTTCTTGAAATTATTATGGAAAAATAATAGTAGTAATAATAATAGTGGAAATTATTGAAGAAAAATGGACCAACCACATTGGACCCGACGGGGGTTGCATATATATTGAGCGCGTGGTCCTACTGTGTGTGTGTGAGCTGAAGCAGATATGTTCTAGTGAATCTTAGGCAGCCTGCCGGGCACCACTGTACGGTTAAATCGACGATGAACATGAGTCGGAGCGCCAAGTGTGTGTGTGTGTGTGTGTGTTTTCTTACATTAATCATCATGAAATATGCAGATGTGTTCTTTCTCTTTTTACATAGATTACATATTAATTCTCTGTTGATCTAGATAAATTTATTTCAGAGGACTAAAATTTTTTTAAAAAGAATTACTACTTGTTAATCTCAACAATTTTGGTCATTGTCTTTCTTTTAATGTATTTCTCGTTAAATGACGACAAATTTTTACTGGTTAACCTTAAAAATTGTCGATTATTATCTTTTATTTTTTTTCTTTTTTTAAAAAAAGAAAAAATCAATATTGACTGTGTAATGGTAAAAACTATATCAATTAATAATGATCATTATCTCGCTCTATGGCGCCGAAAAATCTCAATAACTTTCAAATATTATATGGTTCAAGGCGAGGAGTTACTTTAATGTAAGGGGAAAAAAACTCTTATAAACGATTTGAACGAATGAGTCATGCATGTTCTAACATGCTACTTCAGTCTTCCAATACGTACCATAACTAAATAACCTGAAATTGTTTGTAACTAGTTGGGGGGATTAATTAATCCGAGATTGTAACAAATGCAGTTGCTTAAGGCCTTAAACAACGTAAGATAAGTAGTTGTACTTTAATTTGTCATTTCGGGGGAAAGAAAATAAGGTTTTCCAGAACACAATTGACAAAAGCCAGATTTCATTCCCCTAGTTCCAAAGTTCAGCAAGATTTTGCACCAGTTTGAACAATAATAATTACCAGGAAAAGAAGAGTAAAATAAAAAAACTAAAACGACATATAGGGTCATTATGAAAGCACCACCATTTCTACTTTAAAGTGGTTTCACCTATCATTGAACTAACGTTTCAATCAAATTTACTACATTAGTCAAAACCTATTCGTTTAAGTAAAGTAGTTTCACTGGAGACAATTCATCATTATTAATATATTGGTCCCAAAACTTCCAATGTAACGTTAGGTTAAATAACGTTGTGAAAATGATCTACGTTCTCCAGTAAATTATAGTATATCCCATATGCACAACAGCGCAAGAACCCTTGTTCTTTTTTCTAATTCATCACTTTCAACAACCTGTAAAGCTTTTAACTGGGACCAAATTAAGTTTCTTCACCAAACTGAAGAAAGAGGAGATGAAATTAACCCAGGCCGGCTCGTGGTTTTGACATTCGTCTTATCTGTAGTATCATTAAACATGGTTGTCGAAACAACTACCTAAGGACTAATTAAATTTCACCATTGTTGCATTTAAAACTCTTGAACAGTTAGAGATTAGTTTGAACATGGCATGAGCCGATTTATACAAGACAACTTATTATTTATGCATCTACCAAATATATGATTACTGGTTTAATAATTATTTAAGATTATATTAATCTACGATCACGAAATAAGATTTTCATCAAATGTTTATGTGAACTTTTTCTTTATTAAGTTGATTCATTGTAGTTTTTAAAATCTAACTGAACATTATGAAGAAATAGTAAACTATGTAAGCGAACTTATTTTGTATCTCTTGATTCCGAAATAATAGTCCACTTTGTGGAAATGGGGACTATACAACATTTTATTTTGTGTCTTTACCATAGGAAGTACCTTTAGTTAATTATTAGAAGGGGCCGTTCCCTAATTACGTGTTGATTAAATCAGGTATCCGAAGCCGCCGAAAATGCCATTCTGCCTCCCTTTGAACCATAAGTTTCTTAGGTTTCATGCATTTATTTATTCACCTTTTAAAATTTAAAGGGATTTTATGTCTTGCTTATTTGTACTACTTAAACCATATAAATTTGTTAATTTTATTTATTTTGATTAATAACAAAAAGTTTAGGACTCATTCATCAATGATCAGAAAAGGTATACTATTTTTTCACTTAGTAGACACATTTGTTACAAAATGAATAAATTAAACAAACATGATCATTCTTAAAGTTTACAGTTTGTGCTTAAAAAGAAAACTTTTATTTGACTTGAATAACAATAAATTAAGGTTATCATATGATCTAAAACCAAAGCTGTGTTTATTATAAAAGGATCGTGGTTGATACCATGTCTTTACATACATCGATGCATTTCGTGATATCTGTACAGAAATAATTTCGTGATATCTATCATTTGATTGCTAAAATATTCAGAAAATAAGAATTTGATGATTTCTTTTCCTCTTACATTTCTTTTCACAAAACAAAACGGAAAAAGGGAAACCAACAAAATCATCGAAGATGATTTTTTTTTTAAAGAAAAAAAAAAAGAAATCAATAAAAGAATGTATAGATTCGGATTAGCATATTTTTA